CGTCGGCGCGCCGGGACTGCAGGTCGGCGACGGCGGCGGCGGCGTCGAGGCGGGCGCGCGTCAGGTCGCGCTTGGACGCCGACAGGGCGGCCGTGGACGAGGCGATGGACGGGCCCAGGGTGGGGAGGTGGCGGTGCAGGTACGACGGGTTGGTGGACGGGTGGGCGTGCCGGGCGAGCGAGAGGGCCGAGGTCTGCAGGGAGGCGGACAGGAGGGGCCAGAGGTGCGGGAGGAGGGCGGGGAGGTCGCTCAGCGGCGGGCTGGTCAGGAGGAGGTCGAGGGTGGCTGCGTCGAGGGGGGTTGGTGGTCCGGGTCGGTCGGGGGGGAGACGAGGGGTGGGAGGAGGAGGAGGAGGTCGATGAGGGGCGGGGGGAGCTGGTCGGTGCTCGTGCTGGATTGGTTGGATGAGGGGGGAGCGGATGATGTGCTTGTTGCCGTCCTCCTTGGCTGTTGTAGTTGCGGCTTCGGCTCGGCTGGTGGGGGCGGGGATACGGTGGAGAGGGCGTCGAGGAGGAGGTGATGCTTTGCGGCCTTGAGGCGATGCTTTTTTAGTTTCTGTAAAAGGGGCCCTTGGGTATTAGTTGGTCATCCATAACAAGCAAAGTGTGTCAGCCTTTGCCGCAGTCATCGTACTTCGCGTGTGGCATCGCGCTCCTTCGAGGAGGGGTCGTTCATTGTCGATCCATCGTCGTTCAGAACTGCTGTCGTCAGCGTGTTGTAGAGTGTCGCGAACTCGGGATTGCTCTGCAGCACGGCATCGTCTATTGGCGGGAGCATATTTGCTGTGAATGCGAGGATTGTGTGTTTCCGATCGCCGAATTGGTGATGGAGAGCTGACTTGGACCTCACTACGTCACCGCGGCTCAGATGGTGCACCCGCGAGGTCACATGATCTGGCCAACAGCTCCGCATCCATTCAGCCTTGTCCCCTCAGCCGAATTTTTGGAGCAAGCGCATATGGGAATAGTGTCACAGGTGGGAGGATGCGCCACACCCGAACGGCGCCAATTGACCTCATACTCCTCTGAGAGACGGTGCCCCACGGCCGATCGGAAAGGCCCGTCGCCAGTCAATACTTGGCGCTAGAAAACCACACCAGACCAGCCACGATGCTGTCATCAAGGCCTCTCGCCAGGGGCCTTGGCCTGCTGACAGCCCGACCCTCAACCACAGCCCCATGCGCAATCGCCGCCCGCCAAGCCAGCATAACGCTACTGGCAGCAGCACCAGCAGCAGCAGCCGCCGCACAACCCACTCCGAGGCGAACATTTTCATCCACGGCCGCCGCCGCCTACAAGCAAAAGCCCGTCCGCGACAGCGACATCCCCATCCCCTCCCCGACCGCCCAGCACCCCGAGATCCCCGCGTACCCCTACGGCGAGCGGCGCATCTACAAGCAGTCCAACACGGGGCTGTACGGGTCCGCCGCCATCGCCTTCGGGCACAACGTGTCCAAGAAGCACGCCGTCAAGACGCCGCGCAAGTGGCGCCCCAACGTCCAGAGCCGCCGCCTGTGGTCCGAGGCGCTCGGCATGATGGTGCGCACCAAGATCACGACGCGCGTCCTGCGCACCCTCGACAAGGTCGGCGGGCTCGACGAGTACCTGCTAGGCTCGAAGGCCCAGCGCATCAAGGACCTGGGGCCCTGGGGCTGGCGCCTGCGCTGGAGGCTGATGCAGACCCCGGCCGTGCGGGAGCGCTTCGCCGCGCAGAGGATAGCGCTCGGCCTCCCGCCCGCCGGCCTGGCCGCCGAGGCGGGGGCGACTGCCGCCCTGCAGGCCCAGCCCGAGGGCCTCAGGGCGCTGATGGAGGAGACGCAGGCGATGCTGGACAGCGACAAGGAATTTGACCTTGGCGGTCCCGAGGCGGACGGTGTGAGCGAGGACCGGCTGGCTGACCCCGGCTTCATGTGGGAGAAGGAGAAACCACGCAGGGGGGACACCGAAAAGCCATAAACTGCCAAAGCCCTGATCGGTTTCGAGTCCTGGCTTACAGCTTTGGCGAAAGCTGGGCGAGGTGGGCGATACTATGTACAAACACGAGCGATATAAAAAAGGTACATCGGATCTCAAACAGGAGTAGGCGATGTACGTGTCTCCTGAAATGCCCGTGTCCGTCTGCCTTGGAGTGCATATCATATGCCTTGAAAAATTACCCTCCCTATGTGACATCTTTTGAGTATGCCGTCGCAGCGTGGTGTAGCCACAAGTCCTTTTTTCCTCCCGGCTTTCTTGTTTGTTTCTCATTTCCTGTTGTTTTTCCGGCCGTCGCAAGTTGCAGTGTGACTGGTCAGTCACGAATTGCAAATCATGGTAGGGAACACTCTTTCGGGTGACTGGTTCGCTCCGCCATACTCCGCCGCACGGTCATTGTAAGCCTTCCATTATGCCTCGAAGAAATCACCCACAGTTGCTGCATAACATCTTCAGTGTGCTCGCATCGATGCATGCAAATTCACCGTCTTGCCCACTTCTGATGAGGTATTTGTTGAGTCACTCTTGTTGCTGTCGCGTGATATCATGTTTCTCCCTGCATGCGCTCTGAAGAATTAGGGATGAAGTTGGACGATGGGTATTGTCATGGCATCCAACTTGCTCTCCGCTTCCGTCCGGTTCTGTTTTTTGTGTTGATCATTGCAAAAAGGAAATCACATGAGTTCCAAAGAAGCGGTTAGAGCAAGAAAAAATAATTCAATCCTCGGAAAAGATACAGTAAAAATGGCGGATGACAATTGGTGGTCGGAATGCCATCCCTTTCGCTGCCCAAATAGGACCCTGGAGTTTCCTCTTCCGGCATCGGCCAGTCCGCCAGCTCCGCGGGAGGTGGGTCTTGTAGGAGTAAGCTCCCGCGGCGGGAGGAAGCACATTTATACACTAGGGGAGAGCCTGGTTGAATTTGTGACTCAGGCGGAGCCCTCGACGTCAGGAAGGCGAAATGGGAGCGCCCTTTTCCATTGCCTCCCGACCGACCTTCTTTTCTGCTTGCTGTATTGTCGAATTGGCTTTGCTATACTTTTATCGTGCCTTCTGCTTCAATTGACCCTTTTCGACATGGATCACATCAAGAAGACGTTCGAGCGCTGCAAGGCCAACGGCCGGGTCAGTACTACCCCTCAGTTCCGCTTGCGGAGGCTGGCGATGGCTTCTGGGAATGGGGCAGCGCAAACACTTAAAGCATATAGCTAACACGATCTTTCTTCTGTCGTAGGCGGCGCTCGTCACTTATGTCACGGCCGGCTTCCCGACAGCGGCGGACACGCCCAACATCATGTTGGCCATGGAGAAGGGAGGCGCTGGTGAGCGAGCACCTTGACCAACGAGAAAGCACAGCGGAGAAAAGAAACTGACGAGCCAATTCGCCCCAGATGTCATCGAGCTCGGCGTCCCGTTCACTGACCCCATCGCCGATGGACCGACCATCCAGACTGCCAATACAGTGAGCAAACAGTCATCCGAGAGGGTGGGAGGGAGAGGCGGAGAGGTGCGGTGCACGGCGGAAGGCTGACAGCGCGGACTGGTGCCATACACAGATCGCACTGGAAAATGGGGTCACGATCACCTCGGTTCTTCAGATGGTCCGCGACGCGCGCAAACTCGGGCTCAAGGCCCCCGTCATGATGATGGGCTACTACAACCCGATGCGGGCATACGGCGAGGCCAAGCTGCTCCAGGACTGCAGGGAGGCCGGTGTGAACGGCTTCATCCTCGTTGACCTCCCGCCTGAGGAGGCCGTCTCCTTCCGCAAGCTCTGCAGCGTTGCTGGGTGAGCTCTCCCTTGTCCTGCCATGGGTCATCTTGGTGACTCACATCTGACACTAATATGCTGTCAGGCTTTCATACGTACCCCTTATCGCGCCCGCCACGTCGGACGCGCGCATGCGACTTCTTTGCCAGCTGGCCGACTCCTTCATCTACGTCGTCTCGCGCATGGGTGTTACTGGCGCCACTGGCTCGCTTAACGCCGCTCTTCCGGAGCTGCTAGCCCGTGTAAAGAAGTATAGCGGCAACAAGCCTGCCGCGGTTGGGTTCGGTGTCTCGACGCGCGAGCACTTCCTCGCCGTTGCTGGGCTGGCGGATGGTGTCGTTGTTGGCAGCCAGATCATCACGACCCTCAAGAATGCCGAGCCCGGCAAGGTCATCGAGGCCACGCGTGAGTACTGCTCGTACCTGTGCGGCCGCGCCTCTGTCGAGGATGTGGCCGAGGTCACGGCTCCGCCTACTGAGGACGGCGCCAAGACGGCGCCTGGCGACGAGGCTGGCGCCAAGCCCGGTGCCGCCGAGGCCAATGACGCGGACCTCGTGGCGCAGTTGGCGGCCATGCACGGCAAGATCCCCGACCGTTTCGGCGAGTTCGGCGGACAGTACGTGCCCGAGTCGCTCATGGACTGCCTGACGGAGCTCGAGGACGGCTTCAACAAAATCAAGGACGACCCGGTCTTCTGGGAGGAGTACCGGTCATACTACCCTTACATGGGCCGGCCAGGTCAGCTGCACCTGGCGGAACGACTGACGGAGCATGCAGGAGGCGCCAAGATCTGGCTCAAGCGTGAGGACCTGAACCACACGGGCAGCCACAAGATCAACAACGCTCTCGGCCAGCTGCTGCTCGCTCGGCGATTGGGCAAGAAGCGCATTATCGCCGAGACGGGCGCGGGCCAGCACGGCGTGGCGACGGCCACGGTCTGCGCAAAGTTTGGCATGCCCTGCACTATCTACATGGGCGCCGAGGACGTCAGGCGGCAGGCACTGAACGTGTTCCGCATCCGCCTGCTGGGCGCCGAGGTGGTACCTGTGACGGCAGGCACGCAAACGCTCCGCGACGCTGTCAACGAGGCACTGCGGGCCTGGGTTGTCGACGTGGAGACGACGCATTACATCATTGGCAGCGCTATCGGCCCGCATCCCTTCCCGACCATCGTGCGCACGTTCCAGTCTGTCATCGGTAACGAGACCAAGGAGCAGCTGCAGAAGCTGCGCGGCAAGCTGCCCGACGCCGTCGTGGCCTGCGTTGGTGGTGGCAGCAACGCTGTGGGAATGTTCTACCCCTTCTCTAACGACCCTTCGGTCAAGCTGCTGGGCGTAGAGGCGGCCGGAGACGGCGTGGAGACGCTGCGTCACAGTGCCACCTTGTCCGCCGGCACCAAGGGCGTGCTGCATGGCGTGCGCACCTACGTGCTGCAGAACGAGCATGGCCAGATCCAGGACACCCACTCGGTCTCCGCCGGGCTCGACTACCCCGGCGTGGGCCCGGAGCTGTCCAACTGGAAGGACAGCGAGCGTGCAAAGTTTGTGGCGGCTACGGATTCGCAGGCCTTTGAGGGCTTCCGGCTCATCAGCCAGCTCGAGGGCATAATTCCCGCCCTCGAGTCCGCCCACGGCATCTATGGTGCCCTCGAGCTGGCCAAGACCATGGCGCCCGACCAGGACGTCGTCATCTGTCTCAGTGGTCGTGGCGACAAGGACGTCCAGAGCGTGGCCGACGAGCTGCCCAACATCGGCCCCAAGATTGGGTGGGATTTGAGGTTCTAGGCGGTGCGTCGGGTTTTGGGCATGTTTCAAGGCGAAATTTCCTGTGGCGATGGGTCGCCCGTGGGAAAACAATGGTTGGGAGTCGAAGTAAAAAACACCCGTGCAGTCAGGTTTGATGCAGTAAAGGGACACACAGACTATGGTATTATAGACCTAGAACCTAGCATCAGACTTTCGAATGAGAGTTCGGCAGCATTGTCCTAGATCCATGCCTTTTCCTTGGCCATTCTGGCTCCCGGCAAAGCACGCCATTCTTCCGTGGTCAAACATGTCCTGCGCTGCGGGACAAGTTGCCACAGGGGTATCAAGAGAGGGAAGAAGGAAAGTCGAGAAGCGAAAACCGTTTCATGGGATGCAAGCCCGTTTTTGTAAACCAGAAAATTGCAAAACGGTACGTGGTGGCTATAGAGAAAAGGAAGACTGAACGCCATATGTTGGCTTTATCCGCCGTCTAATCGACAGACCAAACAGAAAAAACCGTTACCAAGGAAAAGTACCCAACCAGCGGCGAGAAAAAAGCATCCTCAAGCCTATTAAGCGTGGGTTAAAGCAGGAGGAAGCGAGAACGACTAAGCAGAGACACGAGAGGCCGCCCTTGGGGTATATATAACTTTGAGACGAGAAGAAAACAACAGTCGAGGCGCTTGGGAAAGAAGAAGAGCTCCCCACTAGATCATGTCGCGCGGCCTAGTGGGCGGGGGCAGGGACGGCCTTGGGTCCCGCCGTTGTTCCTAGAACGGCTGCCCGTGGTAGTTGCCCCTGCCGCCCGCCGGCGGCGGCGGCGGCGGCGCCCTCTTCTCGCTGGGGTAGTGTTGTTGGGCGCTGCTGTCGTCGTCGTGGTCGACAAAAACGGCGCGCGACGACTGGTGCCTCCCGACAGCGGACTGGGTCGCGTTCGGGACCGGGTGCTGCTTCATCTCGTGGGTGGCGGCGTAGTCGTACTCGCGCCTGTCGTCGTGCGGCACGTACGGGGGCGCGTCGTGGCTGTGGTGGTGGCCGGCCATGGTGTCCTTTTCGTGGTCGCCCGTCAGGTGCGCGCCGGCGCCGGCCCCGCCGCCCATGCCGCGGGTGCTGTTGCGGGGTCCGGTGATGTTGAGCAGGGCGCGAATAACGCCGACGAGGACGACGACGACGTAGAGCAGCAGCAGCCCCGCCGAGATGAGGGCGTCCTGGACGATGCCGTTCTGCAGGTAGTCGATGACGCGGTAGACGGCGGCCGTGATCTCGTCGGTCGTGACGCTCGACGGGCTCGACAGGAACGACGTCATCTCCGAGTCGCCCGAGATGGACTGCTGGGCGCCGCTGCTGAAGGTGTCGTTGGGGAAGAGCGGGAACGAGACGCGCGCGTGCTCGTGCACCCACGTCAGGCCCTTCTCGACCGCCTCGATCTTGAGCCCGATGATGCAGCGGACCACGTCCTTGACCACGTTCTCGAGCACGGTGCCCTTGAAGACCTGGTCCAGGCGCTTGTTCATCTCGGTCTGGAAGGTGACGAGCGTGCTGTTGACGGCCGACGTGGCGGTGCGCACGTGGCCGAGCACGTCGTTGTTGACCTCGTTGTTGTACTTGAGCATGACGCCGTTGGCGTCGGTGGCCCACTTTGTCGAGACGCCCTCGAGCGTGCGGACGACGTCGTTGGCGAAGTCGCCGACCTTGTTCACGAGCGCGGGCGCCTCCTTCTTGACGAACTGCAGCACGATCCACTGGCAGAAGCACGAGAAGAGGCCGGCGATGGCGAGCGAGAGCACGAAGAGCGCGGGCAGCGACGTCGCGTACGCCCAGGCCCAGCGCACCAGGTACTCGCGGTCGCTGCCCTTGAAGCGGTTGCCGAGCCAGACGCCGACGCGGGAGGACGACGGGCGCGAGGCCTGGTAGATGACGTCCATGGAGTCGAACTCGCGGTTGACCATCTGGCGCGACAGCTCCTTCTGCCGGCGATACCGCCGGATCTCCATGATGGCCATGGGGATGCACACGAGCAGGGCCAGGATGGGGATGACGACGAGGAAGGCGATGCGGGCGTTGTTGGCGACCGTGTAGAGCCCGTCGAAGAAGTCGCGGATGGCCGTGTTGTCGGAGCAGAAGGAGAGGGCCTGCTTCTGGGCGAGCGGGAACATGTCGCGGGGTGCGTTCCACGTCTCGGCGCTCTTGTTGAGCTCCTTGCGGACGAGGTCGAAGGGCACCGCGATGGCCTGCTTGGTGAAGTTCTGCACGTCGTCGAAGTCGGGCGTCTTGTCCTTCATGTCCTTGAGGCTCTTGACGAAGTCGCCGCTGTCGATCTTGATGTTTCGCAGGTCGTTGAGCTTGCTGCCCACGTCCAGCTTGGGGATGCTGATGCCCGAGCCGCCGATGAGGCCGCCGAGGCTGGTGCCCGAGTTGATCTTGTCGATGACGTCGTTAACCGTCTTCTGGAAGTTGCCAATCTCGTCGTTGAGCCCGTTCGATATCTTGCCGATGGCGTCGTTCATGATCTTGGTCACCGACTCGGCCGCGCCGACACCGATGTCAAAGGTGCCGTGGATGAAGGCGGCGATCAGGCACACATATGTGCCGACGTAGAAGTTGATGACAAAGTAGATGATGTTCTCGACCGCCGTCAGGATCAGCATCAGCACCTGCACCATGGCGCTGATTGCGTGCTGGATGCCCTCGGTCGCCACCTTGTTGACGCCGCGAGACAGGTAGTGCGGCATCGAGGCCATGGCGCTGCCGATGTCCTCGACCTTGCTGCACGCCGAGAGCGCGCGCACCTTGGCGTCGCCGATGTTGTCGTTCAGGCCCGCGATCATGATGATGACACGGATCAGGACCAGCAGCAGCAGGATGGTCCAGCGGTTGAGCCATATCTGGGACAGCCTCGACCTCAGGCCGAGGAAGGGGGCGGGCTGGCCGCCGGTGCGCACGCTCGGGAGATCGCGCTCCTGGTCCGCCGGCGCCATGGCCTCGCGTGTCCCGACTGGCCTGCTCCTCAGGCTTTGGGGTAGTCTTGGGAATGCCATGATAGCTAGTTGGTTGGTGGAAGTATTTGCTGTAGAAGGTAGTTCCGTCTTAGTCCAGCTGACGATGTTATGTTTCTATCGGAATGTGTTTGTGATTTCGCAGTCGCAGGGAGACGTGATAAGAAAGTCGTATGGTCGTTTCGAACGCTGCGTCGTAGATGCAATGGGGAAACAGAATAAGAAAGGAAATATGCCCAAAGACGAAGAAAAAACACGAAAGGGAATAGGGAGACGGTCACGAATGTTGAGTGACTGGTATTAGAGGATTATGCGGCCGTCAAGGTCGACAAAGAAAGCCCGTCTTGGACAAAGGGAAATCGTGCGGGGTCACAAGAATAGGAGTGAATAACGAGCCATGACCGTCAGGGAAGGAGGCAAAAGGAAAGAGGCACATGGTGAGTAGGTGAGGAGGAATAATACCAAGCAGAACAATGCAAAGATCTGGTGACGGGCAGTGACAATAGTATATGAATAGGCGCGGCTCGACTGCGGTCAATGGCCTCAATAGCCTCAATGGCCAGGCCTTGCCCAATAGGGAAGGTTGGAGTGGGGCGGACCCCCCTGACACGGAGTGGTGATTGGACGAGCGGGCAGCAGCGGGAAGGCCGACGGTCGACTTACAGGACGTTGACGGGAGTTCAATTTCCAGCGACCCTTGCACGAGGCGCGTCTCCGGATCTCCTCTCTGCCCGTGGCAGGCGTCGGGCAGGGCAAAAATAGCAGTTGGCTCTTTGTTTCGACCACAGGCGCCCGCTGGGGTTTCTTTGTCGCGCGGGTCGGTGGGTCGTGGGGTCAGGTTAGCCGCCCGGTCAGCGGAGCGCTGCACTATCAGCCAGTCGTTTCCCTGCTTGGCGCGGCCTTGAAGACGCCCGAAACCAAAGCAAATTCGGCCCTGGACCCTTGCTTGCGCTTCGCTCGTATGACCAGCGGCGGCCCTTGTTCTTGTCTTTTGAGGGACACGGAGTGAACGTCGTGTAAGTCAAATGGTCGCAGCTCCTGTGTTGAGGATTTTTTTTTTTTTTTTACTTGCGCGCAAAAGAAGAAAGTCAGCGCCACTGCCAGGGTGGCAACTACCAAACAGCAGCAGCACCCTCAGATATATGGCTCCTTTCTTCTTCTTGTCTTGGACCGGAGTCGGCGATTGGGCAAGGGGACACCTCGGAGCCTGAGGTGGGTGGTGTCCATCTTTCGCAAAGGGAATTCGCCATCCGGAGCGGATGGCCGCCCGGGGGTGGCTGGCATTTTAACCCGCGTTGCTGGTGGCCTCCTGGGAGACGATGCCTTGATTTTGGCGGTGGGAATGCAAACTGACATCAGTCGCTCGGCTAGACGAGGGAGTGGAGAGGCAGGCTCGCAGGCGGGTGAGCAACTGCACCACACTACCTCAGCCAGGAGGGTGGCTGTGTGAGTTTTCTGCTCGCCTCAAGGGTCTTTTCCCTTCTTCCCCACGGCCTTGGACCAAGCAGGAACAGCCGTGCCACCGCATCTGCAAGATGGAGAGGGTCTGGACAAGGTTGCGGGACGATCGTCGCAGGTTCTGGCGGTTCGCAGATGAGATGGCAGCCAATCGACCTGCGTCGACAAGGGGTGCCCCACCGGTGAGGTCAGTGGCGTCTCGGCCAATCAGATCGCTGGGTGCCAGCTTCTGACGGTGCGCCAAGCCTTTGTCTCTGTTTGCCACCCTCGCTAGAGCTTTTCCACGTCGTCGGTGCCACGGAAACAGGTTTGGCCTTGGCTCGGGGTTTTGCCAGCGAATGGCCTCAACAGCTCTAGCGTACCTGCAGTGCTGCCTCGTGCCATGAGTCAGCTGCGGTATTCTTTCAGGATCATGGAGTCTGCCCATTGCCAGCCTGCCACCCCTGCGTTTAGCGAATTTTTGTGAGTGTTCCAGAATCGCGTTTGTCGGCTACCTCGTATGTCTGCACCTTGGTTAGACCACATGAGCACTGTAACCACGGGCAGGTGGATGGTAGCCGACATTGGTTGGGCATCAGGCTGATCAGGTTATTCACTGCTTGCTGTCCTAGAAGCCCAGCCTGCAAACCACTCGCTCCATATCGAGGTAGTGACACCACTGTGCCACTGTGCTAGCGAAAGGCAACAATGGGTTGCATCCCCTTTCAGCCGCTGCTGAGAGGCTGGGATAGAAGGCAAAGAAAAAGGAAAACCAAATCACCGATTGGCAAACGCTCACAGACAACATTGAAGCTGCATTGTCACGAAGACAATGGAAGGTCCACCTCGTCCCTCATTCTAACTTTCTAGCGACGCCGTGCCATAACTGCCCATATTCTACCCCAAGCCAAGACGTTTCTACCGCCTCTCTCCCATGTAGCTCCAGGACTAGCATTTCGGGGCCACGGCCCTTGAGGTTTTAGCATTGGGCTGGCGACCTCGGCGGGCGAAATCACGGAGCCGTCGGTTTCGGTGCCTGGGGCTGCGGCGGCGAGGTCCATGGCGGTGCCTACGGCGCTGCCGCTCGAACTGGTGCTGAGGTCCATGTTCAGGTGGTAGCGCTCAGGCACCAGGAGGTTCAATATTGAGCCCGTCATCTGACTTCACCCCTCGGAGTCGAGGTACTTGCCTACAACCCGCACGAAGATGGCGCCACCGCTGGCGCAGATTGACGTAACCACCACGTCGCACCATAAGCGCGGCTCGGCTTATACTCCCGTACTCAGGTCAACCCACATAATTACTCGCATGCCTCTGTCCCTTGTCCATCCCCACCCTGCAACGACATCACGTCCACGCCCAACAGCAACCTGCCCGTCCACCAGGGGAAGACCTCTCCCTCTTTCCCGAGCAAGCAATAAGCCACACCGGCGCGGGCTCTTTTTTCCGCCATTCCCCCCTCTTTACTATACCTACTTCAATTTCTCCCCGGATTTCCCCTCCTAAGCAATACAATTATTGCCTGTAGTGATCAAAGAATCAACACACAAGCACCACATCACCCAGATCCCCGCCTAGACTCGGACGAGGTTGCCTTTCTCTACCTACCTCCTTTTCCAGCCCGACCGCGAAAGCCCATTACCTCTGTACACGGTCGTAGCACCACCACCAACTTTTTAGGTTCAACTCCAAAGGTAGCCCTGGCTTTTCGACCTCTTCTGCACACTGCCCCTAAACCCCGATAACCGAATAGCATCGCCGGCCTGTTCTTCCAAAAAAAAAAAAAAAAAACCCTGGCGTCCGGTTGGTAGCATTTTTAAAAGTGCACCCCCTAACAAGCAAGACTAGGCGCAGCAACCTTGCCACTGCCTCCGCTCTTAGACTAATCACCTCCGACCTCCCGCGCGGCGAGACTGGACTCGGTCGGCACGAGCTCCCATGCACCCAATCGGCCCAATCGGGCCTCTTCATGGGGATCCGTCTACTGGCCGTGGAATTCAGGAAGCAGTTTCCCGAATGTCGTGAGTAGGGAGGCAAGGGTGCGTTCGTGTTATAGGACGTGAAAGACCGTTCTGGCTTGGTCGAAGTTTGAGGGCGTCCTTCCGCATTCAGGACCGACAATTCAACAACGCATACCTCCTCGTCATCGACATGCTTCAGGACATTATTCTGGGACGCAAGTTCTTCGATTACCATGACATCCTGGCGGACTGCCGGAACAGACAACTCCTGTTCACAGAGACTAGTTTGCCGATGGAAAAGACTGCGGATATTCCCATGGATGAATCCGCACAACCGACCCCCGGCAAGCCCGAATGGGAAAAAGATGTCGCAGACCGAAAAAAGGCAATGGCCTTGGAAGATAAGCGAAGGGCGGACGGCGAGCCGCACCGCTAGCCTGGAAGGAAGGCCTGTGCTCCAGTTTGGTTGCTACTATTATGGGGGCCTTTCAGGGTCCCCTGTCCTGCCAGTATGTGCGCGCCTAACCTGTCTGCCTGGCGGTCGCACGCTTTCATGATTCCTATCTGCAACCCCACATCCCAGCACCCGAGCCGAACCTGCGGGGTTACAACTAGGACCAAATGCTCAACAGCGAACTCGACGCGGTCTTCGAGAGGTCGACGGTCGCGACAGCAGCAAGATCACCCCATCTTTCCAGCCCCAGCTGCACCCACGGAAATCATCCAGCATACTGTTACCGCAGGGCAGGAAAGCAGAGACCCGTTTGTTGATAGGCGTAGGGATAACGGCGGAAGTGCCCTAGTGGAAGGCGGACGGGGCACTCGCCACTTGACACTGTACTGTTCCCCCGGGATGCCTGTGGAACGGAAAGTGATAGCGCTACGTAAGGGTTACATAACATGGAACTTTACGCGACAGAAACATTGAAGGCCGCGATTAAAGGCAGAAAAATACCAGACAGGAAGACCGACCAGTCGCTCAGTTGGGGTTGCATTTCTCCATTGCAATCTTCTAGCTTCAGGAACCGGTCTCTGGGTCCCGTGAACCTGTCTTTCGATGACGGCGCTTCTTCATCGCCGACAATAAGACCTAGCAAGTCCATAGTGTCTGCTTCAACTGCTTGGGGGCTATCTCTGTGCCCACGGGTCAGTCTCTTAACTGGAATAGCAGTCCCCAAAATTCCTTTTTTTCTTTTCTCAACGATTAGAATCGAGTTATCGTGAACTGGATTGCAGATCGAGGTAGGGGCAGCCGCGCTCCTCTCTCCAATCCATTGTCGACCTCTTCGAGGAAGATCCGCATGCCGTTGAGGTGTCGATATACTACTTCTACCTCGGCTCACAGCTTTTTCGCAGCAGCTAACGGGGGCATGCTGGCGTGATCGGGCTCCGGGGCCGGGGAGATCATGGGCGACTGCTGCTCGAACCGCACGTTGAGCGACTTGATATGCAGGTCGGTCCAGTAAATGGGCAAGACACAAAGCCTGTAGCGAGAGTACGAATGCATAATATCGTTAAAAAAAAGCCCGGCTCGCGGCAGGTGCGCGACAGCGTGGGACGCAGGGACGGCGACTGTGACTCTGCCATGGTCACAATATCACCGCTGGGCGGCGGCTTGGAATTCCTGACGTTGACATCCCCAGGCTTTGTTCCCGTAGGGAGGCGGCGGTTCCCGACGGTTTCTAAGGAGCGCCGCACACTTGGTCTCCGGCCCTGCGAAACAGTGTTCTGGCCGCTATGTGCCGCGAAGAATGTTCTTTAACGGAGCCAGAGGAGGGGAAGAAGGCCCTCCAGATAGAAACAGCGCGTTTCCTGATTGTCATGGTTGTCACATGATCTGTCGGTGCTTCGACGCAGCGTACATTGCGCTTGATCCGATCCTGCCCAGACGCTGCCGGATTTCCGGGGACAGTTTGTCTGCCGGCATCCGTCATGTCGAAAAAGGAGGTGCCGAGCACCCTTGCAGTGCCATGCGTTGTACCGGCACGACGGAAGGACAGGGGGGACGCCGTTTCGTGTGTATAAGGACGTCTACTTCTCGGAGGCAAAATGGTAACTGGACTGCAATCAAGCATCAATTCCTCTCATACGCAGTAATCATCCCAATCCGACACCTCCTGCTCATCGAGGGCTTCCTGCTTATCGAGAGCTTCATCGTAGTGCTGGTCTGCTAACTCGTTTCCGTCCCTTGGCACCCAAACATAGCTGATATCGCCCTCAGCCCTCAATCTGCCGTCGAGACGGTCGGCCTTTTCCCCAGTTGGATCACCATCCGCCGCGGCCAGATTCTCTGTGCCATCTTCCCAGACCACCACCGTCGACTACTTCATCCGCAAAGGCAACATTCACGTCCCTTCCCTTTTCCGAGCATGCAAGGGCGGCCTCTACTGGTTCTGGTCCGGTGCCAATTAGGTCGCCGTCTTCACCTAGGCTAGTAGCGTCGCGATAGGCCTGCCGGGCCTCGTAGGCCAGTACCAGCCGCAAGTCATCAGCCAGGGCGTTAAGCCCATGTACATGATGGGTTGGCAGCTGACCTTTGTGTCGTCGGCCGTTGTGTACCTGGTCTACTAGCAGTTCTTCTTCAAGCCCAGCGTAATCCCTCTGGGGTACAACGGTATTGTTCCCAACACGCGGGAGTTCTTGGCCAAGGAGGGTCGCGAGGGCTTTCTGGATAGGGAGCGAGAGATGGCTAGTGTTGCCGGGTCGGACGAGCTCATCTCGCCGCGCACTCCCGCTGCGACTGGCGAAAAGCAAGTTGGAAATGTGGAAAAGGCATTGAGGGTGTAAGAGATAATATCAAACGGCGTTGATGTTTCTAAAGGAGCGTTCGATGAATGGCCAAGCTGGATGCAGCAGCTTGAGCGCTGCATGTGTGTCAGCATTTGGTGACGTCAGCAAAGCCGTTCAGCGCTAACCCCGCCTAGTCACAGCGCTGTTTGCCGCTAGGACAAATTAAGCCTACGTGCTTAGAAGGAAGCACGATTTCCCAAAGAAAACAAGCGCTTGAGCCGCACTGCGCTTCGCAATGTCGCATCCTGCCGCCGGTCCACCCTAGTCATCCGTCCAATCATGCAGCGGGCGGCAGCTGAGAGAAGCGCGCGATGGCTGCTGTTTAGCGACCTCCATTTCAAGCACAAGGACCTGGGGCCCGCCGAGGGCAGCGAGGCCATTACACCCACCTTAGAAAACGCGAAGGGACCTTAGGTCTGGTGCTCCTGATGCGTCCGCCATGGCGAACTGGAAGCCGACTGAGGAGAATAAAGTGAGGATCAAGCGAAGGGGTTGGGGCCCGGGGACGCCCACGGCGACTTCTTGCATAGACAGCGTTGCGGAGGAGCCGGCGTAGACGTTGTCCTGATGATGCATAGGCGTCGATCCAGAGGTGTCGGATGCCGAGTCTGCGACATGCGACTATGGCCCGCTGAGGGCCTGGCTGAGGCTGCCGAGTAGTATACAAGTTTGTGGGACGCTACGACGCTCCTCCCGGTCTGAGCCGGGCCGCCGGTCGGCCTTTGGAGGCAGCAGTAACTTGACGTCGCATAGTACTCGATGCCCGCACTACCACCAACCGCCGAAGGTCCGATTCCAAATTCAGCGCGTTAGAACTAAGGTCCACCATCCAACAACCTCTTCGGACGTGGGGAGCCGGTGGCAAGCGGCAAATCCCGAACGGTCAGGGTCCGACACCATTCTGTGGCGGCAGCATCCTGCCACCGTGGCAACACACCGTTTTGGGCTGTCCCAAATCTTTGGATCTATCTCTATTAACTCTCTCTCTTTTTTTTTTTTTTTCTTTCTCTCGCTCGCGTCGAAGGGGGAAGGTCCCGCATTCCCGTCGATTGCGAAGAGGGGAAAACGGGCGAGAAAGGTCTCCCGGCGCTACCCTCACCAGCGAAAAAAAGGGAGGCGAGTCTTGGAGGAGGGCAAAGGGGTGGCGGGCATTACAGCCGGAGCAGCCCTCCGAAGCACCTGATTACCCTCATTGGTCAGCTATTGAAGGCTAGTTCAGCCCTGACTGTAGGCCAAACAGGCCCGAAAGAGGCGGGCACGAAAGCTCCCCCGCCCGCCACGCGTGTCTGAGGGTCCCGGCCCGGCGCGGTTCAAGGCCAGGGCCGGCCCCATGCACCCCTAGGGCACAGCCCCAACACGGTGAAACAGGGTGTGTAATTAGAATGGGAGGTCATCCAGACTCCCGACACCACTTTAGCTAGCAATCAAAAGCCACATGCCCTACACGATCCACCCCCGCCAACTCCACACTCCCCGAACCACCAGGCCCTGAAGCGAGGAGGCACCAGCCTGGACGAGCAACGCGCAAGCCTGGACAGGCAACGCGCGGCCTATTGGCCCTCCGGGAGGGGGCTACCGCAAGCCGAGCACAGGCCAAGGCTCACGCTATTTCGCGGGGAGCCGGGATTGCCTAATTTGGGGGCTAATTTATTTCACTAGCTGCACCAGAGGATCAGTTTCGGCCCCACACGCTCACAAGCGCAGATGTGCCGTCCTGGAGCGCCTTCTCTGACTGGCCTTCCTCCCAAATCTTGCATCCTATAGCTCTCTGCTTTGCCCGCAAAACCTCCTTCACCCAGCCCGCTCGATCTTGCCTTTGATACATGGAGAACGGGCGAGAGCAGGCGTGGTAGCCCAGCATGAGGGCTCCCAAAAGAGGCGCGCGGGTGGGTCTAAAAAGCAAAGTGAGTTGTTTTGAGGAGGCGCACCTGCCCGCCGGGAATTCCTCGTCGTAATTTCGTCCTTCAGCCACAAAAAGGCAATGATAAACTTTCCCTCATAGGCAAGTCGCGAGGCCTTTGTGCAATGGTTTGGGCGGCCAGCATTGTAGGTTCAAACCCCTAACTTTCGGTTCAGCGTCAGCCGCAGAATATTTGTGGTGGCTGCTTGTTGTGGCTTTATGCCACTTACTTAGCTGCAGCTTTGGCGCGCTATGTTGTATGAACTGGCTTTTTCCGTGCCTGGGGTTTGTAAAGCAAACCCAATCGACATCGTGCATGGCCTTGTCCATACATAGGTAATGACGCCCGATCGCTTAACCGCACGTGGACATGGGGATCGGCGTGATGGACGGAACGCCCAAATGAAGCCTAGTGGCGCCAAAAGCACGCCCTCCCCATCCCGCCTGCTTCACCTCAGTGTCTCGCCACTAATTTCCAAAGTATAAACTGTCTTTGTTTTCCGCCCTATCGCGGCGGGATGAAACAAGGTATCCAGCTGCTCGGGTCCCAAGATCTCACGTTCGCCGCTCGCCCCCCATGTCGTCCAACTCGACCGACGCCTTGGCATACCGCCGGGGCGAAGACCGGGCCAGCTACGGCGTTCCAATCACCATTGTCTGCCCGGCCATTGCACTTATCCTTGTCGCCCTGCGCATTTACTCGCGAGCTTTTCTAGTCAGGAAAGTCTTCTGGGAAGACTACATTGTCGTTGCGGCTATGGTACGCGGCGGGATCCTTAGCTGCTTCCTTTGATCCCGAGCCCCCCAATCCTAACCAAAGCTTGAATCCATGCTTGTTTCGACATCTATAGGCTTCGTCCATCTCTATTTCGGTCCTCATTGTGATTGGTAAGCCGTAAAACGTGTTTCGGACCGCTGAGTTCGCTATATGGTTGGCTTTTATGCTAATATTCCTAGCGTTCTCCAACGGTAACGGAAGACATTTCGAAACAGTCAGCGCCGCCGAATTTATCCGGCTCCGCAAGGTACATTTTGGAAATCAACTTTTTCCGGGTAATGTCCACGACGCAGCAACTAATGACAGCTTATATCTCGCGGCAGATTTCTCCGGGTATTTACATCGCCTACGCCGCAGCGCACGTATTCGCCAAATTGTCGATTGTATTACAATATACCCGAATCAGCGTCATGGATCTTGAAAAGCGTCTTTGTTATGCTCTTTCAGCAATTTTATGCTGTGGATTTCTTGCTTCTTTTGTCCTTGCTTTTGTTACGTGCATACCTTTTTACGCCGTATGGACACCCGACGTTCCGGGAGCCGTTTGCCTCAACACTACCGCTACATTCACGGCAATCCAGATATACCTTATCATTATGGACTTTGCCATTCTCATCGGCCCTTTTTTTATTCTTCGGCACTTAACTATCCCTTGGCCACAACGAATATTTTTGGGCTTTATTATGTCTCTTGGAGCAACGTAAGTTACGTTTTTTTCTTTTTTTTTTCTTTTTTTTTTTTCTTCTTCTTCTCGTATATCTCGGATAACCGAAGCGGGTAGCTAACGCATCTTCTCGCTTATCGTTTTTTTAGAGCGTGTATCGTATCTGTTTTACGTTTGCAGGTGATTTATCGGTCGACAACCTCAGCAGATAAAACGTGGGATGCTGTCCCCAGCGGCTTATACGCCATCATCGAGATAAACGTTGGTATTGCCTGCTCATGCGTCGTTACTCTAAGACCACTATTTGGTCGATGGAGGTGGCTTTCCAGCGGAGGAAAAGCAAAGCCGCCACAAGCCATAACTCCTGCGCGGAAGCCTCCGCGCCCAATGGACCCTTTTTCGGTGGGCACCGATAGTACCCAAGTCCTCACTGTGTCCGACGATGTGGAGCTTGGCTCCATTAGGGCAGGTAGTAGATCTGGGGAAGATGGAGAGGCAGCTCCTCCGCCGGCGGCGCAGTGTCGAGCGCAAACCCCCGCTGCCGGTCAGATGATGGGCAGCATCACCAGCAAACATCTGTGACAGAAGGTTCCGATCACACGGACCCAAGTCACCCGAGGTCCTCCCTCACGCCGTCTTTGGCATCCTTTCCAATTTCCACTCGCCCGAGACGCGGATAATCGACATCGGGGGACTGGGAACTCGGCGGTGTGCTAGTGTGAGGGGTGGTTGGGCTAATAGGTCAAAGCCGGCCACCGATGGCCCCGCTTGGGAGGAAGAGGAGGGGGAAATACAGCCGTCGGGCGCAAATGATGGCGGCTCGTCGGATTCGGAAAGGACGATGCTGCGTCGACTTATGTCTCTGGATCCAGGGGTTAGCGATCGTCCTAATCATGGCATCATAATCTGTCATCAGCTCGGTCAGATGCCTTCGGGCGGCAGGTGTCCGCATAAACCCGCTTAGCTCTCGCTGCGCCTCCCGCTCGTTCATTCTATGGACCTACCTGGACACGCTCTAGTACCCACTCCACTCATTGCTCGTTACTGCTCTCTTATGCTTGACACGAGACATTCATTATATGATAATGCTACATATTTGCAGGAATTCGAAACAACCTCTCCTAGGCATCTGCACATACACAAAGGTCGTTCATGCGCTGCAGTTGCGAGCACCCAGAAAAGCTGCACACCGGCGCCATTCCACAACCAACCACTGTCTTCGGTCGCTTGCCCGTCTCCCCTCAGGCCGGTCCTCGCGGGGAGGCTCCTGGGGATTGCCGGCCTGGGGGGACATTGGTGCAACAGGGCCGGTCCCGTATTGCCTATGCTCTGCCTGGCTGCTGCCTTCCACCACGCGCTGTCCCCGTGCCCGGCCGGAACCCGTGATGGAGGCAGCGGCCCCTCCGCCTGAACGAGCCGACCGGTCGGGCGGAGTCGTCGTCGTCCCGGGAACCCTGGGCGGGCCGATTAGGAACGCATCCGAGTGGGCAGCGTTGGAAGCCCCACCAACGGCCGGGCAGGATAGGGGAAGCGCGCTGTTGTCTCTGCTAGCCGACGCGGGAATATAACCCTGCCCTGCGCGTTCTGAACATCGGTCATGTCGACGGCGGATGCCCTGAGATCCAAGCATTTGGCCAGGCAGGTGACAATCTTGGCGAGTATCAGCGAGAAGTCTTTGAGCCTGGCCCAGACGTCTCCCTTCTTGATGCCGTTGGCCCGACTTAGGGTCACGACGTCGCCGTGCCGGAAGAAGTCGTACAGTAGGCGTTCTACGGCACCCCATCCGTGTCGTCCGGGTAGGCGCGGATGAAGCGACGGAAGATTCCTCGAGGAAGACGCCCGTACGCCCCGTCGAGCGCAGATCTTGAGCCGACCCGAAAGAGTCGGTAAGCCGGTGGGGCTGTACGCAGTTCATATTGGCTGTAGCAGTGCTGTTAAAGGATGTGGCTGAAGGCTAGCGATTCCGGAAGAGCTTTAGTGTGAACTGAAATAATTCTGCTGCCCACTGGGCCGCCACAAAAATGCGCATCTAACAACCGCGGAGTTCGCTGGTGGCGTCCGCTACGTGGCAAAACGCCTCCGTTGGCACCCCCTCAAATGCATCGCCAACCCCTTTTCGTGGCAAGTCGGTAGCAAAGCTTTCAGCGCATAAAAAAAGCGATTCCGTTCGCCCTTCTGTGCAGGATTGGCCTTAAAAGATAGACTCAATTCATTCAATCCCATTTCTCATGCTTCCTAGCTGCCCCTGACTACGTGATAGTCTCCGAGCTGTTCCACACCTCCGTTTTCCCGAACCAACCTCACGACTCGAGGTATTTACTTTTGGAACATCCTGTTATCCTTTCCGCCTTCCGGCATCTTTATTCACACCCCCGATGTCACGTCTCTTCTTCGAGGGGTTTTGGCCGCCTTATCTCCGTTACGTGGAGTCGCATTGGCGAGCTCTTGGAGAAAGGGAGCGGATGAATGAAATGCTTCGGAAGCAGCTCGAAGAATTTAAAACTCGACCGGAGACTACAAATCTCATCGAAGAGGCAGTTTTGGAATACACTGCCAAGCTACACGGAAGCATCATCTCAGCACTTCTTCAGCTTGCTTACATTGCGCTTGCAGTAAGACTCTGCGATGCGTTCATCGCCGCCCAGACCGTCATATGGTGTATCCTGGCCGCTATGGCGGCCGAGCACTTGTATGCGACGACGGTCCAGCAGCGGAAGCCCAGCCACTCCGTTAGAGGGCTGGCTGCCATGGTACTGGTATACGTGGCGCCACTGGTGTCTGACCGACTTTCCACCCTTATCAGCTGCTGGGCCTGGATTCAGAGTCTCTACGTTACGTTTGCCGACCATCTCCAGAATGACATCTCGGACCACGACCAGGTCAGAGTATTCCTCGTCGGAGCGTGCCTCAGCGGCTACTTCTCTCTCCTAATGCGCTTCTTGAGTGAATGCCACTCGTTTCGCGGGTTCATCGCGGTGGCGGCGGGCACATTTGTCGCAGTCAACCTCCCACACATTGCATTTCGAATTTGGGAACATCTTCCCCACTCAGATCAATATGACCTATATTACGCCACACAATTGCTCCTTTTCCGGCTGAACGCCGTCATCCGATTTGTGGCCGAGTCGAGACTAGGAAGGAGAGCCCCCGTTCACAACCCTTGCGCGAGGGTACGATCCCAAAACGCCTACTACAAGTACGCTTCTCTAGCTAGAAATCAAATCCGAGTCCTCAGACTGCTCCCCGGCCCGCCCTCGGAGCCCATCCGATGCCAACTTGACACGGTTTCGCTGGAGGGCGATGTCGCTTATCAAGCCGTGTCGTATGTATGGGGAAGCGACCAGTTAAGCCAGTTCGTTATTGTGGAGCGGGGCAACAACAACAACAACAACAACAACAAGGGCGCGCGTCTGGACGTGACGGCGAGCGCGCACGCCGTGCTAAAGAAGCTGCGGTCGCGGTGGCAAGAGCGGGTGCTATGGATCGATGGGCTCTGCATCAACCAGAAGGACGAGGACGAGAAATCATCGCAGGTTCAGATGATGGGCAGGGTGTACGCCGGGGCATGGCGCGTCGTCGCGTACCTCGGCCCCTCCGAGACGGCTCCCCTCGTACAGTCACACCTGGCGCGGATCCGGTACTTGCGGCAAGGCCGCGGCATGTCGATTCGGCAGATACGAGATGCCATGCTCGACTCTGCACCGGGCTGGTTGGCGCTTCGCCATTTTTTCAGCAACCCATGGTTTACCCGCGTCTGGATAGCCCAGGAAGTCGTGTTGTCAGCGGAGCTACACCTCATCTACGGCGACATCTGCATGGACTGGGGAGCCATCAGCCAGTCAATAGAGGTCCTCGTGCACCTCATCATCAGACCGTTCCTTCTGCAGGATAACGACTCGGATTCTAGCCCCGGAAGAAGCGCCATCAGGGAGGGCCTCGACGGCGCCTGCGCCATGCTCGAGCTACACGGCGATTTTAAGAGCCGCCCAAGTGAGATGACCCTGGGCGCCGTCCTAGGGTGCGCTCTTTGCTTCAACTGCGGAGACAAGAGGGACAAGATCTACGGTCTGCTCTCGCTCGTCAAGGATCCGAAAGTGACGCCCAACTACCGTACAGACTACCAGGAGGTGTACTGCAGCACCATGCGCCAGATAATCTGGGCCGACGGCGCCATCAAGGCACTCCACTACGCCGGCAACGGCAGCCGCAAACCCGTAGCAGGCTTGCCGTCCTGGGTATCGGATTGGCAATACAGCTCACTTAGCGGGTTGTACAACCGCGAATACACTGCAGGAACTGACCGCCCCTCCACCGTCCTTGTCGACCCAGACAGACCGCTTTGTGTTTCCGTCAAGGGATGGCGACGAGACCGTGTTAAGCTACTCAGCGATGCTCTGGAGATGGGCGACGAGGCATCAATATCAAAGGGCAGCCACATTCTGAGGGCGTGGCACCGTGCCGCGGAGACCATGGCCATGGAAAACGCCATCTGCTACCCCGAGGGCAAGCGCCTGGAGGTTTACATTCGCACAGCCATAGCGGACCGTTTTACAACGCTGACGACCGCCAAATGTATGGAGATGTATGAAAGCTTGCATCAGTACTTGTTCGGACTCGGCTTTGCCCCAGAGTTGCGCGAAATTCTAGACCTGTGCGGCACCAGCGGCCAACTTTGGGAGCTGTGCAAGCCTACCATGGAACGGTGCACCCAAGTTGCCATGGCTGCGGTGGAGTTCTTGGGCCTTAGCAAGCATCTTTTTCGCAACAGGTTTTGCGTCACCGAGCATGGCCGAACAGCGATAGTGCCACCTAGAGCTCGAGAAGGCGACATCATCTCCGTACTTGGCGGAGCTGGCATGCCTTTTCTCTTGAGGCCTCAGGGAGAAGCATTCGAGCTTATCGGCTGTTGCTACGTATATGGCCTTATGGAGCGTGGGGCGGTTGACGGCCCAGGGGAGTATTTTGTCATTGTATAATTAGCATCTAGTACAACTGCAAGCATCACCACCCCCAGTTTCAAGACACGACGTACTAGCCAAGTGACCGCAACTTCACACGCCCAGCCAAAGCATAAAAAGGAAACACCCGCTTCCCAAAATGTCTCCCAAGGACGTTATCACCCGGCGGTCCATCTTGGCACGGGACCAACTAGTCTTTTAACAAGGGTGGCTGTCCCCCGACTACAACACGCGCTTCTCCCTCTCGAACTTTTCGCCCGCTAAAAAAGCCGAGCTTCGCGTTATGAGCAGCCGCGCCCACGACAACCGCCGGTCGTTCGACTCGGCCGCTACGGCATCGATACTAGGAGGCATGCCCGTGGTCCAGGCCTTGCACCACCTGCCCGTGCCGAGCCGTAGCCATTCGACGGCGAACCGCTAGGCGGGCGGGCGGAAGGGGACGGAAGAAAAGGAAACGTGTGTAAAGCAAGGGAATGTGTATAATGGGCGAGCCAAGTTATAATTAAACGGCGAATGCTTTCTTGTCTTTCGAACAGAAATACTGGGGCCATTCTTTATCGTGTGTATTTTAACTTTGCTCGGGGATAAGCACCTTTGGTACCAGTAACTAAACCAGTAGCCGTAAGCAGATGGCTGCGTGGGAGGGTGCCAAGTAGACCCAACAAGATAAGTATTGGCATTTCCAGCCCTACATAAAATGGAATGCTTAAACACGTGCTTAGTGGTGGCCAAAGTGGAGGGAATAAATTTGTATTTTTATTACTCGGGGGTTGTACGTTGTGGACCCCCTCTAGAGAGGGGGCGTGAAAACTCTGATTTCGGTGAAAACCCTGGGTTGTTACGACCAACCAAACTACAGTGACAGGCCTGAAGGAACAGCGGTGGCAGGGCGACAGGAGCTGCCCCTCCTGTCAGGAGATCACGTGACCTCCGACGGTGATAGGCGTGGTTTGTCGGGGTTAGACATATCAGGGATATCAACCAGGTGATATGAGCGATCAGTGTAATCGCAACATATCAAACCGGACAAACATATCACAGCGAACGAGGTGGGAAAAGCACAAAGAGCTTAGGGTATAAAAAAGGAAGATTTTTTACTGTCCTAAATAGTTTTTAACAAATGCACCGCTATTAATCAATTTTTAATTAGCTTCCAATCCGGCCCTTCACCACCTGGCCAGCCAAGCGACGGCCTCATACTGTGACAGAAATATCTCTAGTGCCTTGTAATTTTGTCAGCCGCGCCGCAATTGGCTTCAGATATCTGGTAGATCTAGCGGACGAGTGCGAGCAATCCTCCCACTCGAACCCACCCCCGGCTCCTCCACGATTCGCCCGGCGTGCACACCCATCCGACAAGATGCCCTCGGTCAAGAACCCTAACAAGCCGCCCAAGAACCGAATAGCGGCCCGGCCCGTCAAGGAGCGCAAGACCCAGCAGAAGAAGTCCGCGGAGGGCAAGCTCTCGCGCGTTGAGAAGTCGACGGCAAGGCGCGAGGCCCGGCCAGGCCTGCTGCCAACCGGCGGAGTGGGCGCGCCTATCAACGCCAAGTAGCAGCGCAAGCTCGACAGGAAGATGAACCACGCGCTGAAGCGCCAGATGGAGGCCGACGGGGAGGTGGAGATGAAGGGTATGATCCTCCGATCTGTCGCTCTTGCCTTTTCTCGTGCTGATTGCTCGCCAACGTGAGAGCAGACGTCCGGGAGAAGAAGTCTTCCGCCAGCAAGACCAAGGAGGCCAGTGATCCAAAAGCCTCTGATGACATGGAGCTCGATATCTCATGAAGAGCGGGAACACGAGCACATGGAGGGGTTTGGCCCGAGACGGATAGGACGCGAAAAGGCTCCTCTCCCCGGCGGTTGTGCGAAGGAAAAAACTCTGGACCGGGTCCTGTTTTGAGGGGCACCCGTGGACTCCACAAACGCTGTCCAGTTCGGCATAGGAGAATGAGCTAGCATCATTGGCCAAGCGCGTATGGCCTTCCCGTTCACGGACTCTTCCCGCATCCACCGCCAACTCTTCTTTGGCATCCCCTGGGCGCGAAAAGCCCAGGCCTGTTCTGCTGGTGTACACCCTGATCTGGTAACTAGAAGCCGATACCTAGGGACCCACCTAGGTACTTATAGGGCTCTAGCCAGGCCAGGAAGCATGCCACGGGGACCCCTCCTGGTGGTATCTGCACCTAACCAGAAATATTCAATCCAATTTATTCTCAGGCGCATTCCGACCGGCTCCATTTCTGGCTGTCCTTGCACTCGGCCCCCCAAGTTTTGTCAGCCGTGCATGCTGACTGGGTGCCCTTTCCTTCCATCTCGAGGACGGCCGGACTAACAGCTCAGTTCCTGAGCCAGGCCCACCGAATCCACGCAGTCACGAGGTTGGCCACCTGTGTATGCACACCGATCGGTTGGCATCGCAGGTGAATCCGCGGCTCCCGATCCTCTGTCTCCTCTGTTTTCTATTAACACACCACCAAAGGCATCCATGGCCGCTGTGCAGTCACACAACCGGGAGCTCGGGCTGACCTCAGGCGGCAGCTCTTTGGGAGATGCTCCAGGTCATATCGGTTAAGGGCCGGTACGCGCGAGAAATGCAGATTTAAATGAACAGCCATCCAGACAAAGGCAATATCGAGCCTGAATCCATCATCATATGACAATCCGGTATGGTGTCCCGGTGTACCAGCCCAGGCATCAGCTGTTCAACTGGCCCCTCCATCCCAGTCCCGTCACCAAGGATGCGGTTCCATCCTGGCTCGTTCTGGCGACCCTACGCTCGAGCAATTTTATCCACCTTCAATTTGGTACTCCTTTATCGACATCCACCTTCCCCCCCTTGACCGCCTGCATCCCTTCACCGGCAATCCATGGCAACCCTGACCTACCAATACCGTCCGATCAAGGGCGACACCCAGAAAGGAATATTGCGCATCTACCCCGCCACAGCTAATGCGCCCCTGGTGGGGGAGCTGGTCCACGGCAACTTCGACGACCAGCCGACATACGACGCCCTGTCGTACACATGGGGCAATCTAGACATGTGCGAAAGAATCGTACTGCACGAGGGGCGCGAGCAACTAGAGCTTCCGATCACGGCGAATCTCAACGCTGCCCTGAAGAGGATGCGCGCGCGCTTCCCGCAGGAGTCGACCTTGATTTGGGCTGACGGCATGTGCGTCAACCAGGCCGATCTTCAGGAGAGGGGCCAGCAGGTCCAGTTGATGGGGCGGATCTACACGCAGTGCCAGCAAGGGCTGATATACCTCGGTGAGGAGGCGGACGGGAGCGAGCTCATCCCCGACTTTCTCCCCGCGCTCGTCGCGCCCGATGATGCTGGGGGATTGGCGGGCGCCGAGGATCTGCCACCGTCGTCGAATCCTGGCTGCAGGGCCTTGACTATGCTGTACAGGCGCCCCTGGTTTCGGCGGATCTGGTTCATACAGGAGTCCGCTTTGCCCGCCGACGTTCGCATCATCTGCGGTGGCTGGAAGATGTCCTGCTCGATGGTGACTCCTTATCAACCTGGGAGTGCTTGCATATACATCTCGCAAGGGACGCAAGCAGTGGGGCTCACGCCTGGGCAAGCGAGGTGGCACTGTTTCCGCATCTGGTGCTCCGTTCTTTCTCTCCCGAGGCAACGGACGCGCGCGATCGATTCTTTGCCTCGGCCCTCGCTCAGGTAAGCTACCGATGTTTGACAACGCCCAGGACATGCTTGCCTCGCCGAGCGGAACAAGGCAAAGTCAGGTTTCAGCAGCATCCAGTTCACCGAGGCAGAGATCACTTACATCCCGCTCGAGGACTGCACCGCTGGCGCCATTATCTCCAACTGCGTCGTTAACCTGGTGCCCGAGGCCGAGAAGCAGCCGGCTTTTGATGAGATGGCCCGCCTTCTCAAGCCCGGCGGGCGCGTTGCCATATCGAACGTTTTGGCACGGAAGCCGCTGCCCGAGAACCTCAGGCAGAGCGTAGCTGCCTATGTCAGCTATGTTGTCGGGCTAGCCTGGTCGAGCAGTACAAACCATATCTCGATAAGGCAGGGTTTACTGGTATGATACGCTCGACTGTACCCCTTGCACTCCCGCAGACTTGGACGTTAAGGGGCTTTGTGGTTGCGCCCAGTAATTCCGGCACTGATAAGCAGCCGTAGGTATTCTGATCCAGGACGCCGGGGCCGATCTCAACGTCTACCTCAATACGATGCCAGACGGCACCGCGAGGATCAGGAACGACAATACTCCTGCTGGGAATTGCTGTGCACCTGCCGCCACCTCGGGTCACCTCTGTGCTGCCAAAACTAACCGAAGCTATTAGGCACCCACTCAAACGGTGCGGTACGGGATCGACCACCGAAGCATCCGCAGCATCGTCCCAGCCGACAGGCGGCGTGAACACGAGAATATCCGATAGAGTTCGGCGGGCATCGCTATCAGTTGCGTTTGGTGCCGTCGGGATATGGAATGCCGATAGGTTTGCCACGGATTCCAGGGTTCCATATCATCAGGAGATCGGAAGGGATAACGCCCAGCAATAAGCTCTCGGGAAGCTAGCAGGTGGCACAGCGAGGAGAAGACTTGCTGCAGGACGAGGCCGTGCGGAACAACGTCGTGCACCTCCTATTTAATCGAGGCCGTTCTTGTCTTCGATCCTTTTCCGACGAACAGTTCAGCTGGCGTCAATAAGGAATTAGTTTCGTGTTTTGGTATGTGCCTTGCCCTTTTCTTCCATGTCATATCATCCCGTACCATGCCATCAGAGCCATGAGCTTTCCCCGCCTCTTTCCATAATGCCTACCAGATTGAATACAAACTTATCCCTACACCTAAAACTGTACGTTGTTTTGGTAAATTACCTTTACCACTTCGACTCCCGTATATGTTCCTCCGTAGCGAAGAGCTAACACTGAATGTGCAGTTAGGAGTTCGACAGAATTTATTGTTGATGTACCTGCGTCAGGCATCTCTTTCAACGGTGAGTTGTTCCCGCCGTTGAAGCTGCTATGGAGTACCAGCTGACAGGCGCTTCGTTGAAGTTTCTAGCTTGGTTGCCTTTTTTCCCGGGTTGCTTCAGCTGTTCCCGCTCGGCATCGAGCTCCCGGTCTGGAGCCAGATCTACCAGAAGTCGCCGTTCAGACGACAGACAACGAGTTCAAGTCTAAAGAAGGGGTAGTGAAAGGGACGGGCTCCCATAGCCATCCCTATTTCTACTTAGTAGTGGTACAAACAAGAGAAACTTGGAATAACACACGAAACAAAAAAGAGACGGGAAATACAATAGGACGTACTCCTCCCCAGACTGCTGCCCTGACGCGTAATGATGGTATCCCTCTCGAGCCCCACATTCGTCCGTCCGCGGGGCGGCGTCAAGTCAGCCAGGGTAGGGAAACGCGAGGGGTTCGGAAAGTCGTGCACTTTCGAGAAATGGGCTGCTATCAAAATCTGTCAACTGATACACCTTCTACATGTCGGCAAAGCCAGGCAGGGACTTGCCCAAAGCCTGTCGCAGACTTGGGTGTGCCTTGAGCGCCTCCTGGACCAGCTCGTTCAGCCGCTTCTTTCCTCGCTGAATTTGCTTCGCCCGTGTCATCACAACGAACATGGATGACCTCTCCGCGAGGCTCATCTCCTCTACCTCCCTCGGCGGGTGGGCCAGGTTCTGCCAATCGAGAAACACGTCGAGATGGTTTAGCTCCGCGAACCGTTGGTACACCCACGCGTCAAACTCCTCGGCATCCATCTCGTTAACGCACTCGCCGGCATGCACCGTAAGTGGCACTAGTGGCACCGCCTTTAGCACCGCGCGCGCCGCGTCGAGCACTCGCCCGATGCCATTGTAGCAGACGGCGTACTTGACGAACGTGTAGACCATCTCGCGGTTCGGGACGTTGGGCTCGTTTTGCAGCAGGCGCCAGTACTCGTCGAGGTGGCGCAGGCCCTTGTGGTAGTCGCGTGCGCTCGCGTCCTCCCACGGCACCGCCATGAAGTACAGGTCGTGGTGCAGCTCCGCCAGGCGCTTCCATCCGCTCGAGCTCGTCGAGGAGGGCGCCTCGCGCTCTAGTAGGTCGTCGAGGGCGCCCTCCACACCGCCGGGCCGGCCGGCCAACATGCGCACTTGGGCGACGAGATACGACATATCGGCGCGGGCTTGTTCGCCGCCCAGAACGTTGTTGTCGCCGTTGCGCAACAATTGCTGGAGGAACTGCAACGGCGAGGTTTCGGGAGTTGGGTCATCGCTAGCTTGACTTGTAGCGGCGGCATCCAAGCCTGCTAACCCGCCGGGGAAATCGGCGAAGTTCGCGGCGGCGCTCTCGTTGAGGATGCGGTGGGCGATCTTGCCAAAGCGAGCGACGGAGCCCTGGTTGGCTTCGATGACGGGCGCGATGCTCTCCTTGACCGGGGTGCGGTCGAGGAGCCCGGCCGCGATCACGCCAGCGATGCCGTCTTCCCGGAAGCTGGGGTTGTCGAGAAGCTGTCGGGCGGCCTGCATCCTCCCCAGCGCGAGCCGTTGTGGCGGCATGTCTCTCGACATACAGTCCAAGGCGTTTGTTGTCCATTCCCTGAGGTTGCGCCACTGGATTCGGCGAATGGCGGCGTAGAAATCGTGGTCTTCACCGACGTCCTCCTCAAGGTTCCTCTGGAAGTACTCCATACCATCCATGTTGCCTCTTCTCCGGTTCACAATGCACGCTTCGGCGTAGCGCAGTTGGAAGACGTCGAAGTCTTGTGTGGCTGTCAGGGGCGCGCGGGATGGGATCAGGGCGCGATACCGTTCCAGCACTTCCAGCGCCCGCCCAACGATATCTGAAGCCTTGTCTAGATGTTCCTCGTGCGTGTAGCATTCCCACGAGTAGTCCATGATCATCCCAAGCTCGTACGACGTGGGGACCTTCCCTGCTCTGGCGTCCACGACTTTAAAGAGGCGCTCCAGGTGGCGCCGGACCAACGGGAGGAGCGCCTCCGCGCGCCGCGCCGTGGTGAAGAAGGAGGTATTTGAATGTAGGTGCGCGTAATCAAATAAAGAGCAGCCCATTCGCTTTACTTCGTCTTGAAAATCGGGCCCATCCAGCGCGAAGGCCATCGCCATGGCTTTGATGTTTTCCGCGTAGTCGTCGTGCTGTTCAAAGTCGTCCCACGTGACGCTGGAAATCCGCTGCGTCTGGTCTTGGACGCTGGTTTTTGGGAGCCAAAGCAAAAATTGCCGGACGAACGCCGACTTCATCTTGCCCCAAGACTCTGGCGGCGCCTGAGCTCGAGCACGTAGAGTCAACATGGGATGTACGTGATAGCAGCGGATCACCGTTCCCACGTTGGTCTTAATTGTGGCCTCTTCCGCTAGCCCAGCCGCTTCGAACCGCCGGAAGATGGTCCCCCAGTGCCTGTTGATGTCATGTTGTTGCTGAAACTGTTCGACGCAGGTACGGAAATCGTCGGTGAGCCAGGCGGCGTAGGACCCCTCCTGGAACATTTTCATAAACTCGAGGTACAAAAACCAGAAGTAATACTGTGGATTCCTCGGAGCGATTGTCCAGAAAGGAGCAACCTGGAAGGGAAATACCAACTCGTTGCGCGCCGAAAAAATCTCCAGCTCACCACAAATGCACGCAATAGTGTGAGCGAAGCGGCTGGTTTCCTCTTGTCCATCGCGTTGCTGAATCTCACAGACTCCAAAGAGCAGCTTGTCATACAGAGCCTTCATGTCGTGGCCCAGGCGCCGTAGCACCGGGCCCACCTCTTTGAGCACGGCGGGGTTTCCCTCAAGGAGGATGACAGCGCGCCGAATCAAATCGATGTTCTGGCGGTGATGCAGGGCCTTCGGGACATCGGCGGTCTTGCCATAGGCAAGCTGCTCGAATAGCTGGGCTCCCGCGAGAACGCTGAGCCCGGAAATTTGGTAGCGAACGCAGCGGCACTTGTCGTCGATGAAGGGGTCGTTGCCGTGTCGGGAGACCAGAACGATTTTCGACTTGCCCCCTGAAGCCTTCAGCACAAACTCGCGAAGCTTGCTCAGCCCGTCGTGCTCGAATTCGATTGCTTCCAGCTCGCTAGCGTTTCTCGAAAGCGACTCCAGGCTGTCCAGAACGAGAAGGCAAGCCTCGCCTCGCAGTTTGTCGAGAATGTGCTGCTCAGATCGATAGCCCAACGGCATTCGTAACTGTGTTGCGATCAGATCCAGAATTCCGTGGAAACAAACACGCCCTGCCCTCACTCCCTCTCCGAGGTGGGATCTAACGAAGTCGACAGTCGCTGATTGCTCGATCCATCCCGAGCGCTCCCACCATTTCGCGCAGTACCGCATCAGCGCCGTCTTTCCGCAACCTCCCTGTCCGTAAAGCAGCATCAGCCCCCTGGCAGATAGTGCACTCTCTAGGTGCAAGATATCTGCATCCCTCCCAACGATCTCATGGTCGACGTCGCCCTTATAGCGTTTGCAGAGTCGGTCATTTGGCTGGAGGGACGCGAAGTTCCAGAGGAGCGTCGCGAAATTCCAGAGGATCGCCGCGAAATTCCAGAGCATCACGTTTGATACGCGGTTGGGCGAGCCTCCGCACGCGGCTTTTGCGAAGTCGTCGGTGGCAACATCTTTCCGTGTGCGTCTGTAGAGGACCGGGACGATGTAGTCCATCAGCCGAACCGAATACATATGAAGGGCTCGTCGCTGTGGATTCTGAAGCAAAGCCAGCCGAGACAGCCGGGCCGCCTCCTTCACTGGCCGGCGGTTAAGCAATAAGGAGGTGTAGAAAACGTCGGTAAAAATCTCCACAGCCTCGTCGACGACCTTAAAGGACATGGCAACGACGGAGTCCATATGGTGAGCGAGCAAAATCGCAGCCAAATTTCCGCCACACTCTTCACGACGGCTGTTGGCCGACTCGCACGCGTTCATGACGATCGTGCGGACTCCCGACTTTGACAGGACCTTCGCAACCTGCTCCCCCGACACCCAGTCCTTCTTGGATTCCAGGGGCATGTCTGGGTTCGGCTCGCCACAGAAGCAGAGCGCGGCGGCCCTAATTCCTCATTGCAAGTTAGTCAGTTTGGCTGAACACCTTGTTCTCTATGGTCACATTCACGAATGGAGTTTTCCCCTCGAGCCACGTACCTTGCGACCCCTCTCCTTGCTTTACGGACCGCGCCGTGCATGTCCAAGTGGACCAGGTCGTACCGTCTCGCCGAATCTTCGCTCAAGCGGGCTTGAAAGGCTGCCCATGTCGGAGGCCGAAGCACCTCCAAGACAACCTTCAGATCCGGACTTGCCTTGGACACTCGGTCGGCGATGTCCACCAGACAACGGGAAACGAGCTGATACTCGACGTCGGCGGCGCCTCCGGGTCGGGACACCACGAGAAGTATGTTGAAGTGCTTCCGTGCCCGTGGCTCGACCTCTGCGCCGGTTCGGACTTGTGGAAACGCGGACGCAGCTGCCGGAACCGTGTCCGCCGCGCTTGTTGTAGTCCTGCAGACGCCAACGCTTTGGAACTTGTGGTTCTCAGGCCACACGGTAACATCCTCCACCACTTCCCAGTGCAGGCGCTGCAGGCTAGACACGACATGGCCAGGCCCGCCGGCCCCTCCATCAGGGGTGCCAACCTCGATCTCAAGATGTCCCTCGACAGGAAGTAGGCCGCTGGACGAGACTTGCAGAGCCAGGGCCTGCCCGTACTCGCGGATCAGACGGCCTGCGGAGTCGGCTTTAGTGGCTTCGAAAGGCTCCCTGACGTGCTTCTCAAGGCACCACTTGATCAAATCTTCGTCGCTTGCGGGATTGCCTCTGCCGAGGAGAGGGTCGGCGATCTGGACCGTCCGCCTCCCATTGCTCGAGGCGAACTCGGTGGTCCAGTTGAATGGGTTTGCCGGTATTCCGTCAGCGGGTTGCTCAATCGGTCGTGTCCCCAAACCGGAGATGCGGAGGGTGAAAGCCATCCCTCTCGTTGATCAAGGCGTGTAGTCGCGAATCTGGCCAAACGCCAACTTAGAAACCCGCTCACGCATACATTTATGCTTTTGAGCAGCCAAAAACAGAGATTAGGCAAATCCCTTTCTTGAGTTCCGAACAGGTCACGCTTGCGCGCACTCCAGGCAGGCCCAGTCCGAGAGCCCTTTCGACCCGCGTCCCAAGCTGAGCCCCGGAACCGCTTTATCTTTCGCGCCTCAAGGATGCCTCGGAGATGACAAGAGGCAACCGGGCTAGGCAAAAGTGGCATGGGCGAAAGCCCCCGGACGCCGCATTCTTTCGGTTTTCGGCGTGCCCCAGCGGAACACTGATAATTCTTGAGGCGGCATTGGAGTGCTCCATAGCTGCGCCGCCGGAAAGGCGTTTTTCCTAGGTGCCCCGTTACAAGGTCACCACGCCCGGACCTCACGCCTGATGATTTCAGCCGCTGGTAGGCCCGTCAGCCACAGCGCCAAAAGTTTCCCTTGGTCGATAACTATGCAAGGTCATCGCCCCAGACCTCATGTCGTATGATTTCAGCCGCTGGAACATGCCGTCGGTCTTCGGCATATGGAAGGCCGTCACCGACAATTTTCGAAGCGGTGAAGAAATACCTCTGTTCGCATTGGCGCAGGATATCAAGGTCCTTCCTCGTCACAGGTCGCCGCCCTCTGAATTGACGGATGAAGCGTTGAGTCGATGTGCTATTTTATAGGCGCATCAAGTTTTCACAAGCCAGCGTTCCCGTCTCCTCTGACAACACACACACACACACACACACACACGGAGATCCATGCAAATGAGACAATTTGCTGCGGAAAGATGACGCCACAACCCCGGGAATTGAAGTTTTTCCTCCTCAAGAGGCGTCTGCCAGCATCTGAGAGCGCAACCGTCCTCGGCCAGATCGTCAAAGACTTCCTCAACCCCACGTCCGACTACACGCCGCTCTCCCCGGAAGAGGCACTCACGCCCGGCGTCTGGAGCAGCTTCTTGCTTGAAGAGCAAACCGACCACAACGCGCACATCACCGCCGCCTCCTCGAAGGACCACTCGTTCTGGACAAGGGTCACGGCCGTGGTGTCCGTCACCGCTCACAACGCCCAGGACAGCTCGTCGGAGATCACGTCTCCGAGCATCGCCGTCCGAGGGCTGAAGCGAGAGTCGGCATACCTCGCGGCGCTCAAGGGCGTGCCTGAGGTCCGCAGGGAGATCCTCCGTCTTTGCCCCGTCGGGGGCAAGGCCTATCTTGTCGTGGGCACGATGAGCTTCCAGACCGCCACGGTCAAGCGCGAGGGGAGCCGGGCGGCCGGGGCTGGCGTGTCGGCTACCGTGCCTGTTGGGGAGTTGGCGACCGCTGCCGCGGGGGCACCGTGTGTCGAGCTGGGCGCTGAACGATCATCATCCGCGGCGTGGACAACTGACTACGAGGTAAATGGCGCGGAGGGCAACAAATCTAATGGCGGGCAGGAAGTATTTGCTGTGGCCTGCAAAGAGATCTCGCGCAGTTTGCTCGGGCTGGGAACGGATATTAAGCTGAGGACCAAGCAGCCAGAGTACAGAGGCGGGGTACATTTTGGGAGTGACGACTCGAGTGAGTCGGATGAAGAAGAGGACGAGGATGAAGAACTTCCATCTCCGGCCGATCAGCGGAATGTGGACTCCTGTTTATTTGCGTTTAGCTAGCCGATGTGAGGGCCTTGGAAGGTTCGCTCGAGATGGTAGTCTCAGGTGCTCAGACCAGATGGGTGGCGCAAGCCGGGTGGGGCATGCACTAAGTCACCCCGCAAATTTTTGACCAATCACAATCCGTATAAGGCTTCGCCTCCATCTGAGACTAGCCTCAAACCCCACCAAAGGCCCACCCCAACCGTCCGCCCTTTTCTTCGTTTGAGTCTGGGCCTCTGAGACTGCATTCAACCACTGTCCCACACAAGCCGAATCGAACCAAAAAAGGTCGAGTCCAAAAAAACCCGGCATGCACGCACGCGGTTGAATATCACGAGAAGGGCGCACTGCTTCATTCAGCCTTTTGGTGAGGCTGCGTAACGAGGACGACCATGGAGAGTTTTTACAATGAGTACTGTAAGGCTTACAAGCTTAGCGTGAGCTTTGGGGTTCCACGTCTCCGCCGTAATCCACCACGCTTAAGTAGTCCAGGCGCGTCTACCTGGCCCGTGGTGGTGCTCCGTTCGAGGTCCTTCATCCTGGCCAGCGCGCGGCCGACGTCGTCGAGGTCGTAGATGGAGATGGCCCTCACGGCCGGCTGGCTGTTAGTCCCGGCGGCCACCTGGGCCCAAACCTCCTCTTCGACGCGGAGCGCTTCGGAGGCGTGCTGCCGCGCCTTCGATGAGGGCGTCGAGGCAAAGCGTCCTGGCCGAGGGCAGCTTCCCGGGCGACGTCGACATTGCGGCTCGAGCCGCTGCCTCGTCATGTAGATAGGCGTACAAGCATGGCAGATCACCTTGTTTCACCAGATATCGGGCTTGTACCTCGCGGCCCTCCTCGAGACCCGACCACTTCCGGTTCTGACCCCATCGCTAGCACGTGAGGCCGTCCTCGTCGGGGGCGGGCGCGGCCGGCCTTGAAGCTTTCGCTTTTGCCGTTTTCGATACCCTCTGCGGATGGGCAGCGCCGAGGGGCGGGGCTTTTCCAGCGCTCCCTAAGGGCCCCGACCGCCTTGCGGATGTTGGCGAGACGCTGCTGCTGGCTTGGGGAGCGGTTGCCGTCTGGTTGGCATCGTCTAGCTAGGAAGCGACAGGGTCCCGGAGAGCGGAAGGGCGAGGACTAGCTAGCTCAGGCGCCAAACGCTTGCTCCGCCGAGGACGGGGGTCGGGCTTCGAGACCCTGATGTCGCCAAGCACCGCCGGTGATTTCTTCGGCTGCGCACTCTTCGGCCTAGTCTCGGGCCGTGCCCGGACAACCGGATCCTCCGGTGGGGAGCCGTCGCCGTGGCCGTTATCCCTTCCAGTTGGTGGGGGTGGTTACCCCTGACGCAGCGCCGCGGCGGCCTCTAGGCGTCTTTGCTCGATCCACCGCAGGAGCACCTTGTGCCTTTTGATGCTTTGCTTGTCTAACATGATCTAACGCTCGTGGACGGCTGCGCGCTGCGGCTCCTTCGCCAAACAGCCTTTGACCACGAGCCAGTTTTCCCTCCCGCTTCCTGTGTTCCCGGAAATGGTAGTCTTGAAATTCGAACATGTTTTCTAGGAGAGTCCGTTCTTTGACGTCACGACGGAGCCGCACATCGCAGTCCGCAAAGTCGAACTCTCTCCGACATTGATGCACGTTTCTTTCGAGTGGCAGGAGGCCGGGCTCGGCGTACGGCCTGCTCTTCACGAAACCGCTCCCAGTCGCCCATCTGGCAGGTGAGAACAGGATCCGGCTCAGGCGGGATATCTGGGCGCTTCATCCCCCGGGATGCTCCTCTCCCAGCACCCTCGAGCTCGTCTCACCTTTCCTCGGAAAGTTTTTCCTTTCCGACCCACTGTTAGTGGATGTTAAGGAGCCCGGCAATTTTTGGGTGTTGGGGACACCAAATATGCCAGGCAAACCACCTAGGTTCTAACAGGCCATTCGGCTCTGTTTTACCTGCATCGACCCGGTTCCTTTTAACAACGACACCAACGATGCAACTAGGCTAGAGGTGCAGAAAAGGCTAGCAAAGGCTTGGGAAACCTGTCGCCAGCCGCGGAAACGCTTGCACCCTCGCAGCTCAGGGCGCGCGCGTGGGAGCGCGCACCAATCCTCGACCACCGGTTGCTCCAACCTCCTCGCACCAACCCGATCACCCTTCGGCTTCCGCCGTCCTACGACGACGAAAAGCATAAGAAGACTGCTGGCCAGAAAGCAGTAAGACCTCCGGGACGACCAAAGCCGGCATTAGCCGCCGCAGTCCCTCCGCCACGCTCGCGACTTTTCCTCGGTCGTCCAGCACCAGGTGCCAGAACCGCTCGGCGTGCTCGACGGCCGCCAGCGTGGCCGCGTCCGTCTGCGCCCCGCCCAGGGTCAGGCCGTCGCGCAGCGCGTCCTTGCAGTTGGACGGCGTGCGCGCGTAGATCTTGACGCGCACCGACCCGTCCGCCGGGTCGACGTTGTCGATGGCCAGCATCTCGACCGGCATCCGTCGACCGGGCCCTTGCGCCGCCCGGGCCGCCAGGTAGTCGCGCACGCGGCGCGCCGCCGGCCACAGAGCCTCGCCGCCGGGCTCGAGGTGCCGGATAGGTCGTAGGCCAGGTCCTCGGTCGGCCGGCCCGTGGCCAGGTGCTTGGTGGTGGGGAAGTGGTACGACTTGAGCGCGCGCCGGCCGCCGTGCAGGTCGAAGGCGAGGTAGACCTGCGGCATGCGCGCGAGGTGCGGCGGCAGCGCCCGCCGCGCCGTGCGGGCCTTGGCGCCCGGCACGTGCCAGGCGTCCCAGGCCTGCTCGAACCAGCGCGTGTCGGCGTCGGGGCCCGCGGCCTGCCGGAGGAGTGGCAAGAAGGCCGGCATTTGCGCGCCCGTGAACGGGTTCTCGTCCGTGCCCGCGCCGTCCCAGAGCGGCTCCTAGGCGTAGCGGACGGCGCTGCGGCCGGCCTGGAAGTTCCACGACGGCTCGAAGGGCCCGCCGTCCAGGGTCAGCATCGGCCGCGCGCGCGCGCCTTGGACGTGGGCGGGCCGAATGTAGGCACCACCAGGTTGCGGAACACCCTAAGGTGATCTGACATCTGGTCGGCCGTGTACTCGCCCGACTGGAATAGGTTATATAATGCAGAGCAGCAAGGTACTTGGTAGGGTGATGATCGATCTAGCTGTTGATACTTGTGGATGGATGGAGATTGCGAATAACGCACATCATTAACCACTCACTGTCCGTCGTTTATATAGACATGATCTCGGCCGCGTCGGCGAGGTATAACCACTAGGGCCTCATAGAATCTCAAGACACTCCAACTAAGCCAGATCGAGACGATTCTAAAATACCTCGGGTCCGCCGGATCCGCGTCCATTCGGGTCCCCCATGGATCAACTCGCACTTCCCCTCTCAAGTCAATGGCTGGAACAATCGTTTACACCTGGAGCTTAGAGTTCGTGAGGGGAAGCCCGCTGAAGCTTGGATCAACATGAGTTTTCCATATGGTCTCCGCATCTTGCTGGCAACCCCATCCTTGCCAAGAATATGCCAAACATCGACTTGGTCACTAGGGTCCAGAGAACCGTATCCGGGAACAGTCCATGTCGAGTCGGGAGCGACTGTACTCCAGCTGTAGCCTTAAGACGCCATCTGTCGGTTTGAAAGATGGCAAGCGCTTGTGGAGCTATAATCAGTATGTCCAGCCATAAATACCGCCATCCCGTTTCCCAGCGGTCGGACGACGGCCATTCTACTTCCTCCTCTCGTCCAGTCGCGCCTGAAACCACGAGCAAACCAAGGAACTAGCCAATACAAATCAACTCCGGACGTTCTAAACGACATGAACGGTGTCGTGAGCCGGGGTTGCCGAGGCGTCTGCCGACCGCGAATTGATATCTGTAAAAGTTCGCCAGTTTAGACGGGCATGGCTGTCATTCTGGGAAGAGGTCCCACATGACTCTAGTATGGGCTCATTCTCCATTCCATCGAGACGTTTCGATACTCCGTCCAGAAGTTGACAGCAGCGTCCGTTACTCGATCTCCTAAAATAACACCAGCAGGTCAGTGGTTTCTCGGCGGTTGCATTCCCGCTCAAACTGCTCGGCCAGACAACCACGGGGCTGGACGGACTGAGCTATCGTCACCCCACATGGTGATCCCATCCCTAGTCAAACGGTCCGTTGCATGCTTCCATGTAGGGATCCCCATCCGCGGCTTTCCGATGGGGTGAACTATCAACGGTTATCGGGGTCCGACATCACCACCCCGTCAAATTGTTGTATCCTATGTTACCGAAACACGCCGAAGGATGGCGTTGGGTTGGAATATTGTCTGAATCTCCGCAGCTACCCAGGTCACAATGCAGAAATTTGACGGTGCTCTAGCGAAGCAAGATATCCAGCACTTCTTAGAGCTATATACCCTGCCTTTCCACCATGCTCCCCCAGTACATCTCCATCGCCAGCATCATCCATTTTACTGAACACCCAAACACTACCTTCATCCTACTCAATCATCTATCTGTCCCACCATGCCTCCAGGCGCTACCAGCTCCGGCAACGGCCAGAACGGGGCCAAGGGTAAACCCACGCCCCGCATGCTTCCCCCTGGCATGACCGCGGAGCAGTTCCAGCAACTAGCCACCCGGCTGCAGGACGCAGTTGGCGGCGACAACTTCCAAGTCCTGTCACCGGCCACCAAGCTCGACGATGGCGACTACGTCAACGTCGACTGCCAGACGCACGACATGCACTTCCTGTACGACCGCGACGACTTCATCGGTAGCTGCCTCGTCCACCCGCGGTCTGTGGCCGACGTGCAGGCAGTCGCGCGCGCCTGCGCCGACCTCGAAGCGCCCCTGTGGACCTTTTAGCAAAGGCCATAACCTGGGTTACGGCGGCGCGGCCCCGCGCGTGCCCGGCAGCGTCGTCATGAACCTGGGCACGCACATGAACCGCATCCTCAAGGTCAACACGGACGACTGCTACGCCATCGTCGAGCCGGGCGTCACTTACATGGAGCTGCAGGACCACCTGCGCAAACACAAGCTCCAAGACAAGGTCTGGCTCGACTGCCCCGAGCTCGGCTACGGCTCCATCATCGGCAACGCGCTCGACCACGGCGTCGGCTTCACGCCCTACGGTGACCACTGGACCTTCCACTGCGGTATGGAGGTGGTCGCCTTTTTGCCCGACACGGGCGAGGCCTGAGGTCGTGCGCCTGGGCATGGGCGCCATGCAGAGCCCCGAAGGCCGGCACCAGGCCGCCGCGGGCGTGCCGCCGCAGGACCAGGAGCCCAACGAGTGCCGGGGCCTATTCCCCTACGGCTTCGGCCCCGTAAACGACGGCATATTCTCCCAGTCGGGCAACGGCATCGTCACCAAGATGGGCGTCTGGCTGATGCCGGCCCCGCCCGGCTACGAGCCCTTCATGATCACGTACGAGAACGAGGACGGCCTGGCCGCCGTCGTTGACATCGTCCGCCCCTTGCGCGTGAGCGTGGTGCTGCAGAACGCCGCCGCGCTGCGCCACATCTCGCTGGACGCGTCGCACTACCGCCCGCGCTCCTTCTACGCCGACAAGCCGCTGGACGAGCCCCTGACGGAGGAGGAGTTCTCGGCGGCGGCCAAGAAGATCGACATGTGCTACTGGGTCTACATGGGCCGCCGTGTACGGGCCCAAGCCGGTGCGGGACGCGCACCTCGACATCATCAAGTGCGAGATGCTAAAGGTGCCGGGCAGCCGCTACTTTGCGCTCGAGGACCGCACCGAGGAGCACAGCTCGCTGCACGCGCGCGCCGAGGTCATGCAGGGTATCGGCGGCTGGTGCGAGCTGCGCTGGCTCAGCCACTGGATGCCCAACTGCTCCTTCCTGTCATTCTCGCCCATCTCCAAGGCCTCGGGCGAGTCGGCAAAGGCGCAGTACGGGCTCGCCAAGCGGCGGTTCAAGGAGGCCAGGCTGGACTATATGGGGATCCTGAGCGTGGGGCTGCGTGAGATGCGTGAGTCTGCTTTTTTTCCCTCTTTAGCTCACTGATTTAGCACTGGCTAACATACGAACAAAGACAACGTCATCTGCGTCGTCTTCGACCGCGAGAACGTCGACATGCGCCGCCGCGCGCAGTGGCTGGTCCGCACCATGATCAAGGACTGCGCCGACAACGGCTGGGGCGAGTTCCGCACGCACACCTCGCTCATGGGCCAGGTCGCCATGACGTACGACTTCGACGACAACGCCCTGATGCGCCTGAACGAGATCATCAAGAACGCCCTGGACCCCAAGGGCATCCTCGCCCCGGGGAAGAGTGGCATCTAGCCCAAGAATTACGATAAGTCCAAGGTAATGCTCGGTCAGGGGTACATTAAGTAGATGAGCCCGCGAGAGGTGGCGGTGGCGGAAGGCAACCGGGTGCAAATAATTTGTTTTATAAAAGTCTCAAAGACCAAAGCTTTTAGTAATGTGTGCGAAGTAACCGTTTCACGGATAAAGCAATTCGCTTTAAATAAATAAACATTTCTTATTTATATTCTTTGTTTTTTATTCCCTTTTTTCTTCTCCTTTTTTTTCTTTCATTTCTTCCTTTTCCTTTTCCTTTCTTTTTATTTTTCATTACTATTTTTTATTACTATTTTTTATCCCTATTGTTATTCCTATCTGTACTTTCGTTCATATTCACGTTCCTCCTGTTATCCTACGGCCAAAGGGTTTAGGTTTTTGGAGCTTGCACGGAGAATGAAGTATTAAAAACGGATTTATTGGGGTTTTTTTTTGGGTAATGACCCAAATGGGTCCCGTGGTGGTTCGGGAACATTAGCCGACGCGACCCCAACTTCTCCGCAGCATGACAATGTCACCCTAGCATACGAGAGAAGCGGGGATATGGCTGCTGCAAGTCAAGAAGCATAGGTCGATGGTATATTAGGTCCGGCCGTGTTGATAGGCTCGCAGGTTCGACATCACTTGGGAGTCGTGATCAGGGATAACTGCCACCCAGCTCGACCAGTAGCCCGCGTCGATCGCCCTCACTCCTCTTGGGTCCGGACATGGCGCATATCTTCTCCCTGTTCCCAGATGCTGGGACGGGATACAAAGATGGCCGTAAAGATGAAGGGCAGGTCAAATTCCCAGACACCCCCTACTTCAAGGGTGCCCTCAAGCCGAGCCGGCTGGAGGGCGACATCACTGAGCTCGAGACGAGCGGCAACATCCCCCCAGAAATAAACGGGACATTCTTTAGGGTCCAGCCAGACCCTCAGTTTCCTCCCGTGTTCGAGGACGACGTGCACTTTAGCGGCGACGGAAACGTCAGCGCCTTTCGGTTCAACGGCGGGCATGTCGACTGGAAGCAGCGCTACGTGCGCACCGATCGCTTCGAGGCCGAGAGAAGCGCGCGCAAGGCAATGTTTGGGAAGTACAGAAACACCTTTACGGACAATGAAGCCGTCAAGGGGATCATCAGGACGGTCTCCAACACCAATGTCATCTTCTGGCGCGGCTCGCTTCTCGCACTGAAGGAGGACGGCCCCCCTTTCGCCATGGTAGGCTTCTGTCTTGAAGACGTTGGCAGGTTTAATAGCTCACCTCCAGTGCCTACCTAGGATCCAACCACCCTAGAAACACTCGGCAGATACGACTTTGAGGGCCAGCTGGAGTCGCCCACCTTCGCCGCGCACCCCAAGTTTGACCCGCAGACGGGCGAGATGGTGGCCTTTGCGTATGCCGCCAGCGGTGACGGGCAAGATGCAAATTGCGACCTGGCCGTCTGGACGTTTGACCGGACGGGGAAGAAGACCCAGGAGGGTTTGTGCTCTCATCGCTCATATCATTAGGTGCTGAACTGACCAGATCCTTTCGACAGCTGTTTACAAGGCTCCCTTCTGTGGAATGATTCATGATGCGGCACTTACGAGCAACTATCTCATTCTGCCCTTGACACCCCTCAAGGCCAGTCTCGCTCGTCTCAAGGCTGGCGGCAACCACTGGGCTTGTATGTTGTGCATTTCAGATCTCCCTCCAATGGATTGCTCCTGACCAATCCCCGCATCAGGGGACCCGGACGAGGACCAGTGGTACGGGATCGTCCCGAGACGTGGAGGCAAGGACATCATCTGGCTGCGGTCCGACAACGCCTTCCATGGTCACGTCACTGGCGCGTACGAGAATGAGGACGGCCACATCGTCTGCGACCTGACCGTCGCCTATGGCGGCAACGTCTTCTTCTGGTGGCCGCCCGAGGGTTCGCCGAGCACCGGCAATGTGCGCCAGAAGCTCTCCTCGGACACGGTCAGATGGATCTTCGACCCCAACAGCCCGTCTGGCACGCGCGTGGAGCCGGCAAAGCGCTACGGCACAAACGGCGAGTTCAGCCGAGTCGATGACAGATGGGTCACGCGCAAGTATAGGCACTTCTGGCAGCTGCAGATCGATCCCTCGCGGCCGTATAATATCGCCAAATGCGGCCCGCCCGCCGGTACGTCCTCTTCTCTAGTGTCCTTTATGTTTCCCGGACTAACCAGGCTACTCCAGGCGGCCTATTCAATGTCATTGGCCACTTCGACTGGGAGACGGGCTCAAAGAATGATGTGTTTTGGGCGGGCGACACAACCACGTTCCAGGAGCCAGTCTTTGTCCCCAAGTCGGGTGCTGAGGGGGACGGCTATCTGATGACCTTGCTGAACCATCTCGACGTGCTTCGGAACGACATCCTGATTTTCGATGCACTCAACGTGGCAAAGGGGCCTATCGGCGCGTGTCACTTGCCGGTCCAGATCCGCCTGGGGCTGCACGGGAACTTTGTCGAGCAACGCGAGATTGACGAGTGGGAGCAACGACGCAGAGAGGGCGGTGAGGCTGTGAAAGTGGCCACGAAGCCCCTGCCCTGGCAGCAGAAGCTCCTCGAGAACGGTGCCGCCCAGGGCGCCAATGGTGGGAGATAGCCGGCGACATGATAGCAGAAGCAAAGGTTTGCAAACTATAGGATCAAATTTCCTGCCTGATAAGTTTCGACCGAACCGCAGTGTCAAAAGGCCATATCTGCCGCTTGTGCCGTATGGATGCGATGCTGTGGATAAGGTGGTGCCAAGGCTGCAACACCCTTCCCGCATGCACAATCACCACACAGATAGGACCATTGCTGGGATCTGCTGCTCGGCGATCATCATCCGTCATATCCACCGCCGTGCGGGGTGTGGTTCGAGCTCCTTTATCAATTTTTCACCACCTGTTCCCCTCGCACGTTTCGGTAGCATTTAGCCGACGGGAACATCTCTGCGTGGCCTACATTGCTTGACAATGCGGGGGGCGATGGCGACGACACATCTTTGAGGACTCACATCTTTGGACGTCATTCTCCAAGCCCCCCAGCGGACACTTCGTGTTTCAATTGGATCGATCCGAGGTCCCTTATAAGAGGTATGCACCAACTTGGGTATCCGGACATGCAGAACATTGCTGGCTGAGCAGGACCACCTCAGCTGACCTGCTCACGCAAGCTTCTGATACCAACGAGCGATCCACAGAGAAGCCGTTGCTGTGAGCCACCAGCTGGCTGTAATCTAGACGGGACAGCGAGCGAAGGCCACAGGACATTATGGCGACCAGCGAAGAGGTCGCCCAACTGAGGCAAACAGTCGAGGCGCTTCAGAAGGAGGTGACCCGCCTGAATGGTGAGTTACAAGCACCGCGATGTTTAAGCTCCCAAGAGGCCCAGACGGCTAACCGAATAAAATCTTGGGTGCTCTCAGATCAAGAAGAGATCCGGAAGCTTCAGTACACGTGGGTGACAAAGCTTGCCTCACCGCGGCCATATCTAACACAGATAACGTAGTTACGGGTACTATCTGGACAAATGTTTATATGAAGAGGTACGACACCCCCTGATGTGTATGGATACCATAGGAGATGCTAATAGCCCGCGCAACCAACACCTCGAACCAGGTCGTAGAGCTCTTCTCGGATTCACCAGACACGTACGCCCAGTTCCTCGGCGGCCGGTTCAACGGCAAGGCCGGGGTGAGGCGGCTGTATGTCGGCCGGTTCGCTCGCCTTTTCGTGGGCGGCCGCAACGGCCCCGTCCACGGCTTTCTTCTGGACCACCCGCAGCTACAGGCCATCGTCTCTGTCGACTATACTCAGCAGCCCCCCAGGGCCAAGTGCCGCGCCCGCAGCATGATGCAGGCCGGCGTGCACGTGTCGCAGGCGGGCATCCACCCGCGCGGCGTGACGCAGTGGTGGGAGGGCGGCGTCTACGAGAACGAGTACATCCGCGACGGGCCGGGCGGGACGTGGAGGATCCTGCGTCTCAGGGTAGAGTGGTCCTCCCCGCCTATCTCCACGGTGCCGTAGCTGACCTGTGCTGCTTTGGCCAAAAAAAAAAAACAGTATAACCCGTTCTGGCACGGGGATGTCGAGCACGGCTGGGCGTACAAGGTGGCCGGGTTCGTGCCGTTCCTGTCGACCAAGTACCCCGAGGACCCGTCCGGACCGGACGAGGTGACCCCCGAGGAGCAGCGCATGTTGTGGCCAGACACGCGGTGAGTCGAGTGATCAGTTGCAGGAGCCAGGCTGCTTTGCACTTTCAGCCCACTATATGCTGCCACTCTTGCTAACATCTAACCCTTCAGGGTCGTCCCGTTCCACTACCGTCATCCCATCACGGGGGAGGCTGTCAAGGAGGAGGACTTGCGAGCGCCTGTATATGGAACCGACGTGAAGCTGGCAAAACCAGCGCTGAACCTAGAGTAGTGACGCGGTCTGGAATTGTGACTAGCTCCACCAGCTACCATATGATTTCCTTGAATATGAGTCAATCAAAGTTCCAATATCCTCATGGCCGCAGATTCGTTCCCGGTGCCAAGCACCGCGATCGTCACCAGCCGGCCAACCACCCCAGCCACCATTTCCCCAGCCTTGCACAGGGTGTATATTTCCTCCTCAGTGATGCTGGGAAATTGGCCCGCTCTTGCCACCTCCGCTAGCAGCCGTTTGAAGTCCCACACGTCCCCGACATGGACGCAACGGATCCCTCGTAAAAGGGCTCCGTTGCGTGCACGCCGTCGACGCACCCACCCCCGAGCTCGATCATATTAACTCGAACCCGGAAGCCCTGGGGTGCGTCGAATGGCAAACACAACCCCAGCCAGGGGACGCCAGGGGCCACTGGAGATTGGTCGAGTGAGCCAAGGTGGTGGGCTCGAGTCTGGGTGATGGAATTGATACGGTTTCAATGCAATTATGCATACAATATATTAAAATAGCTAAAGTGCCAGCTTTGGGGGCCACAGCAGCGTAGAATGTTGATAGTTGCTGTGATGTGGAAGAAAATAGAACTGAGCCGAGCAAAAACCAAGGCCTCAATCGTTTCCACGTCAACGGGCTGCCGGAAGTTCGATGTCCACCACCCACGGCAACTGCCTCTCGTCATGCGGTCCTCCTATTGCCGCGTTAACGAAAACAGTATGCTTGTCCTTTATGACGTGGTGTATGTCGTGAGCACAGAAGCTGCCATCGCAATGCCCCTGTGCCTCCCAAGCCTCCTTCCGTGTCTTTTTTTCCGCAAGCGTCTCGACCGAATCGAACTTTCCTGGCCTCACGCTCGCCAGGCTGGCCACAGCGGCCGAGTGGTTGTTATTGATAGCCGAAAAGTGAGTCCGAGGCGGTTCGCCGTCCCTGGGCGGCGCCTCCTCGCGCCAGGCGACGAACTTGGCGCCCCAGCCCACGTGGATATGGCCGAAGCAGTGGAGCCGCGGCCGGGCGCGCTCGACGGCCTCGAAGAGCTGCCCGCACCCGACGCTCCCGGACCCGGGCACCCGGTCGAGGATCCCCCTCGGCGGGCCGTGCGTCATGACGACGTCGGCGTCCTGTGGGATGGCGAAGTCGTGGCCGCTGTCGGGCTCGAACTGGAAAGCGCCGTTGCCGAATGCGGGGGTGTATGGGGAGGCGTAGACGGTGAGGGAGGCGCCGTTGGCCAGAGTGAACCTGTGGGTGCCTTCCTCGAGGAAGTGTATCCCGTGGTCCGTGGCTTGCTCGCCGGTTAGGAGCGCCCGCACCTCGGAGCACTCCTTCACGGCCAGGTCGGGGTCGAGCGGTGGGAAGGCCTCCCGGACTAGCCTGCGCATTGCTCTTTCATCCGTGCTGACGTCGTGGTTGCCAGGTATCACGAGCTTGAGCGGCGCGTCTACTTGTTGAAGAAGGCGTAGCGCTGTGTGGTACTCCTCGATTCTGGAGCCGTCTGTCATGTCGCCGCAGTGAATGGCTACGTCGACGCGTTCCTTAGGGCGTAACTCCTCGGGAAGCTCAAGCCCGTGGGTGTCGGAAATGATGAGAAATCTAGTATTGATGCTCATTTTGGAGGGGTTGCGTATCGATGTTGTCCTGGTATCAATCTTCGTTCCAGGGGACTCTGAGCCGGCTGTGTCGCAGTATGGAATGGGAATGTGATGAATAGGAGGAATGTCCTGCTACATCCGAAAGGATCCCATCTTGGGACGAATCCATGCATTTTAGTATTGGGGTTCATGTCCTCCCGGAGATAGGTTAGGTAAGGTGGCAAGTATGTGTAGCTCTAAAATCCATCAAAGCAACTATTAACACCTGTGGCACTTCCATTAAGTTTTATGGACTGGTAGGTGCGTAGGTTCGTACCGTTCGCCCTGTGGCTGTTTCCAAGTTTAAACGTAAATTCTGTTCGATTTTCTGTCATCGGCGTTATCGGCCTCCTCTCCACTCAACGCTGAGCCACTTCCATGCATACCCAGGTACCTAGGTAGCCATCACCCTCGCAGGGACCGCAGACACAAAACCAGCAGCGACTCCCATAGCCCTTACATGATCTACCGTACCCAATGAAACCTGCAAACCCTATCACAACGCCAGCGGCAACTTGAAAAGCTTGATGGCGTTGCTCCTAGCGACGGCTTCCTTTTGCTCCGCCGGGAGGTCAATCTCTTTCCACCAGTTCTGGGCCTCTTGTATCGTGTCATAGGGGTAGTCTGGTGTTGGTTTTGTTAGCAAGTCTGTCTGTAGTACCACATCAGATAAGTGCAGAGTGTAGCCCTGTCGGGATCAACGCACCTATCGCGTACATGCAGCGAGCCGCCCCAATTTCGTTAATGCAGTACTTGAGACCCGAGGTGGAGTAGAAGCCCGAGGTTGTGATGGAGACATTGTGCTTGAAGTAGTGCTCGTAGTCGTACTTGGACGGCCTCGTGGCCTTCTTTACGGGCTGGTTGTACCAGTGGCTGGCCCTCCAGAGGTTGAACGGGATCCCCTCGCCCAGGTGCCCCGCCACCAGCTGGACGCCAGGGAACATGTCCAGCATTCCGCAGGACAGCAGCGCGTACAGGTGGAAGCTCAGGTCCAAGTGGAACTGCACCGCGGCGCCCAGGAGGTGCCTGCGGGTGGAGTACTCGCCCCCGGTCTCTGGGTCCAGGTCCGGCGCGGTCCTGTAGCGCGGGTGCATGTACACCGGCACTTCCAGCGCCTCCACCTCCTTCCAGAAGACGCGGAACTCGTCCCCGTCGTAGTAGACCTTGCCCTCCCCGCCGCCCTCGGCCGCGACCGTCTGGTAGTCGTTGAGGATGGCGCCCTTGCAGCCCAGCTCCGCCACGGCCCGGCGCAGCTCCGCGGCGGCCGCGCCCGGGTCGTGCATACTGATGGACGCCAGCGCCCCGAACCGGGCCGGGTTCTTGCGCGCCTCGCCCGCGAGCCAGGTATTGGTTTCGGAGGCGATGGTGGCCGCGGCGGCGGGGTCGGCCTCGCCTTGGGGTCCCGGCGAGGTCAGAGACAGTAGCATGTACTCCACGCCCTCTGCGTCCATCTGGCGCAGGCGCTCCCCATGGATGTCCTGATGTGTCCAAGGGTCCGATTGTCAGCCTCGTATGTAGTTTATAAGCGGGGCTACACTGGCATCGAGATTTTCACACCTGGAGCTTGGCCGTCAGGGGGTGTTTGGCCATGTCGGCGCCGGGAGCGAAGAGAGCGGCATCTCGTGCTACCCGGGGGATGCCTCCCGGCTCAAGGACAGCCTCTTCGAGGGCGATTGTTCCTTTCGGCATTTTTTTGATGTTGGTGTGCAATCTTCTTCTCCCTGGGCTTGTTGGACGACTGATGGTTTTAGGAGTCCTCTGCATCCAGGCTAGGCTCAGGGCGGCTTAAAGATGAGCGGCATTACCCGCACGCGGCACTCGTCATCCATGGGTTTGCTATGCAGCCTGTATCCGACACCCTCGGAGACATTCCGCCGAGCGATCTGGACCCCGCACTGACCTGTATGGAGGAGGTACCTTGCAGAGGTTCCGGGATGAACTTGCCGAGTGGAGGGGATTTGATATTGGTCTCTCACATCAGGTGGCAGTCTGCTCAAGCGCTTTCACATCTATGTGGGTGACATATGTGCGACCTAAGGAACGATCGTTTTTTGGCTTGTGGATGTAGGATGTCGGTGATGCGCGATGCCCCTATTGGCCAGTCTCGGAAATCTGGATAACTTCGAGGAAGCAAAAGGAGCCGTCATCAAGTGGCAATATCAAACGGCCGGAAAGTGCGACATCAGTATACATTGAAAGGAGGAGATGAAAGAGAAAATGAGCGCCGCCGGCGCGTCTAGCTTCAGCGGCTCGAAAGAAGGCACCGCAGTTTGTAGTAAGTACAAGTCTCGGTCTTCGGTCACGTATGCACCTGAAGGGAAAAGGCCAAAGAAGCCGACGCCTTCCCGGACCCCAAGCCGACCGTCAAACAAATGGCTGAGAATAAAGAAGAAGTGTCAAAACCCTGCCAGAAACGACTCCCCTGCTCTAAGGCTACCCTCCTCCCACTCGCAAGAAATCATTCCAGCCGAGGCCGCTTCGTAGGGCTAGGGGTCATGCCCCTGGGGGTGTAGAAAACCTCCGAGACGAGGGTCTCGCTGCTCGCAGTAGTCGCGGGCGTCCGCCTCACGGCGCAGACGGTGCTGGGCGTCTCTACCTTGACGTTGACGGGGCTGACCAGCATGACACCCCGGCCCTGGGTTCGTCGACCAGGGGTCCTGGGATCACCCCGGCCGGTTCCTGGCCCATCCGACTGGCGCTGCTGCTGGGCGGGGGCGCTGGCGGCGCGAGGCGAATGCGTCCCGGCCGCGTTGTTGTAATAGGGCAAGCCGTCGTGGGTGATGAGATGAGAGCCGGGGTGCTCCATAAGTACCTTGAGGCGCAGGTGCGATTCCGCGACGGCTTGCGCGATGCGTCTCCATTGCTCGGCGCTTTCGGCGGAAAGGTCAGGGAGCGCCGCTGGCGGTGTGGGCATGGCGCGCTGCGATGTGTCGGCAGGATTTTTGCCCTTGTCGGAGGGGCCCGAGGCTGGCAGATCCTGGCGGAGCTCGGCCTGGATTCGCTCCTCTTCGGTATCCGAATCTTGGTGACCGTGCTTTGGCGTCCGAGGAGAGATGCTATCATCGTCGTTCAGGCCGTCCGTGCAGGTGCGATTGTGATCCTCGTCATTGTCTACCTCCTCCCCAGTCTCGAGCTGAACGGCGGCATCCTTTGCCGGGCCCTCTTTGGAGGCGCCCTTCTGTACGTTCTCCTCGGCCATCTCTTGGTTATCGTCAGGTTGCAGATGAGAGATGGTGGTCTCGTCCGGGGCGTCCGGGGAGGGGGAGTCAAGTTTCTGTGCTGGCACCTCAGCCATCTCTTGGTCGCTGTTATGCGGGTTGGGCGGGTCGACTTTCTGAGGGATGGCTTCCAAGAGAGATTTCATAGCTTTCTGCAGCCGAACATCTCGATCAGAGTTCGACTCGGTTCTAGGGCCAATATTTTAGCTTCCGAGCTTGCCACCACAATTGTGCAACTGGCGCCATTCCTAACTTACCTTCCCTGACGCTTCCGCTTCATTCCGGCCTTCGACTCGTCAGCGGCGGAAGTCTTTTTCCGCTCGCGCAAGACTTCATCCACAACAGGCTTAATCGATTCCCACTGGCGCGTGTGGTGCTCGATAAAACCCTCCCAGAACGGATCGACCTTGCCTTCAGACTTGTTCGGGTCGTGGTGAAGGAAGGCCAGTTTGGCGTTCACTAGAACAGACTCCCGCTGCTTTCCCCTGCGACTGCCGCCCAGTGTGAAGCGCTTCGTGCCATGACCTAGGGCGGTGCGTGCTGCAAAGAAGCCTCGTGTAAAAAACACTGGAGGGAACGGGATCTCGCCATTGGCGGCTATGAGCTCGCGCCAGGTGCTATGGCCAGAAAATCTAAGGCGAGAGAGATAGCCGAGGAATGTGTTGTAGTCCCGGAACGTCCTGTGCGAGGCCGGGAAATCGGAAGTTATTCCGAAGCTGGGAATATTTTCCGAATTCATTTGGCATCCGAACTTCCCGCCTTTCCTGATCGCCTTCGATGGCGTTTGGGAATCGGTGTGCACGGCGCATGTGCATTTGAGCGCGTTGTAAACCTCATCAAAGGATACCCAGGGCCGTTTCTCGACCATTCCCTGGCAGACATGTCGGAGGTATGCATCGGGGTCGCGAAGGGCCTTCAGCAGCCCGAAGCTAGGTTCCACGAAAATCGGATGACCCTGTGTGCGCTGTACCTTGGTCAGGGGTTTGTCTGCCGCTTGCTCTTTGCCATTGGTTGGCTCGGGAGGTTTGTCGCCACTCATGACGGCACCTTGAGGCGCTTCGGCAGGCACGTGAGGTGCCACTTTGGGCTTGGTGTTCGATCGCGCGCCAGTGGTTGCGCCTTCGGGGTCGGCAGTCGACAGAGAGCTCAGCGGGGTGCTGCTTGGTTCCGCACGCGCAGGTTTGGAGCCTGCCGATTTGGCCTTCTTGGGTGGCATGACGAGCATGTGGTGATTGTTGAAGATGGTATTTGCTTAGGCCAGTAGGTAGGAGGTGGGTGGTAGGTAGAGGCGGGTGGTAGGTAGAGGTGGGTGGCAGAGGTGGGTGGTAGGTAGAGGTGGGTGGTAGGTAGAGGTGGGTGGTAGGTAGAGGTAGGTGTAGGTAGGTAGGTCAAGAGGCGGTGGTGGTGAAGGTAGATGGATGAGGGTAGAGAGTTGGCCGTAGGGAAATTTGCGGTTGCTAGAGAAATGTTTGTAGGGTTCCAAGCCTGATGAACTGCCATATGATATTCCATGCCACTATCACGTCAGGTCCTCTTCAGATCCAGCTCACCCGGCCTACATGAAGTTGCCGCACGCCGCTGCCGATAACATTGCTTAAGGGCGAGGAATTGCATGGAACAGCACCACATATGGATATAATCACTTACCTATGTAGGTAGGTACTTAGATTGTTGCTGGGCCGTGGCTCTGTGCAAAACCAACTCGACCCATCCAGAAAGATCAGGAGCACCGAGGGTGTTGGTCGCTTTCACGAGACTAACTACATGTTCGAATACCTTTTTAACCACTTACGCCCACCACAAGAACGACGGCAGCCCTACTACATAAGGCCCAAAAGATTGAGTAGAATTGTTCGTGCCGTAAGCCTTCCTATTCCTGTTTTTTTTTCCTGTTCCATATTATTCCTATTGTTATTCCCGCTTTTCTTCGCATTTTTATTCTTATTCTCTTTCTTATTTCAATACCTCCTATTCCTCAAAGGAACTGCCATCTTTTTGGTGGTGGGCGTGCCATTTATGGATAAAGAACTGCAGATGCCCCTGCCAAGCTGTGAATAGCTCGAGCCATATCAAGTCCCTTTTGGACTGCCTCATCTGGCCGCGAACATTTACCAATCTTCCGAATCTGGCCATTTCAGCCTCCTCTGACGTCTGGGGAAGTGGGGCGAGGTGAGTGGTCTTGGCATCCCCCTGCGGTCTTGCGCGGGGGCGGGGCCATCGCTCCCCACCATCACCACCCCACGGAAGGAACAACGAGTTAGGCGTTTCCAATGGCTCAATTGGCACTCGGCAGAATTGTGCCGAGGCTCTTCGGCGCTCCTCCTTGCGACATCGGGGCCTGTCCGAGGCCTGAACGGTCTCGCCGCCCATCAATCGCTCTCTTAATGGAAGGAGAATCACCCTGTCGACGAGCCATCTCGTATCTGTCAAACTCGCCCGACGAAGTCAGTCGAATATTCCTTTCTTGTCAGCTATCTACCGCGGCGCCAGCAGGAACGTACATCTCCGCAAACGCACGAAATGAATGACAATGCTCTCCGATAACTACATCAAACAGCTCCAGCTGGCCAAGATCCAGCTGGCCATAGCAGATCTGGGGGCGGCCAATGTCCTGTTCGTCCTGTTGGGCCTCGCGGTCGCTGTCGTGGCCGTCGACTATGCGTGGATGCTTTGGCTCCGATCCAAGATGCCTCCTGGGCCTTGGCCTTGGCCTATCATTGGAAATACGTACTCCCTGCCCGAGGAAAAGCCCTGGGTATACTTTGAGGAGCTGTCCCAGAAGCACAAGACGCCCCTGATAACATTCTGGATCGGACGGTAAGCAGCTTTATGCGGTTCACAAAATCTTCAAAACGATTCCTAATAGCTGACGGACACAGTAATCCAACCATCTGGATCTGCGATGCTTGGGCGGCGCACGATCTTTTGGAGAAGAAAGCCCAGCTGTACTCATCACGGCCACGGATGGTCGTGTTTGGGGAGCTGGGAACGGGCCAGGCAAGTCTATCGCCTTTCTCCGAAGGTTTGACATGCTGACATGGCCAAGTCCAACCTGGTAACGATGAGGACTCGAAACCAACAAGAGCGCGACCATTGGAGGATACATCGCAAGATCATGCACTTGGGCGTTGGCATCCAGGCCGTGCGCCGATACCGAGATGTCCAGAATTTCGAGAGCCAGATCGTAGCGAGCGACATGCTGCGAGACCCGGCCAATTTTGTCAAGCATCTTGAGCGCTACGCCACGAGCGTGGTGTCGATTCTTGCCTTTGGGCGCCGCGTCGCCTCCTTCGACGACCCCATCATCACCGAAGTCATTGCCGTCATGCAACTTGCGGCGGAGCTCAATGTGCCAGGGAAAACGTTTCCGATGTTGATGGAGACGTTCCCCATCCTGGCCAAGTTCCCCCGCTCGATGCCGTGGATGCGAGGCCTGGGCTCGCGTGGGCAGAAGGGAGGACACTACTTCTTTTACTCCTTGGCGATGGAGGCATTGGAGCAGCAGGCGGAGAAGACCGAAGAGCAGCTTGCCGCAATCCCCAAGCCGTACGTCAAGACACTATTTGACGAGAACGAAAAGTACAACCTTCCCGTGGACGAGCTTAGCGCCTTGACCGGAAACCTTTTCGGCGCTGGCTCCGACACGAGCGCCAGCACTCTGGTCACATTTGCGCTCGCCTGCACCGCCTTCCCCGAGCCGATGCAGCGCGCCCAGGCCGAGCTCGACGCCGTCGTGGGCGCTCGCCGCTCGCCCAACTGGGATGACCAGGCGTCTCTGCCGTACGTCAACGCGTTCGTGAAGGAGGTGCTGCGATGGCGCTCCGTAGCGATAATTGGTGGCCAGCCGCATTCACCCACGGCCGATGACTACTACGAGTTTGCCGGAAAGCGGTACCTGATCCCGGCCAATTCATGGGTCCAGGGGAATGTCTGGGCCATCCACCGGAACCCCCGGGAGTTCCCCGAGCCGGACCGCTTCGAGCCAGAGCGCTTCATCAAAGGCTCTGAATGGAAAAGAGACTTCCCCGGCGACAAGGGGTACCACACCTTCGGCTGGGGACGCCGCGTCTGCTCGGGCCAGGCGCTGGCCGAGCAGGGGGTTTGGATCACGATCGTGAGACTGCTATGGGCGTTTGACATCCGCAAGAAGCAAGACACGTCTGGCAAGGAGATTCCAGTCGACATCTTTGCCTTTACTAATGGCCTGAATATGAGACCGCAACCTTTTGAGTGCGAAATTACGCCGCGCTCGCAAGAGATCCGGGCGACGATAGAGAGGGAGGGCGAGGAGGCGCTGATGGAGCTGAGTCCGCTTGAGGGGGAGAGCAAGTACAGGATGTCCACCTTTTACCAGCAAAAGAAGGCTGAGAGTAAAAGCCAGGTGTAGGGGGAGTGTTATGGCGGGAGATAGTTGCGATCTGATGTATCGTAACGTAATTGGTCATTGATATTTGGTGTCCGCTCATGCATCTCCTGCTTGCATATTGTTGCCGATAGGGGCCTGATTCTTGAGCACGCTGGTTACAACTCAATAATACGCACACATCGTCCACAATATCTTGGTAGAGGCAGACAGAAAAGTGGCAAATAAACGAGCATAACACCATGCGGGTATGGAGCTATTAAATCATTATATAACAGCTTCTGCATTGGCACGCTTTGCTGGCCCCGGTCGAGGGTACTCGTAATGGGGTGACTTTCGCGAGAACTGAGAAGTTTAGGCCTGGATACCTAACATCTTCGTGCTCATCTCCCACAATCTCCTCCCCGCCTCCTTGTCCTTGGCATGCGGCGCCGCCAGCTCGTCAGCTATCTGGCAGTCGGCCAGGTAGCCCAACACCTCGCCGCCGACATCCAGCCCCGCGAGGGCCGGGTCGAACGCGGCGACGAGCGTCGTGGACGCGCCCGCATCCAGGCTCTTCCACAGGTGCTTAGGCGCAGTGTTGCGCATGTCCTCCCTGGCCTTTTCGTCCAGCGACCGGCTGAGCTCCGTCTCGATGGAGCCCGGGTGGACCGACAGCGCGAGGATCCCGACGTCCTTGAAGAGCCGCCGGCTCAGCTCCGACGCGTGCAGCACGTTGGCGCACTTGCTCTGGCCGTAGCCCACGAAGCCGGGGTACGCGCCCTCCGGGTCGGTGATGCGGGTCAGGAACGGCGCGGCCGTCGCGGGGGGCCGCTCCGCCTCCGGGACGGACTCGTCGGCCGCCGGCTTCTGGAGCGCGAGGTCCGAGAAGCGGATCGGCGACAGCCGGTGGCCGTGGCTGCTGACGTTGACGACACGGACCGAGCCTTTGGGGGTGCCCTCGGCGGTAGCTGCGTTTTTCAGCAAGGGTAGGAGCAGAGAAGTGAGCAGGAACGGGCCGAGATGGTTCACGAAGAACTGTCTGTCGACCAGCGTTCCGTCCAGGGCGGGCTTGGCATTCCGGGAGACGTCGTTGACGCCGGCGTTGTTGATCAGGACGTGGAGCTTGCCGCCGACGCGGGCCTCGATCTGGGAGGACGCGTCCCGGACCGAGTCAAGGGAGCCCAGGTCTAGCAGGACGTGCGAGACGTTCACCGAGGGGTACTTCTGGTTGATGTCGGCGAGGACTTCCTCGAGCTTCTCCCGGGTCCGGGATGCCAGGATCAGGTGTCCGGGGCCATGTGCCGCGATGGCCAGTGCGGTTGTGGCGCCGATGCCCGCTGGCGACACGCCGGTGACGACGACATTCTTGCCCCTGATGGCAGCGTCAAAGGCCTGTCCAACCTCTGTGCCCGTGGTGTGCCGGCCCCAGTTTGGGTGTGAGGCCATTTTCGCTCGTGAGATTCGCTTGTCTAGTGTCACATGTCCCGGAGACTCTTCCAGCCTCGACAGGGCGGACGTCGTTAGATAGGTACCCTCATGAGGGGCGGGATTCGGTGTCAAGCCAAGAGATGCTCCATTGATGCGGTCTGGAATCAGCTCTCCAGCAACATCTCTGGCATCGCTAGGATGAACCAGCTACGGCGATGCTTCGGAAAAGCGGCAGAAGATGGTGAGTCGGAAACATGCAGCCGAGGCTCCCTCCATGCGGGGTTCCAGACACACCCCTGCACCCGTCATCCCCTCCTCCGCTCGCTTCCCCAACTTTTCGGTCGAGACAAGGCGACCCCGGACCTATCCCCCACCCTGAGCGGCAGATGCAGGATGATGGAGAATGCGGGGATGCGGATCCTGCCTCGGGCTTTCGTTTTACCCTTGTCAGATGGGGCGCAGAGATATTGACTGGAAAGGGGCACGCCAGATTAAAGACCTCATCCAGCCGAGCGAGTGACCGTCACCGACCACCTGGGCATCAACAAACAGCTCCCACGCGACGAAGCACCATGGATGTCAAGCCCAAGACCGGGATCAAAGTCATCGTCGTCGGCGCCGGCTTCGGCGGCCTGGCGGCGGCGATCGAGTGCCACCGCAACGGGCACGACGTCGAGATCTACGAGAGCTTCCCCGCGCTCAAGAGCCTGGGCGACATCATCTCGTTCGGCCAGAACGGCGGCCGCATCTTCCACCGCTGGGGGCTGACGCGCCGGGGCGAGGTCGCGGACCGGATGCGGGCGCTGAGCATCGACCTGCAGCGCTACGGGTTCAACATCCGCAAGTTCGACACGGGCGAGGTCGTGCACCACCAGCCGACCCCGCCCCGCGTGCCCGACGCGCCCGTGCTGAATGGGCATCGGGGGGAGCTCCACGAGGTCGTGTTTGAGCACGCAAAGGAGCTCGGCATCCCTATACACCTCGGCGAGCCCATCGAGCAGTACTTTGAGGATGAGGAGAAGGCGGGGATCATTCTCAAGAGCGGTAACAAGGTATGATGGCCATGTCTCCTCTTGTATTGCCCACTGCTGACGAAGTCAGGTTGTTGGGGATGTGGTCATCGGGGCGGACGGCGTTCGCTCAAAAGCCCGCGAGCTTGTGCTCGGCTACGTCGACAAGCCCAAGAGTAGTGGATATGCAGTTTGGAGAGCATGGCAAGTACCTTGACACTTCATACGTACCGTGTTTAGCCTGTTAATCTAGGTTCAAATGCAGGTTCGGCAACGAAGACATGATGAAAGACCCTAGGACAAAGCAGTTTTGCGAGAACGGCGATTCTTTTGTAAGGCCATCATCCGCGGGCTTAGAGTCCTGCCTGCAGCCTCGTAGTGAAGACGACAACTGCTAATCAGCTTAAATGGAGCAGAATGGCTGGATCGGACAAGACATCCACCTCCTCTTCTCGACCATCAAGAACGGCACCGACTGCTGCTGGGTGCTGACACACAAGGACGACCACGACATCGACGAGAGCTGGTCTTTTCCGGGGAAGCTAGACGAGGTCAAAGATTTGCTGCGCGAGTGGGACCCAATATGTACCGCCATCATCGAGAAGACGCCGGCGGACCGCCTCACCGACTGGAAGCTGGTTTACCGCGACCCCCTGCCGCGCTGGGTCTCGAACCACGGCCGCATCTGCCTGCTGGGCGATTCTGCACATCCGTTCCTCCCGACATCCGCACAGTAAGACCAGAGCATCCTCAACGAACCCCCCACACCTCCCTCGAAGCAGCACTAACGGCCACGACAGAGGCGCGACGCAAGCGTGCGAGGACGCGGTCAACATCGGCATCTGCCTGAGGCGGGCCGGCAAGGCCAGCGTGCCGGCGGCGCTGTGGACGCACCAGGACATACGGTACGAGCGCGTCGGGGCCGTGCAGAAGACGGGCGAGACGACGCGGGACCGGTGGCACAAGACGGATTGGGAGAAAGTCAAGAAGGATCCACAGAGCGTGTCGTTCCCCAGAGAGGACTGGATCCACAAGCACGATGCCGAGGCCCACGCCGAGGCCGTCTTCGACGAGGTCTTCCGGCGGCGCCTGGCCGGGGGCTCCGATGAAGCGGCGGCGGAGGATGGAGGATCGCTGATCAAGGACCAGCAGGCTGCAGCGCCGGTTTCTGTGGCGACTTAGACTGGTATGGCGATGTTGGCTGCTGTGGAGACTTGGATTGATGTGGTAACTGTCAGGGGTATCACATTATGAATGTACAGGCCCCTGGCCAAACTAAGCGAATGGGAGATTTTTGCATTCTCTGCTATCAACAGTACTTACTCATGTAGTTCCGTTTCCCCTTGTCGACCTCTTCGTTCGCACTTGCCCTCATCCCGATCAGTCAATCTTGATGACGACAGTCTTGACCTCGCAATAGGCATCAATACTCTGATGAACACCCTCTCTTCCCTGCCCGCTCGCCTTGTAGCCGCCAAACGGCATGTCGGTCGGCATGGACATGGGGGACGTGCAGTTGATCGAGACCATGCCGCTCTCGATGGCCTTGGCCACGCGCAGGGCGCGCGAAATGTCGCGCGTGTACACGGCGGCCCACAGGCCATACTCGGTGTCGTTTGCGTTCCTGAGCGCCTCGCGCTCGTCCTCGAACGTGTTGATGACGATGACGGGGCCGAAGATCTCGTTCTTGACGACCTTGGAGTCCTCGGGCTGAGACACAAAGATGGTTGGCTCCACGAAGAAGCCGCCGTCCTTGTCCAGCGAACCGTTTCCACCCAGGGCCAGCGAGCCCGAGGCCTTGCCGGACTCGATGTAGGACATGACCGCGTCGTACTGGACGCGGTCCACCTGCGGGCCGTGCGTGGTGCTGGGGTCCGTGGGGTCGCCCGGCTTGGCGGCGGCCAGGGCCTGCTTCACGAGCTCGACGAACTCGCCGGCGGCCGACTTCTCGACGTACGCGCGCGAGTTGGCGATGCATATCTGGCCGCTGTTGAACTGGATAGACAAGGCAATATCTGCCGCGGCCTTCTGCAGGTCGGCGTCCGCAAACACGATCGCTGGAGACTTTCCGCCGAGCTCCAGCAGAACGTTTTTCAAGTTTGAAGAGGCTGCCGCCTGCTGGATGCGTCGCCCCACGTTCGTGGATCCAGTAAAAGATATGGCCCTTACGTCCATGTGCGCGGCAAGAAGCGCGCCCGACGGCTGGCCATGGCCGGAGATGACATTGACCACGCCAGCGGGAAACCCGGCGTCCACAATGAGCTCACAGACCTTCGCCACGGCCAGCGGTGCCTTCTCGCTGCTTTTCACGACGATGGTGTTTCCCGTGATAAGAGCCGGTGCTACCTTGCTGACGAACAGCGGCAGGGGCGCGTTCCCTAGTTTGGGTACCCAAACATGTCAGAATCTAAAGGGGTTGGTTTGTTGGAAGGTGGGAGGATGCGCGCGAACATACATGGGAGAATTGCGGCTACGACGCCGAACGGCTGACGAAGAGTCATGGAGACATAGCCCGGGGTGTTGATGGAGGATTGTCCCTGGTATCGGTCCGTGTTAGTGCGGGAACTGAGCAGGCCACGCCCACCACAAAAAAGATGGCACCTGGGATCATAAGACTGCCATCTTTTCTCGTGGTGGGCGCGCAGGCCTTCGGGCATTGAACTAAACCAACCTGGATCATGGGCCAAGCCTCGGCGAAGCGCTCGAGTGTGACGGCAGCATGCTCGGCGTCTAGATGCGTCAATTAATTTCCTTCAAACTCAAAAAAGAGCGCAGTGAAAGCCAAATACCAAAATAATGCGAGACAGGCCGTCCCATAGATATGGCATCGAGCCGTGCCAGCTCGCTGATATTCTCTCTAATGAGGCTGGCGAGCTTCTTCAGGTAGCCTCCGCGGACGGCGGCGCCTGTCTCGGACCACTCGGGGAATGCGCTTTTGGCCGCGGCGACGGCCCTGTTGGTGTCATCCTCGGTTGCCTCGGGCACTGAAGATGGCTGGTCAGTATCACTTGCCAACCGAGAGTTTACTGCTCGGGTGCAGGTCTGCCGGGCGGGGCGGAAAAGGGTAATTGGTTGTGTGGCAGCTCGGCACCTACCGACAGCGACCTTGGTCTTGACATCTGCAGGATTGAAGATGTCAAATGTCTGCTTGTCGGACGACGAATCGAGAAGCTGGAGGAACCATGGACGTCAGTATCAGCCACTGACAGATCCTGCCCCTTATGCAACCTCACCGCAGAAGCAGGAGAATAAACAACACACCTCGCCCCCAATCAGCATGCGCGGGCGCACGATGTTGTCGCTCTGTGCACCCATGACTGACGAAACTGACTCGCTGACGAACAGGGTGTGGGGTTGTGGCTAGAATCGAGTGGCTGCAAATATTGACTGCGATGTGATATTGGCTCTGCGCATAGGGCTTGATAGGGTACTCTAAGGAAGGACAAAAGCCCTGGAATTATACATGCTGGGTCTGCCTTTATATCCCTTCGAGTGCCGTTAAACCCAAGGTCGCCCGGATAGGAAGGTAATCGGTAAAGGCACCTCGGATTTGCAGGCGCGCGCCGGTTGCTGCAGTCTTTCGGGGATAGGAGGAAGCACGGGGCTTGGCGCAGGCTCGGCCGGGCCTTTGCGCTTGGCACCGACGCCACTTGTATCACGCCGTATGGCTGACATTACCCCTGTAAGTCGGCCTCGGCCGATCCGGCCATGCGTCGAAATCCGGCCTCGGCCAGCAGCAGGCTGCTTTGTCAGGTCCTGAGGTCACAGCGGGAGGTGGCTGCGCCCCACTTGCGCTAAAAAGGGGGACATGTGGGGCAGTCAGAGTCAGGGTGCGCAGTTCTCGTCGCAGCGCCGGCAATTGATGGCTCTGCTAAGGCCACGACTTGGAATGTGACGAGGCCAAGAGGATCGACCCCAAATATTCGGCGTGACCCGATCAACTCTGCGTCGGAGTCTAAGGCTACCCCCATGGTCTGACGTGAACTAGCCGCAGTGGTCTGGAGCTGAGCATAGCGTCGCAACAAGGAACCGCCTGCAGCACAGCATCGACTGCGCGTCGCACGCTGGAGCGAGTGCAGCCGTCAGCCCACTTCTGCAGCTGCCGTCCTCCAGCGCCTGCACACCGTCCCCGATACCCACTGCTCGCCGGCCGTCGCGAGGCGGACGACTCCCGGCCATGATGTCGTCGATACAGAAGGCGGCTAACAAGAGGGCGCCCATGTCCTGCGACAGGTGCAAAAGCCGCAAAACCAAGTGTGTGGATCCAGGTATGGCCGCCTCACCCCCTTCTCCGAAGTTCCCGTTACTGACATCGCGCGCCTGCTTAGTACCTGGACCATGTCGGTACTGCCAGAGCCTCGGAGTCAGCTGTCGCGTTGACCCGAGTCGAAGGCGGCAGAGGCCTTACTATCATGTCTCGGTACGGTCTGTTGTGTCACCCTGCTTAAGCACTGGGCTAACGCTGTCACAGGAAGAGGAGTTCCGGCTCCAGCGGAGGGCACTTGAGCATTTCCTGCCCAATACCGAAATTTCTCTGTCCAGTCTCAGGGACCTAATGAACTCCTTGGCAAATCGCTCTCCAGGCATCAACGTGGAGGCAGCAGATGACCCTGGGCGGGCCAGGTCACTCCAGCATGCAAGCACCGACTCGCCAGGTTCCACCGAGCTCGAGGAGACGATTGAGGAAATAGACGACCTGCATGACGAAATGGGTTGGTTGACTGGTATGTAGACTGCCCCGCACCGTCAAAGTCGCGATTGCTCACTTCCTACTTCGTAGTCGACTCCAAGGGCACCTATCGCCATGTTGGCATGGAAGGGGGCTTCGGCTTCAACTCGGCAGTGCGGTCCTTGAAACACAGGCGCCTGTCGGACACCACTAGCAGGAGTGGCAGCGATCTCGTCACCCCGTTGACAGCCGCGCCGCCCTGTCCGCCCGACGCTCCCGACTCGTCACCATCTGCGGCCATGGGTGGACACCAACCTCCACGGCAGGTCTTTCTCCCGCGCCGGGACCTCTGCGAGAGGTGCGTCGGCCGCTTCTTCCGCGACGTCCACTCCATCTACTGGCTCTTCTCCGCCGAGGCCTTCTACGGCTCGCTGGACCGCATCTACGCCGGCGATTCGACGTGCGCGTCCGCCTCCATGCTCTGCTCGCTCTACTCCATCCTTGCGCTCACGTGCGAGAGTGAGGCACGGAGTGACGGCATCTCTGATAACATGGCAAACAAGTATCTTTCCCTGGCCAAGGCCCTCGCCCCTGTCCTCATGGATGAGGCCGATATAGACGCCATTCGAGCGTTGTGCCTGCTGGGCATCGCGCTCCAGAGTTCCATGTGCTCCAATACGGCTTACGTCTATGTGTAGGTTGACCGCACTCCGCTAATTACTCCTTCAAGCTAACCGTGCGTAGAGGAGCCGCCGCGAGGATCGCCTTTACTCTAGGTCTCAACGTCTCCAAGAGCCTTAACCTCCGGAGCAGCTTCCAGGGGCAAATCGATCTGCGCATCTATTGCTCGCTGTACTTGCTAGATTTGGATGTGGCGCTGTGCTACGGAAACCCGCCCTCCCTTTCTGACGAGGATGGTGCCGAGACTTTGGAACTAGTTTCTGAACAGGTGAGTCGCTCGGAAAACATTACAAAGGAGACAGCCACATCTGACGCAAACAGATCCTGAGCCCTGGCACCAACATGCCGTTGGACTTTCTTTCACTCTCATGCAAGCTGGCGCAGCTCAAGAGACACACCAGCAAGCTGCTCTACATGAGATCGGGAGGTGGAGTAGGCGGGGCGTTCAAAGGCGATGGCCAGGGGAGCACGGGCGCGGGCAGACCCGGGGCCCGCCCGGCGGTGCCCATCTCGTCCGTCTCGGCGGCGCTCACGTCGCTTTCAGCTTGGTACGAGTCGATCCCGCCCCACCTCCGGGATGTGGCCCAGGCCGCACCTTACCATAAGCGCAGCGTGGCTGTTCTACACCTAAGATATTGGTCCTCGGTAATCCTAGCAACACGGCCGTTCTTGCTATATAACGTCCTACATCCAGAACAGGCCCGGAAGGCCGAGAGTAGCGCACCCGAAGCTTCCAGCAGTGCCGGCAACAGCACGACCACCGAGTCCAAACGCAAGTTCTTTGAAGACTTTGCTTCTACCTGCCTCGACGCCGCGTCGAAGAGCCTGGCACTGCTAAGCTACATGCGGGATGCGGGCATCCTGAGCTCGCTGGTCACTTTTGATACGGGGTGTCTGCTCGAGGACCTCCAGGTCTTCCTCCTGGCGCTGGCCAAGAGCAAAGGGTCCAAGCTTTCGTTGGAAAAAGATGCGGTCGACGCAGAGGAAGACCTCAGGCAACGCCAGCAGCAGCAAACACAAGCTGCAGACTCAGTGCGTGAGCTCCTGCACATCTTGCAGGGCATGGAGCAGATCTTCTGGACGCGGCACGCGCTCATCGAAGTCATGGCCCAGCTCGACGAGCACGGGCTGCTCAATGGCGAGAGGTTCTCGCCTGGCGGCGATACACCGGGGCTTTTCTGTCTGGACATACCGACTCACCACGACATTGTGGGCGAGATGATGGAGTCATACTTGCACGACGTGCAGGACAGCTTCTTTGGGCTCGACCCTCAGCAGCCTCTCGACGGCGCAATGGAGACGCAACTTACATTTGGACACTGAGGTGGGAGGAGTTTGTACTACTTCATGGGACATGAATTCAATTGACCGCCGACTTCGGTGACTTGCCAGGTGTCGGCTCATGTGACCCTTTCCCCGCTTCCATTTTCCGCATTTCCGTGCTGTCCGGCATCGGCAACGGTCCGCACTGACTCTCCGACGACGGCCAGGGCGACCTCCCCAGGTCCGCCTCTCAAAACGGCTAGGCTGCGCGCGCCCCTGGGCAGCCGATGCCATCGAGGGGACCGGTTCATCGGCGGTGGATCTCGCGATGGACAAGCCCGAAATGGGGCTCGAGACCCATGCGAAGCGGGCCCTGGCGCGGGGAAGCCGGCCAGGATGCGTGGTGCTTGCCGCGATAGGACACGGACCGGCTATCAGCCGTATCTTGATGCCTACCGCTCCCCGCACTGAATAGCAAGGCCGGGGTGGATGAGAGCCCGGTGATAAAGACGGCGCTCACCGTGGGCCTTGCAACTCTTCTCTTCCACCTCCTCTTCACCCCAACCGCCACCATGAAGCTCTCGTCGCTGTCAGGCGTCGCCCTGGCCCAGCTGGCATTTGCCGGCCCCACCGCCCCCCGCGCCGTGCCCCTAGTTACGCTCGATGGCTACGGCACGTTTTCGGGAATCTCGGTCGATACGACCTTTACCGGCGTCGCCATGCCGTCCGCCGTCGACGCCTGGCTGGGCATGGACTACGCGACGCAGCCCGTCGGCGAGTGCCGCTTCGAGCCCGTCGACTGGCCCGCGCCGTTCGAGGGCGTGGTGGCCGCCGACAAGATGCCGCCGGGCTGTCCGCAGGCAGTCACTGCAGCCCTACCCGCAGGGCTGCAGTCGGAGGCGTGCTTGCGGTTTGGCGTCTGGCGCACCCCTGGCGTCCCGTTGTCCGAGAAGCTACCCGTCATGGTTTTCATTCCTGGAGGTAGGGAAGCAGAGACGCTATGCGTCTAGAATGGAGAGCAGGGGCTGCCGTGTCCGCCGGTTTCCTAGATGAGCAGATCTAACCAACGCGTCCCAGGGGCCTTTAATCGCGGCAACATGAGGAACTTTGACGGCGCATCCTTCGTTGCAAACTCGCCCAAGCCCATCGTGTTCGTCTCGTTCCACCACCGGGTTGGGGCTCTTGGGTTTCCCAACATCGACATTTTTGAGCGCGCCGGCCTGCTGAACCTAGGTCAGATACCTCTGCCCACGACCTCGTCAATTTCTTGAAGAAGCACCTCATTAATACTGGTTTGGGGGTATAGGTATTCGTGACACCCGGCATTTCTTGGAGTTCGTCCAGGTAAGAGCCTATTTGATGATTCTGGCCGGATGCAGGAACCTAACCGACCTTTTATAACGTCAGAAACACATCGGCTCGTTCGGGGGCGACGAGGCAAAGGTTACTCTCGGTGGCTTAAGCGCCGGTGCACATGGCGTTGGGATTCAGCACGTCTATGGTCACGGCAAGCCCCTCTTCTCACAGGTATGGAGGTCTTCTTATTTCGTCGAATTCCAAGACCACGGTGGAGTCTCCAAAACGTGCTGACACGCACCTTAGGTTTACTACATGTCTGGCAGCAGCACCTCTCGCGGGTTCCCTGGCGTGGACTATCCTCTCTACAAGCGGCAGGCCAAGGACTTTCTCGACCGGATCGGCTGCGCAGACATTGCCGCCACAGGAGATGATGCAGCCACGATTTCGTGCCTCAAGGCAGCGCCCATGGAGGATATGAGGGCGGCCTCCGTTGGCGTCTTCCAGGCTAGCGAGAAAAACATCACTTGGGCATGGCAGCCTACCCATGGAGGCGCTCTTTTCGAGACAACTGGCACAGACGCCCTGACCAACGGCAGCTTCTTCCATGTCCCGGTCCTGACGTCGAATACCCATGACGAGGCGAGGCTCTATATTCCGGGGACGCTGGAGACAAACAAGCAGTTTGTTGAGTTTATGAATAACATCTGCCCAGGCCTGAACGGCGAGGACCTAGCGGACCTGGAGCGTCTCTACCCGGATCCGCTCACCAACGCCGACTCCCCCTACGTCAACAGTCCTAACAGCACCCAGTACAGCCGTCTCAGTGGGGCTTGGACAGATTACTCCTACCACGTGAGATCCTCTTCTTTCGCCGCATTTTGGAGCGCGACATAAACTGACCACGCCCCAACTCTAGTGCCCTAGCCAGTCAAACGCCTACTATTCCGCCATCGCCGGACAGCCCGTCTGGAAGTCTCTCTGGAACACCCCCAACAAGAACCCGGCGTGGCAGGGCGTCCCGCACTCGACCGACGCCTCGTACACGTGGGCCGAGCCGACGGTGCAGTACCCGGAGATGGCGCGCGCCCAGCATGGCTACATCGCGAGCTTCGTCCTGGCGGGCGACCCCAACACGTATCGCTACCCCGGCACGCCCGAGTGGCCCAGGTACGAGCCCGCGGGCTACGGGCTGGACGCTGAGCCGGCGAGCCAGCTCGAGTTCCTGCCGGGCGGCCCGAGGCTCGCGAAGGACGATATGCGGAGGGAGGCGTGCCTTTTCTGGCGGGATCCGGTGCGGGCGAAGAGGCTTAACAAATAGACGAATGGCGGCTCTCGAGACCGATGGGGAGAGTCCGGGAGGGATTTGTACATACCTATCTGTCATGTACATCCATTATGATGTGCGGTTACAACACTTCCAGACGTCGCGACTCCCCGTCTCAAGTGAAAGCCCTACCGCCGCCGAGGCGGACATGCTCGATTGGATCTTCTAATGCGGCGTGCGATCCAGTCGAGACAAAAGTTGGTGTGTTGGCGTCCGAGCTGGCACGCCCACCACAAAAAAATGGCAGTTTTACAAATCTTGGGGATTAGAATAGTTAATGCTATGGGCTTTCCTAGTCTTATTTTTCTTATTTTTCTTCCTGTCCTTATTCCTATCGTTATTCCTGTCGTTATTTCCGTCGTTATTTATGTTTCTGCTTTTATTCCTGTTTCTCCTTTTGCAGTCCTCGTCGCCTTTCAAAAGAGCTGGGACTGTCATCCTTCTTGTGGTGGGCGTGGCTGGATGGCTCCTTCCACCTTTAGTGCAGGTTGAGGGAGGCTGTGGGGCGTGCCCAGCTGGGATCCAGCGCAGTCGACGCCCAAATCCACGGCCGATGGGGGCAAATTCAGCGGCGCATTCGAGCTGGCAGAACCTTACACATCCCATGCTGCACTTCAACTTCAACTTCAACTTGGAGATCGATATCACCGTCATCTGAACAGGCAGAGGACCCAGTACGTGCGTAGCAGAGGGGTAGGTTCCCCACTAGGCTTGATTGCGCAAACGACGAACACTGGAGCATGTGGCCGCTGTATCAACGGGTGGTCCAGATGCTGAACCTCAACCCGGAGTTAACATGTTTTTTGTCTTGTTTTTTTTCTTCAAGCACATCGACCCGAGCACCGCGCTCACAGCCAAGAACCAGCACGGCGACCATCGGACAGCCCGTGTCCCTGCGACATCAGCCGCGTGCCTCGAATGCGTTTGTTCAACCCCAGGAGATGACATCCTTCTGAGGCGTGCTGATGAACCCCGGCATGGCAGTCACGGTTCTTCAAGATTTGAGGCGACAGGCAGCTGTACTTGCCCTCGCTGGCAGTGACACCAGCCAGCCTTTGGGTTGATACTCCCTGGCATGAGAGGGGTTGTCACTACATTCCAACCTCCGTTGTATTCGGACGTGTCGCCCCATTCACCGCTTCGGGAGGTGACCGACACCGACCCTAGCCCATAAAAGGCCCTCCGCAAAATTATTCGCTTCCAGATTCCAGTCACGGTAGGCAAAGCTCAAGGGCCATCCATTCATGAATCTCAGCTGACACCCAACCGACCTTTAAGTCATGGATATCACCAAGGAGTGGGCCTCTCTCGAGCAAGGGCAGCGAGATATGCTGAAAGCCTTCTACATCTTCTGTTCTATCATGACATTCGGCACGCTCTTCGGGTGCTGGTTGCATATCACCTACTCGCTTCAACCGGAGCCGGATAGTATGACGCCAAGTGTTCCGCTTCGCCGCCTCCCCGAACGATAGACCCAAGATCTACTGGTCACGGGCGTCGGGGAGGAATGGCGGGACTCGTCATAAAAAGACCCTGCTGAGATCTGTGGGTCAAGGGAGCAAACAAGGCAAAAGAGACATTCGCGATGGCTCAGGGTTTCTAGAGGCACTAGAACCATGGGGCGACACAAGTCAGCGTCGAAAGCTCTTCGCTGGAGGGACAGGGAGACGATGAAGGAGGCACGTCGGCAGAGGGAATTGAAGTGGAAATACATTCACACAACGTGATCAGATGACCAGGCCGTGAGGCTCATGCAGAAGCAACAAGGGAAAACTCAATGAAATCAAGAAAGCAACTGGGATCATTGCCTTCCAGCCTATTTACCACCACTCGCCTGCAAAAAAACGAACGACCCCCTGCCCCCATCGACTGGCTGTGGGAGTAGGAAAAATGGAGTATAAAAGCAGTCCTCCTCTGGTTTCCTGCATCTCTTTGCGTCAAGTCACATCATCGCCAGCGTGTGCTTCATCATGTCGCACGAAGCAGCCTCGCCACCTTTCCGGCTGCTAAGCTTGGCTCCTGAGCTGCAGCTACATATTCTCAGCTGGTTGGAGTACGACGCCCCCAGCATACTTAGCGTCCGGCTCGTCAACCGCCAGATCTCGACCATCTCCGAGGGGTTCTTTGCAAAGACCTTTTTGTGGAGTTTAACGGTGAACCCATTCACGGACGATCTCTACCGGCTACACCGCGTGGCAGACCACGAGCACTTCCGTCACCACGTCGGAGCACTAGAGATCCAGCCATTCCGTCACCCGGACGACCCCTTGCCAAAGCGACTTAGGAAGAAGGTGATCCCAGGGTGGGCCAAGGTTGCGAACGGGTTCGAGGTCGATCACACCTCGCCGACTGCGCAGGACTTCCTGCACTGCCTCTCTCGGCTTCCCAACTGCGTCTCGTTCAGCATCCGGGACATCGACGAATGGGGTCGTGTGGTCGAGGACGACGAGATCCCTCGGCTTGCTCCGCCGACGGACTGCCTGGCCCTCCTCATCCGCGCCGCCGCGGCCCCGGCCCAGCCCGTCCGCATACGGTCGCTGCGGGTCATCATGAGCGGCATCCCAGAGGACGGGTGCGTGCGGCCGCAGCACCTCCCGATCGAGCTCGTCAGGTCGGGCGCGTTCAGGCAGAACCTGGCGACCAACCTGCGAACCCTACACCTGTCCCCGTTTTTCCGGCATCCGCTCAGCTCGTGGGAAGATGGCAGCCACAGCGAGGACTCGTACTTTAAGGCCTTCATGCTCATCGTTTCGGCGGCCGAGAACCTAGAGAGCCTCGTCCTTGGGGGCTTCCACGAGCGCACCGGCCGGCTCGTGCGCGAGCTCGCCAACATGAGCACATTCCCGTCCCGCCTCCGGCATTTTGTCCTTACGGGGGGCGTTTATCACGACCCTGAGGACAAGCGGGTCTCCACCAGCGATCTCATCAAGGTCCTGAAGCGCGCCGGCGCGGGTGGGGTCTACGCGACGGCCAGATGGCCCGACACGCGATTGTGTAATCCTCTCCGGCAAAAAGGGGCTCGGTGCCCTCCCACGGGTTAGTTTTATTTGCAAGCTAAGGTCCTGCCGAACTAAAAGCGTTACGAAAGTTAATTTTGGGACGAAATGGATTTGCTAATGTATTAATTGCAAGCTAATAAAAAAAGCATTTTGCAATTATTTTAATTGCAAATTTAAAAAAATATATTTTTAATTAATTAATTTATTAAAATATTTTATTTAAATAATTAACTTTTTTAAAAAAACGTTTTGTTAAATGTATTTTAAAGTAAATTTTAGGGAAATAACGTTAAATTAATAAACGGAATCGAAATTTTAAAAGCCGAAAACGATAAAAAAATACCCGCGTCGGCGCGTCCGTTTACGGGAGCTGAGGTTGGCGGGTAAGCTTCCGTTCGGCGTTTACGACCGACAACGAGCAAGGAAAGGGGTAACGAGGATAAAGGCGCGCATGGCGGCAAAGTGCAGTGGAGTTTCGCGGCGTACAGAAGCATCTGCCTCGTCGTCAAATGCCTACCATCGAGTCCAACACGGACATCACGTTACGTACTTCCCCGCCATTTCAGTGCCGAGCCCTATCCTTCTCAAACGAGGCAGTGCTTGTGGGTGCCGAGGGTAACTGGCTTGGGGCGGTGCTGTAGGCTCCGAATACTGGATAGATACCTTCAACCATGGGTGGAGTCCGTAACGACTGACCAGTTGGCCGAGAATATGTGTTCACAATGGATACACTAGTCACAATTACCCATTGTACGCCACCGTACGCCGGATTGCCATTGTGTGAGTATAGCTCGACAAAGATTCGACAGCTTCTTTGTATATACCACTCAGTCAGTCAAAGATTTCTGTATAACATGCTCAAAGCCCCTCGTACTCGAGATGCTCTCTGCTTCACTTGGGATCAAGAGATTCGGAATCAAGAGCACCTCCTTTCTTGACCTTCTCGCCCCCAAAGACTCCTACGCCCCAGTCATCATGGCCTCCGCTGCAGTACTGCCGTTTGGGCTGCTGCGGCTTCCCACAGAGCTCAAGGAAGAAATATTCACCTTCGTGGAAGATGCCGACATCCTTGTCCTCCGCAAAGTCAGCCGGGAAATCAGCCGGGCCGCCTTCAGAGGCCTCGGCACGAGATTCTTTGAGAACATCAGCGTAAATCCGTTTACGTCGGATATGGTGAGGCTCCGGTGGTTGGCGGCGCAAGACGGCCTGCGCGACTACGTCCGCGTGATCAACATCCAGCCATTCCGGCACGGGTTCAGCGCAGAGGCGCAATGCCATAACAGGAGGCTAAGGGAGAAGGAGTTCAGGTATTCAAAGTGGCGCGACAACTTCTCGAGGGAGCAGCGGCTGGCCGTGGACCTCCGAGACTGTCTTTCTCGATTCCCCAACGCCGGGTCGTGTAAGATTTCGGACGTCGAGGAGAGTGGCAGGGCCGTGACGGAGGACTGGTTACAAGAATACCCCCATCCCTTCATATCGCTATACGTCCTCATTTGCGCCATGACGAAGCAGGGGATGCCCGTCAGAGAGCTGAGGTACATTACACATGGGGACAGGTTTCTTCCAAGGGTGGGGAGTTGGTCAGCCTCGAGAGACAGGACCTTTGCCCGGAGCCGTCTCAGTCAAGGCCTGCTCGAGAGCCTCCGCATCTTACATATCTGCCCGATGACCATGGCAGGCTCATCCGGGAACCCATTCCTCATAGACGATGAGTTCGACGCCCTCATAGCGCTGATATCAGGCTCAATCAACCTGGAGTGCCTGTATCTCGCCAAGTTTGACCCCCAGGCACGGCGGTTCATCCGGAGGCTTTCCCTGACGACGCCGCTCCCGCGGCTCAGGAAGTTCGTGCTCACCGGCTCGCTGCCGGGCCGGCACGTCCGCGCGGGCCAGGACGAGGGAGTGCTCTCTGGCGACGATCTGGCCACCCTGCTCGGCCGCCTAGGGCGCGGCGGCAGGCTAGACTACCTGTACCTGTCCCGCGTCTTCCTAGACAAAGGGCTCGAGGATTGGAAAGCCGTGCTGAGGACCGTGGAGAGGCGCTGCTGCCCAAGCCTCAGAAACTTCACCATGGAATTATGCGGCTCCGGGCCCAGCTTAGCCTACTATTGTCCCGTGCTCGAGACCCTGAGGTCTCGGGTCGGCGAGGGGCGGGTGCTGGACTTTTGCGTCCCGGGCGAGCAGCACGAGTTGGAGGACCAGCATAACACGGTAGTAGTGGATGAGTACGGCGGAACCTTTGAGTTCGTCACATCGCCGGCCGAGAGACCAGTCTCCCAAGAGGAGACAGCGGAGGAAGAGGAGCCTCCAGCCGACGACGAGGGGCTAGCCAACGAAGAGGGGCTAGCCAACGAACAGCAGGGACAGAACGAGGTCAAGGGGCTACTGCACGAGGTTTGGGTGCGGTACGACAGCGGGGGGTCCGAGGCGCGCTATGATGTGTTTGGGAACCCCATCGGCAATATGGCCAAGGCGCTGGCTACCATCCGAGATGGTATGTATCTTCGCGACAGAACTGTGCCCCGGGTGACCGGGGAGGGTTGTCCTGGGAGGCCCTTTGGTGGTGGACCCAGCACCGGCTCCCACATGTGCGGCGACGGGCTTCTCCCAAACAAAGACGACCAGGCGTGGCTAGACACGCACAACGCATCGTTTCTAGACATGGCCAATAGGCAGTGATGCGCACGCTTTTGTCCAAGATCAGATAGGGTATAGGGGTGCATGGCTCGGTTTGCATCATTGAATCAAATAGCTATAGGCATAAATCGTTCGCTTCGTGGAAAGGGGAAATAAGCACTTAAAGAATATTTTTATATCGACGGTCCAGCAAGCGGGTTATGGCCGCAAGACGGCGACCTGGAGAAGAAAGAGGAGTCTGTCAACGGAGTGATTTTGGACGCGGGGGGTGACGGGCCACAAACAACCAAGACCACAAGCGCTTGCCCACTGCCAAGGCAAAAAAGGATAGGTTTTGGTGTTTGCATCATCTGAATCCATCATAGCCCCAGGCAAGGAGAGAGGTATTGCGTCGCATCTAAAACGTGGAGCCGGACACGGAATCTGTCTATCCAAAAGATTCTGCGGCGTGGTGCCTTGGACTCGGAGTTATCCCCGTGGCATATTAGTCCTCCCGGAGCTCGCAACAGCGGAGCGGAAAAGGCGGAGTTGAAATGTCGTCACTGTTTGGACGAGGCGGTCCTGAAGATATACTGAGGAATGATTTTCGGTTCTTGTTGGTGGTGATATAAACCTAGGTACCAGGTGGTATCTAGGAGGTAGCCTGAACATGCCCGAGTGCTTCGCATAATGACGCGAGCACACCAGGTCCAGCCATGCCGCCCAAACCGATCCAAGCCAAAATTAAACCAACCATCCAAGACATTACACCAACTCGCAACGCGCCCGTCCTTCCACGACGATGCAGGAGCCTTGGCTGTTGTCCAGGATACGGTCGCCCTCGAGGCTAGGGTCGACGGGTTTTCCTACCAACAGCCGAGTTGGAAATGTTAGACCGGAGCAGAAATGCGTGAGGGGGTGCAGGCAACGCTCCATACCATTGATATCTAGGAGAGCTTGGCGGTCTGAGGCGATGGTTTCCCTGGTCACGCGCTGCTTGGGGGCTGGAGCTGCCATGCCGAGGGACAGCAGAGTGGCGACGACGACGGAGACGGCGAACTTCATCTTGGGCGAGCTTAAAAATGGCGAGCTGGAGCCGTGGTGGAGGTAATTTCGGCCTGCGAACAAAGATCAGAGCAACAAGAATTGAAGTAGCTACCGGAGCTTATCGACGCAGTCGATGGAATGGAATGAATGAATGAGAATCGCAGAATTCCTTTTTTTTCTGGTGGCAGCAAACGCTTTATCTTCTAGCCCGGCGTAGCCCTCCTGATTTCAAGCATGCCCGTTTCAAAACTCCCCCCAGTCCTGACAAGGGCTCCATCTCGATGCACGCACGAACCACGGAGCCACGTTCCCACCCCGCCCCAGACACCGACATCCGTGCGGACCGGAACAGCAGGCCATTAATCCTTGGCGCTGGCTTGTTTCCGCTTAGCTCGGCCGGCACCAACAGCCAAAGATGCAGGGTTCCAATCGGCGTGGTGATGTCAATCCCGGAAAGGAGAAGGGCGTTGTCACAACGTCGGACAATGATCTGACCCACACTTTCACTGGTGTCGTCGCGCCAGGCGTGCCAGGTATGTACCAGGTGAGACGGCTGGAGTGGTGATGCGGGTGCATCATCTCAAGCCCCCCTTCCCTCAGCCTCGTGAGGTGCATTTTCACTGTGCCCGCCGGGATGCAATTGGTTGGCGGCTATGAATGGCTGAGCTGGAGGCTTAGGCTGAAGGCTGGGCGCTGAATCAACGGCGAGGGAAGTCGACCAAACGCCATTGAGCCAAAAAGGGAGCGGGCACGCCAAATCCCCCACCGAAACGGACGATTCTAATCATCCTCTACGGCACGCTCTGCTGCGGCTGCCACGGCACCTGCTGTTGTCCGGCCTTGTCAGCGTTGCGCCTCTCACCAGCATCGGCATTGGCCTGCCGCCCACCAGCACGGAGTCGAGATTGCCGGTGTGCCCCACAACAAGTCGCTCAGGAAACCAACCGCAGTGACGACCCGCAGAGGTTGAAGCAGAAGGGGGCAACCGCCAGAGACTGCGACGAAAAGACGGATGGATGGTAAGAATCAAATGTATGTGTGCGTCCATCTTCTTTACCGCATAGCCGCACAACATCTTCTCGGCTAGCGTTGACGACACTTTCGACGGCTACAATGGAACCACCACAAGTCATGCGCTCGACTGGGTCCAACTTGCTGGTGAATCCTTGCTAACCGTAGTGTAACGGGCTGGTAACCAATGCGGGGAACGGCTTCAGGGCTTCGTGCAGTAAGTTTAGGCGGGTGACATGCGTCCCATTCGCCTTTCTCGGCGCAGGCCGCTGAGCCGCTACAATTGTGAATGGATCTTTGGTTCTCGCGGCCCAAGCCGAACGCATGGCATGGCATGGTCCAAAGGATTTTCCGCGGATCCAAACTTAATCGCCCGACGCAATGACAGCCCTGTCCCTTTTCATTCATTATTTTTTTCCTCCCCCTTTTTACCTTGTTTTTCTTTATTTTTTTCGTTACTTTTGCTTCTCCTTTCTTACTTTTTCTTCCTCCTCCTTCTTCTTTCCTGTCCCCCTTTTTACATCACTTCCTTAGCGCAGGAGCCACATATGGGCCAGCTCTTTTACTTTTAAACTGCCAATCACGGCCAGCTGTAGATTTTGGAAAATGTGACTCTCCGCTTACGCGCCGAACCAAGGATTCGAAGGCTCAGGCCGTTCGTCTTGCATCCAGGCGTTGGCAGGTAGATCGCGATGCACGTGGCAGCCACCCTGAAGCCGGTGTGCTCGAGCTACGAAGATGCAGAAAGACCCTTCTGACGTATGGTGGCCAAGTGTGCCCTGCGAAACGTTCAGCCCTCGATGGGCAAAGAAAAGAGCGCTGTTTATTGACACATGTGAAATGCAAGGGCCTGCCTGGTTGTCGTAAGAGTCGCTGTTCCTGACTGTCCCGAGCAAGACGCAGATAAAGGATACGATTTCTTGTGCTCCCCCATCCCGAAGCTGGCTCAGGCATCGAGTTCAGCCGAATTAAATTAATGATTTGACCCCCTAGCACATACGGCGATCGGTTAGGTCTGCCTCACAACTCGACGCGCTCGAAGGTTTCGACATGTTTGTCGGCTGGGATAGGGACGGCAGTTGGCCTCGCTCACTAATAATCAACACATGGCCAAGGTATCGGCGGGTCGGCGCGTCTGCGTTAGGTAGAAGCCACGCATAGCCCGGACGGCCCCGGGAGAGATCCCGCCCTCACTGCCGGTCGCGTATTGTTGGGATCTGGGGAAGCGTGGTCGCTGGACCGGGTGTTTATCACGCGCATCCATTTGCACGGCAACAATGTGTTCGTGGGGCTGTGGCGGTGTGATCTGGTTGCAGGCATCAATATTGAGCTGGCTCCTAGTCTCCCTGTGTCTACGTCGAGATTGTGAGCGTCTGGTGCCCACAATTGCGTCCCCCGCCCACATCCACGGCAACAGCACGAGCTCAGCGGTAAGCAAAACCACACAAGCAATCGCTCCGCGGTCAGAGACCGGGACTTGGATGCGTCGTGGGGGAAGGAGCGATTAACCCGCATGAACAATGCCGGCGCTGGAGTGGAGAGGGAGCTCCCGCGTCTAACCGCTTTGAGAAGCTGCACATTGGAGCTTAACACGCCAAGTGCCTCACACCTTCCAGAAAGGGGCGGCCAGCGCGTCAATCAGCGCGGAGACGCCAACATATTAGGAAGCTGCATCGACGCTCGACTCTGGAGTACAGCGACTCATCGCCATCAGGGCCGGCCCAGGCACGCTTTCTGGCGGGGCTCTGAGGCCTGCCTGCCCTTTTGGATCCAGGCCAGTCGCATCGCGCAATCGCTGCCCTGGGGCCGAGGAAAAAAAATTGTCCGCTCAAGGGGCCGGCCCATGATACTGTGTATAAAACAACAGGGCATCCCGCCTTTTGCCCTACGGTCGGGCTCCAGGTGTAGGCAGCCCACCCCGCCCTCGTTCTCTCCTCCTCGGCAAGTCATAGGCAAGCTCTACGCTCCCCATTCACTTGGATTCGACCCGCCCCGACAAGTCAAACATGCATCTGCACCTGTCCGTCCTCGGCCTCCTGGCCGCCCTGGCCGCCGCGGCCCCGGTCGACCCGCCGACGCCCAGGCCCGCCCTGGTCGAGGGCGACAGCCTCCGGCTGATCAAGACCGCCCCGGAGACGAGCCAGTGGGTGACGGAGAAGGAGCTGGAGGAGCTTCAGGGTAGGCAGCAGCTCCCCCCCGGCGGCGGCGGCGGCGGCGGCTCGGTCGTTTTGACCAACTCGACCACTGACATGTTGTCCCCACGACTGCAGAGAAGAACGTCAAGTTCATCGACGTCACCGACGTCTCGGAGAGCGAGCTCGAGATCCTGTCCCTGCCCGCCGACGCCGACGTCTCCAAGCTCGCCGCGAGGCAGGCGCAGACGTACCCCACCTCGCTATCGCACCAGACCGAGGCCAACAGGCTGATCGGGACCGCCTCGGTCGCCGGGCCGCAGAGCAACCTGCGCTCCATCACCGGCTTCACCAACCGCCACTACCAGTCCGCCACCGGAGTGACATCCGCCACGTGGCTGTTTAACACGGCCAAGTCCCTCGCGGCCTCGAACCCGGCAATCACCGTGACGCAGTTCGCGCACAGCTTCCGCCAGCCGTCCCTGATCGTCAAGATCCCCGGCTCGGCGTCGGCCGGCTCCGTGATCGTCGGAGGTATGTGGAATCACACAGCCCTGGCTCCACCCTGGCTCCAAAAAATCCATGCGAATATAAAACTAACCGCCCGAGAAAGCCCACTACGACGGTGTTGGCACTGGCAGCACTCGCCGGGAGGCCGCCGACGACAACGGCTCGGGCAGCGTCGTGCTCCTCGAGGCGCTCCGCGTCCTGACGGCCGCCGGCTTCAAGCCCAAGCAGACGCTCGAGTTCCACTGGTACGCCGGCGAGGAGGCCGGGCTCCTGGGCAGCAGGGACGTCTTTGCCAGTTACAGGTCCCAGGGCGCCAAGGTGCTCGCGTACCTCAACCAGGACATGGCCGGCTACTCCCCCTCGGGCGCCGTCAGCGTCTACACTGACTTCGTCGACACCAGCCTGACTGCCTACGTCAGGTAAGCTTCTCCCCCGCCACCTTTTCTATTTTCTTTCTGCCGAGCCATCTGAGCCGTCGGGCTATCGCTGACCAGAAAAACAACAGGCTCATTGCCAACACCTATACCGGCTCGGTTGCCACGACGAGCCAATGTGGCTACGGCTGCAGCGACCACGCCTCGGCCCGGTCCAACGGCTTCCGTAAGTTGCCCGCCTCTCGGGGCTCATCTTTTGTTGCGTAGAGCTTTTTGTACTGATCTTTGTCAACAGCCGCCGCCTTCGTCACCGAGGACGTCTTCGAGAAGACGTCGCCCTTCATCCACACGGCCCAGGACACGTACTCGACCATCCAGTGGGACGCCGTCCTCCGCCATGTCAAGCTCACCATCGGCTACCTCGTCGAGGCGTCGTACCTGTGAGGCGGCGTTGGGACACATACACACACAGCACGCTGTTGGGGGAACAGACCCGGGCGGTGATGGAGACTTCTGCTGCATGCGTACATAAGCAGCCATAGTCTGTATATACTTGTTCATGGTAGATAGTTATGACGACATGCTTTCTCGGACTGGCCGCCGCGCCCTTTGATGGCTTGACTTTTGAAGAACGCCCCAGGCCTATCAGACCGGGATGGGAAGGTAGAGGGAGCCCAAAGTGTGGAAAGCGCTGGAATGCGCGTCGTTTCCTTTCAGATTACGGGGTCCAGCGCCTTACTTTGGACATCGCCAAAGGAGGACCACAGTATCGGACCCCGAGATCCGGGATTGATCTACACTTGCTACACCTATTGTGAGGCTGTAAGCTAAAACTTGACACGCTCGCCTGAGAAAGGCCCTCAGTCGTCCGCATTTTTTTCCCGCCCGCCAACCGGAACGCCAAATCCCGGGATCCCAAAACCCAAGCTTCCTCGCTTTTCTATAACTGCAAATCGTGTTCGCGTGTCGTCTTCACCGCCTCGTCTCCCGCATCAATCCGCATCATACATCTCTCGGTCCTCCTGCGCCCTCACGTATCCCGTGGCCGCCCTCTTGAAGTCGTCGGTGCTGTTGAAGATCACCGTCTTGTTGATGTGGCAGTGGAAGTGGAAGACGGACGCCGGGACCGGGCAGTCGGCCCCGGCCGGACACGGGCTCACGTCTACTTCGGGTAGGGGCGTCGTGACGTAATACACCTCGGCATCTTGCTCCGAAGGTCGCGGCGCCTCTTCCATGATGGGGCCGTCGGCCGTCGGCGTCACCCGGATCGCTGGGGACTCTGCGGTGGAGTGTAATGCCTTGTTCAGTCTCATTGTTGCCAGCTGGGCCCTGGCGACGGGAACGACCCAACCCGGGGCGAGGGTGTTTGACTCACGAGTGCGGTTAAACGGATGGTCAAGGTCCTTGCTCGAGACGATCCTATTCTGGGCGTCCTTGCCGGCCTGTATCGCTGCCTCTATGAGTTCTTGTCCCTCGATCATATCCAGGTAAATTTCGGCCTCTTTTCTCGCCGCCTCAGCCTTGCCATCGTTGTCTGGGACTTGATAAGGTCGGTCATTGCTGCGCATTAGTGAGTCCTCCGTGAACTGATCGCCCTTGTGAGCTCCCTCCTCTCTAATTCGAGGGAATCCGCTGCTGTTAATGGTCGGGTTGGCCGTCCGCTTGAAGTCGCGGACAGACGGGACGGGGAGATGCGCGTCGTGGGGTCCTGGAAGGGCACCGAACCGGCGAGAGGGCGGCACGGGGGCTGTGGGCTGAATAGGAGCAGCGGGCAGCAAGGGGCCAACGTGGGCCGGCGCCATCGGTCTCGGGAAATGCGACTGAGAGCTCGGTGCTGGAGAAGCGGTCCTCTGGACCGCGGCGGACCCGCCCAGCGATACCTCTTCATTACCGCCAGCCTTCGTCTGCGGAGCCGCAGTGATGAGGTCGCGCGACGTGGGTCCGCCGAGGCTCACGGGTCCGGTGTGTGTCGGCTGGTTGGCAGCACTCTGGTTACTCGTGTGGGCGCTGCTCGGCTTGTTTGCAGACCCCAACGCGGAAGCAAGCGACGTGCGCCCCAAATCTTCTGGTTTCGCGGCGTCTGCGGGGTGAGATTGAGCATCAGGCTGTTGCTCTGAGAGCTTCGGCCGCTTCTCACCATTCTCGTCCGTGGCCGCAAGGTCTGGGGGCGAGTTTGCCTTCCTCTTACCAAGCGCGCCATCCGTATCTGTCTGGCTCAGGCTAGATGTCTCCGTGGGGCCAGGATGTTGGTAGGCGTTGGGCGCAAGCTGAGCGTGCGCAGCTACCTGCAAGGCAGGGCTTGGAGCACTGGCACTGACAGCACCAGCACCCTTTGCGAGCTGGCCAGGGCTGATGGTACCCCGAGACTGCTGGTCGGATAGATAGGAATTGCGCATACCAGGGTGGAAATCGCCGAGTGTGAGCTGAGGAAGCTGGGTGGTAGCCTGATGGGTCTGCTCAAAAGCGTCCATGGATTTGTTGCTATTGGCCAGCACAGGCACATTTGACTGCTTATGCTGACCCGCGTTCGAGCCTGGGGCTATGCGAGCCATGCCGTCGGTGCGTGTAGGGATATTCGTAATGGCTCGCTCGGGCTCCTGGGCGGGACGCGTGTCGGGCTTGCCAGTTGCTGAAGTCTTTTCGCCGTCGACGCTTGACAAAGCCGCCACTCCTGGAACCTCGGTAGCATTGCTTGGTGGCCGGGCGTGCTGGGCTGATGGGCGGAAGGTGGCGGTCTGACCAGCAGGTTGTTGCGGGACTGAGCTATTGTTCGGGGAAGGGAGAGAGCTAGCAGGGGCCGCCGTGGAGTTGGAAGCAGGGCGAGGCTCGAACCGAGCTTGAGCCTGGGCTTGGACTGGAGCTTGGGTTGTCACCTGCGAAGTCGGTGTTTGGGCAGGCGCAGGAGGTTGAGAGGCTGCTGCAGTAGTAGTAGCGATGGCACTGCCGGCAGTGGCGCTCCGCAGTGCCCGTGACGACCGAGCCCCATTGCCAGTGTTTGGGGCTTCCTCTTTGTTTGCGTCGCCTTCCTCACTATCGTCGTCCTCGCTCTCCTCCACGTCGGTCGATTCGCCTAGGAGTGGCTGGCCTTGAGCCGCCCTCTTTTCGTTGATCCTCGCAACCTGCTCGCGAAACCCAGGATTGCAGAATCCAAGAGAGGCCTCTTTGTGTTTCTTCCGAAGGTAAGATACCTGGTTCAGCTCAAAAGGGCTGGTGGCATGCGATTCCGGGAACCTGGCCTTGAAGGCATCTCGGATGACGGGATTCGTGAGCCCTGCCTCGATACGCCTCCGCACAAATTCCTCCTGCTCTAACGAGTAGCGGCGAACCATGGCTTCAATGCAGGTCAGTATGTCGCGCTACAGGAGCATGGGTGGTGAGCAGTGTCTCGTTTTGGTGGCAGCAATGGTGCCTGTGCAACGATGGGAAGGTGCGTTGACTTGGGTGGTTGCGGTTGTCCGACGGGGTTCCGGCATGTCAAAGCTGGGAAAGATTCTGTTTGGGAAAGCGCTATTGTTCGGTCGACGTGGTTGAGGAAGGAGCGAGTTCAGACTTTTCGAGGCTCTGATTCGCCAGAACCATTATCAAAAAGTCAGGCACCATCGTACAGGCAACGGCTCTTACTAGCAACAGATAAGCACCCTCATCGACCATTATCATAAGCAGGACTTGTTAAAACTTCTTCCCTGGAGCTTGTTTGGTTTGTAATTATCACTATTCCATACTACCACCTGCTTCCCTGCCGTCCCGGTGAATGGTATTGCGCTTTAATGCTCAGGGTAGGGTAGGAATATTGCCTGCTTAATATGCCATGCTACATGCATGCCTAGGGCCACTTCAATCTCTAGCGGGAGGGAGAACTCTTCTAGCCCTTTAAAGAAATATACCAAGCCGGCTAGGACCATCCGCCGTTGCAGGCAGCATCGGGCACAAAGGAAAACAAATACCACATGGAAGGCCGGGCAGGACATGCAAAGCAAGGACTTTTCCTGGTCTAATTACCTATTTTGGCACAGCGACATACAGACGATACTCCTTCCCGGCTTCAATCTCCCCACCCGGGATCCGAGACTCGGGCAGCCACTCCGAGCCCCCCTCGTACTTGACCCTCGTCCCGTCGACATCCGCAGACCTCTCGACCCTGACCTCGAACGTGGCGCCGCGGAACAGCCGCGTGGCGCGCATGCCGTCCCACGCCGGCGGCATCTGCGGGCTGACGCGGAGGCCGCCATCCGCGTCGCCGCGCAGGCCGCAGAGCCCCTCGACCAGGCAGCGGTAGACCCAGCTGATGGTGCCCGTGTTGAAGAGCTGCGACGACCGGCCCGCGGTGCGGGGGAACTCGCGCCAGGCGCCGCGGTAGTAGTTGGGTATGTAGACGGGCAGCTGGCCGCGGCGGACGAGGTCGTCCGGGTCCGGGCCGGGCACCATGCAGCGCAGCGCATCGTAGGCGCGCGCCGCCTGGGCGCCGCCGAGCGAGTAGAGCGCGTGCGCGTAGAAGATGGCCGCGTGGTTGTATACGGCCGCGTTCTCGGCCGAGCCGGGCGCCTTCTGCGTCACGCGCCCGACGTCCTCGCGCATGGCCGTAAAGGCCGGCGCGAACATCTGCACGCCGTAGGGCGTCGCGAGCTGCTCGTCGACCTGCGCCAGGATGCCCTCGATCTTGGCCGCGTCCGTGACGGCGCCGCCCAGGATCGCGAAGCTCTGCGGGTTGAGCCACAGCCGGCCCTGCGCGTCGGCCGGCACGCCAAAGGTGACGCCGTCGTCGGTGATGCCGCGCGCGAACCAGCCGCCGTCGGTCGACCAGAAGTACTTGTTGGCGGCGGCGTTAACGTCGCCGGCGCCGGCGCGGTACTTCGCCGCCAGCGTCTCCTCCCCACGCCGCTCGCACACGTCGGCCCAGATATTGAGCGCGAACGCTGTCGCGACCGTCAGCCAGCCGGAGACACCGACTCCCTTGTAGCCGACCATGTTCATGGGGTCGCACCAGTCGCCTTGGGCGATGTAGCTAAGACCGCGCGCGTCCCGGGCGCGTTCCGAAAGCAGCCAGTCCATGGCGCGGGAGAAGCGCTCAAAAGCAGTCAGGGTCTGTCCATCCGAGCCCGGGACGGCCTCTTCTAGTAGCGTGTAGTCAGCCGTCTCGGCCAGGTAGGCCTCGAGGGTCACGGGCAGCCAGACGCAGTGATCCGTGTGCGGGACCTGATTGATATACTTGAGCTCGGCGCCCTCGGTGAGCAGGATGCCGTCCGGCATAGCGCCGCTCTTCTCCTGCTGGGACAGGGCCTTGAGAAAGGCGGCGCGTGCGACGGCGGGCTTGATGTACGACATGCCCATGTTGTCTTGCAGGTAGTTGCGCGTCTGCGGGTCCGTGGTCAGGCGGTTGACGTCGCCGTGGTAGTAGACCTGGCGGGCGAGCCAGTTGTTGACAAAGTTGTCCAGCGCGGGGTCTGGTGTGGATATCTGTAGACAACCATTGCCCTTGTCGATGTAGGCGGCATAGTCGCGGCGGGCGGCATCGAAGGCGGCTGCGTTGAGATAGCGCTCCCGCATCGTCCGCACTTCGGCGTCGTCATATGCCGGCCCAAACAGGAAGCGGTATTCGACATGAGCGTCCGGCGCCATCTCCTCGCGGTACTGTACTACAGCGGTCGGCGTCTCGTAGTCGGCATCGCTGTTGGAAAGCGTCGGCGTGCGCAGCGCCGAAGGCGCATGCAGGCCTCCCTCTCCCTCGAAGGCCGAATGCCGGGCCTCCCAGGCGAGGGGCTCCTTCTCGCAGAGAAAGTAGGTGCGGTCCTTGATATGCTTGTTCTTGAACCAGTCCGCGGCCTTCTGGTAGGGAGTGACGCACTTGCCGATGATGCCACAGAGCTCTGGCCTCCAGCTGGCCGACTGGTTCATCCACGACATGTAGCCGATGGTGAAGTGGGGGAAGATGCTGAGGCGCCGAGGCTTGCCGGAGAGGTTTGTGACGCGTACAGTCCACAACTCCGCGACGTCGTGGGTCGGCAGGATGAGCTCCATGTCGACACGGACGCCACCCGCTTCGGCGCGCCAGCGGATATCGCTCTTGCCGACGGAGAAGACGAACTTGTCCAGGTTGGCGCGGACGGGCTCGTAGGGGGCAGAAAACACGGCTCCCGAGTCGTCGTCACGCACATAAGCGAAGCGGCCGGGGTGGTGGACGTAGTAGTTCTGCTCCGGTTGCATGAAGGTTTTGGCCTCGACATTAGGGGCGTATGAATACTTTGCGGGCTCGGGCTGCATAAACTGCGCGGTGGCGTAGCCGCGGCAGGTGGCTTGGATCATCATCCGCTGGTTCCAGAGGAAGCCGGCGGCGGCTGGCATCGCCGTCGGGCTATGGAGCTCGTAGCGTCCATCGCGGGGGGTGGCTATGTCTGCCATGGCAAGCTCGGGATGGTTGGCGGCGGTGTTTCTCACTTATCTCCTTCGACTAAATCAAGCCACGACGGTAGATCTAACCGCGGGTTGTTGGCCTCAGTAACATAAACATCTGGACGGATACAGACAGAGCTCGAGATCGCGCAGCGCCCACAGACCTGCTTTGTACTGTAGACGAATGAATAGCTGTGCGGGGGTCGCTGACAGGCGACGTCAGGATACCAAGCAGGGGGTGCCATGTCAAGCCGGGGTTTGGGGCCGGTAGGCGGGAGGGATCTGACAAGACGACGCTAAGCAGGCTTAACCTGCAGAAATCCAGTGGCACCACACCCACCACAAAAATAAAGGCAGTCTTACAGGTCCCAGGGATTGGAATAGTTGATGCCATGGGCTGTCCGTTCTCCTTTTCTTTTTTACTGGTTCTCCTCCTGTTATTATTCCTGTTGAATTCCTTTTGTTGTTCTTTTGTTATTCCCATTCCCGCTCCCACAGTCTCGCAGCCTTTCTCATGTTGAGGTAGTACTGCGATCTTTTTGGTGCTAGGTGCTAGCATCGAAGGATTGACAAAGCCCCAGCAAATGCCGCGATGTGCCCCGCGTTGTGTCCCCAAGAGAAGGCAGGACCCCGAACAGGAACGGACCTGACGGTCCGTGGCACCGACTAAAGCCTCAAAGGCCCGCCGCGTGCTTTTTTCGACCAGCCCATTGGTTCCCACGCGGGCAGCTATGCGCCTGCAGCATGCCGAGGTGTGGCCGCCGAACGAAACACCGAAGTGTGGCGGTGCAGGTGAAATTCCTATCCGTGGTATTCCCGCGCTGCCGAGTTCCGGCGGGTGTGGATGAAGTTGAATCACGTTAGAGATACATGATAAGATGGAACATGAAGACATCGACAGAATAAACATTCCTGAACAACGCGTTTGCGGGTCTAGGTTGACATACGACCACGACAGCGGACCAGTCGACACAATACGCGCCTCGCTATACAACCATTAATCCATACACGTCTCCGTGCCGTTGGCCGGCACCACAGCCACCCACCACCCCATTTACAGAGGAGGGGAACACGAAAACACGCCTCCCAACTTTCCAGTGGTGAATTTTTCAACCTAGACAGGGTTAGCAAGATCCGGCAGACTCGCAGTACACAGGAGGGACTTACAATATCGTGGATGGCCGCATAGGTACCAATACCAAACACAGAGATACCAATCACAAGCGTAACGGTATTCATTCCGACATTAACCCAGTTCTTGCGCTCATACCACTTGCCCTCCATGATGAGCTTGAAAAACATCATTGCGGGAAGATGGAAAGAGAACCCCGAAATGAACAGGGAGCTCGACAGCGAGAGGAGGTCGGAAAAGAAAGGGATCACCTCGGCGATAACAAACGCAACGATGGTGATGATAGTGATCAGCGTGAGCCACGTGATCCAGCCCATCTTCGTATTGATGAACCGTATCACGCTGTCCTTGTAGTAACGGCCATGGATATACCTGAGACAAATTGTTAGCACATCTCGGTGGCGGGTGGTTGTTGGGCGAACTCACCGAGCGCAGCATGTCGTGTTGATGCTACCCGAGATGAAGATGACCGGCAGGGCAACACCAAAGGCAATCTTGGACAGGAGAGGGCCGGCGGAAAGCAGGGCCGGCGACTTCACGGAGGACCCGACAAATGCATATACTGTAATTGTTCAAATTGTTATCAAAAAGATCCCGAGTTCGATTGGGAGGGGAAACATGCCTGTGGCTCCGGTAACGGTATAGATGACAATCTCGATGAGCCCGAGCGCCCAGATCGACTTCTTGTAGTCCGCGGGCGTGTGCATCTCGTCCATGAAGCTGTTTTGATAGAAAGGAACCAGTCAGCAAATGAAAGATTTTCAGGACAAAAAAGCATAGCAACTAACTTACGAGAACTGGCAAACGGCAAAGCTGTAGGCGAAAACGATATTGGTCACCGCGTTGAAGCCCTGGGCGAAGGTCAGGTCCGGCTGAGGCCACATGGACCAGTCGACGGCCGCCAGCCCGCCGACCGACTGGGAGGACTGGACGCCGGTGGCGATGATGGTGATGAGGATCGCCAATATAATCGAGGCAAAGTCCACATAGCCCAAAATCGCGACTTCAGCAAACGAAGGCGGGACGGCGAGTGCCAGCAAGATTATGGATGACACCACAGCCCAGATGACTGTGCACACGCCCCCTCCAGTGATATTGCCAAAAGCTATGGCGCCTGTCAACGCGTGGGAGCCGACGAGGAAGGTGAGTCTGCGGGCGTGGAGATCATATCAGCGCTGCCATCGGGTGGGAAAAGGGTTGTTGCACGCCAAGCCATAAACACTGGCATCAAAGTGGGAAATCTTACTGCAGAATGAACATCACGCCCACGACTTCGTATCCCACGCGGCCGAACAGAAGCCTGCCGGCATCGGCGTAGTGGCTAACGTGGGGGTACTTCAGCTTGACCTGACCGACGACGTCACTGTTGGGTGTTAGCTGAGCGTTTGACACAGAAGCAGCAGAAGACACTCACCTCGACTGGATAGCTACGAGGCCCAAGCCAACAGTCAATATGACGCCTGCCAGCATTCCGAGCTGGGCAAAGGCGCGCGGGAGACTCAGGCTGCCGAGCGCGATGGCTTCCACGATCAGGACGACAGTGAGGCGCTTCCAGCCCAGGCGGTTGAAGTGGGCAGCTCCGGCGGCGGTCTTGTGCTTCTCGATGTCGCCCATCTCACCACTGCCTATGTGACCGACCTCGCCGCTGAGGACGGCGCCATTGGACGTCTGGCGCTCCATGGTCTTGCTCAGCTCCTCGCTGCTACTCTTCTCGTGAGCGTCTTTGGCAGACATGTTGAACGTGATGCCGATAGGAAAGACTAGTAGCGGAAAGAGACTCGGGTGTGATATTATGGTAGAACTAGTGGCGGAGACACCCAGAATCGAGACCACGTGCCTTCGTATACCTGTGGCGATGGTCTTGGCTGTGGAGTGTGTTCGTGGTTTGCGAGGAAACTTGACTAATGGGAACGTGGTCAAGGAACGGGGCCGGGCAAGACACGCCAGTGGTCACGGAGACTGGGGAAGGGGCGGGCGGGGATCAGGAAGGAGAGACAGACGGCGAGGAAGGGGGCGTCCCGGCGTTATGTAGACGACGCAAAGATTGGCATCAAACTAGGAAATATGTCATGAACAAGATAAGAAAGACAGCACCCACATTCCCGGGGTACCACCGAGTCGGCGGCGCGTGGGGAGGCCGGTTGAAGAGATTGCCGGGGGGAGGAGGGCCTGCAGTCAGGGCACCGCACCGCAACCATTCGTCAGCACATCCTTGGAGGCTGCCACTGGCCCGCCGCGCCGGCCACCTGGAGAGAGGCACCAGAGACTCCTCCCTTGCTGGCTCCCCCCGGACTGTGCGTCAGACGGGGTGTCCCTGCCTCCCGCGGAGGTCCCAGCCTGCCCAACATGGCAGGGCCATCCGACATTCGGGGGGGACTTAGGGCCTGGACCAGGCACCGGCCGCAGACGCGCCAGCCCAAGCAAAGGTGACCGAGCCTCGATTCGGGAGCCTTGGCCACAATGCAGATATCAAAAGCGCGGCTAGCGGCCAGCCGCGGGCAAGACACGCGACGGATCGTGCCACCACGGTGGGATCCTGGTGGGGAGCCCGCTGGAGCCCTTGACTCGATGCCGGGTTGCTGTTACCTCATTTTTCCGCCTTCTCCCGCCCGTGCTTGGCTGGAAGTGATTTCGGTGTGTCAAGACAAAGTGAAAAATGGAGAGGTCCCGCAGGAGAGCGCGGTCGAGTTGTGGACGCGCGCCGGGCGAGGCCAGTGTCGGGTCTCGCTGGGGCGAATCGCATCTTGGTTGGCAGGCCTACGCAAGCCCGCCCGAGTCCAGATCACCACCAGGTGGCGGGTTGGGTGCGCCTACGGGATGCCTAGCTAGATTGCAGCCCTCCAGACGTGATGGTGCCATGCCGGATCTGCCGTAGCGGTCCGCAGAGCCCCCGGCGTTTTTCTCCTGCTCGGCATACAGCGGCCAAGAATAACATAAGCTTTGGACGAGGCGGCAGATGGTCAGCTGTGGACCGTTTCGGCAAGAAATTTCGCCCTGTCCAGGTTACGTAATGACCCATCTGCTAACCGTGTTTGGCATCGGTCAGGAACGGCTTAAACGGCTCGGCACCCTTGCCGTTGTGACGTCGGATGATTGCGGGTCCACAAAAGTTATCCTTGACCAACATCGACACCCTGTGCAATAGCATCACCGACAGCTCTCGTTCTCCAGAAAGATGTATTCTTTTACGTATTTGCATTCCGGTTCCTCGGGGTCCCCATGGGGAAGCATCATCGAAGGCACGAAGAATCTGGATAAAGTTCGTCCGGCGGCGGGAATCTTGTCAAACTCTGGCATTACCCCTATTTTACCTAATGGCAGCCGCGACATGCATGGGGAAGCGCCAGGCACCTTGGACGGTGAGCTATACTGTAGACACCCGAGATATCCGTCCAAGGTGGAGCCAAGAGATTGCAACTGCGAGTTTTGCCGCCGCGGGGCAGACAGCAGATGCGCGAATTTTGTGAAAAGGGGTGGACAAACGGCTGATGGCGTGAGGTGAGCGAGTGATATACACAGGGAAAAAAATAAAAGGGTAGAATATGAAAAGATAAGGGCGAGCTCTCTTTTTGCCAAGGGAGCAGAGCGACCCATCATCGAGCATGGCCCGACTGCGATTCGGAAACATGCACGGAGCAAAAAGGCAACGGGCCACAAGATGATAGATACCAGGTCATACTGGGAATCGAACCCAGATCCTGAGGAGGCCTGGCAGTCAGAACCTCATGTGCTAGCCTTTACACCATACGACCGACTTGCAAGTAAGGATTGCTTGGGGGCGGGCCGCAGGCTGGATGCATGATGTGTGTTGTTGCACGGTCTGGTGGGTCATCCGACGCCGCAGTCTCCTTTGGGTTTGGCTGTGCAGGACGGCGGCAGCCTTCTTGATGGATGCGGCTGGGTCCAGCCGCGAGATTCGAGGATGAGCGGCCCGGCCAATCGAATCAGCGGTTGAAGGTCTAAACCCCTAGCGTTGTCTTGCAAAGACGGCAAGGTGCGAAGCGACATCTTCATGGTTCTATGCACCACTTTCCTGTTGAAGGTGCACGACGCGGCTTGACAGAAAGTGGTATCAACACCAGAAAACGGCGTCCAGTCAGTTTCCTCTTGAAACGGGGAAACGAGTCACTGGTCCTATTCGGAGTCGCCAATTTAAAACACCCTCGTGTTTCCTAGTGCTTACCTAGGCGATTCCCACGATTCATCTCCAGCCGTATCGGCGTGCCCTGTAGACTAGGTGCCGGTGCTCGGAGTGTTCTCGAGATTTGCCGTGGCCCTACAGCAGGGCCGGAGGCGGGGGGTGGATGGCGCACGCGAGTCACAACACAACACAGGTCAAAGTGCAATTTACTGCAGCAGCGCTGGCGAGGAGGTGGGTTATAGCAGCAGTCACTAACCATTTGATGCGCGATGGTGAAATTCCGGAAATGGGGTCCTGGTAGTAGAAAAGGGGAAATATTTGTGGAAAAGAGATAGGAAAGGAATAGGGAGGAGATAAGGAAGGAGACGAGAAATGAGATCGGAGATGACATAGACAAGGAAATCTAAACGGAAACAAAAAGGAGACAGTAAAGGATATAAGCTACGCCCCAGTAGGCGAAAAGCTGGAAACAAACGCGAAACGGTGACATTGCATGGCCGTTAGGACATTGTTTGTCGACTTGGAATCCGAGTCGCTGCGAGGGAGAAACGCAATGCAATGGCTTATACCTCCACGAGGGTGTCGTGGCTGCGAATTGCGAGTGCGAAGGCAGGTTTACCATGAAACATCATGAACTGCCTGGGGACTGGACGAGACCTGATACAACTCGGCCTAGAGATGGATGGTGACAGAATTTCAGGTACCGGAGGTCGAGCGGGCCTTCGCTCCGGCGTACAACCTCGATACAATGACACAACGTCTGGCAACCACGCCAAGGAATGGTAGACTTATGTTGTCCGAGTTGGTACGGCGGTGGCGTTAACAATTATGGCACTGGACTTCCTAGGCTCCCTTCGGCAAAGTCAGCCCACAACTCCGACTCGCCCTGCTGGACAAGCCCATTGACGGGGCATGGAGAACCTCCAGACTCGTCATACTGGGCCGCGCTGGTTTCGAGTACATGACCGACTCGAACCTTGATGTTCTTCCCGGATTACACCGAGTTTATAAAGGCCTACTACCGCAGTGGCTGCAATCCCGAGAAGAAGCCAACATGGGGACACATCAAGACTGAACTGGGATTCTTGCCTCGACCCGTCCATGCCAAGGCCTTTGAGATGGAGGGTCTTAACCCAGCCAGTCAAGCCACCCAAGTTGGCGACCCACCAGCTCAAGCAATCATGTGGTTTAACCCAATGCGCCGGCCACTAGGCGGTTCTCCTGTCCCCGGCGTGTCCCCCGCGTGACGTGCCCCTGTCGGAAGTCAACATGCACACAAGGTAGTGAGTGCTCTGAACAAATCGATCAGTTGCCTTCGCCCTGAATCGGAGCCAAAGTGCCCGGTCCGGGGTGATCTCAAAATGACCGCGTCCAGCGACTCTGTGGTAACCCAAGCCCACGGATCAGTCGCCGGGTCTTTGTATCCCTCGGGCCAGCGTCAAGGCCTTGTCATGCCTTGGCCGAGATTCCAAAGAAGTCCATTGGCGATGGTTTGCTTATGTGGTTCGCGGGGGTAGAATATGTCGTGATGCGGCCAGTTCCCACGTGCGCCGGATGGAAGGGGAATGGAGGTTCGGGCGCCAAGGCGGTGTCCTCCAATCCCCACACCAAGAACACGTTCTCAGATCGTGGCACACGGAATCGTCGGGGATAACACCACCCTATGCCAGACGCAATCGCCTCCGCAAGCCAATCGCTATCAGTCACCCTAGCCCGATACGAAGATGGTGTATTTTGACGAACCTAGAGCTAGGAAGCTCGGTCAACAATGCTTCCAGTGGCTGTTGGCATCAATCCTAGAGGCAGTCCGATTTGCATCACGCGGTTGTACCAAGAGGTTTCGTGGGCGCGCGATAAAGGTTGATCTTTGATACCAACCTGGGCAAGTACTGATTTCGGAAACACCGGTCCTAAAATTCACAATAAGTTGGTGAGTGGTATGTGGTCTGAAAAAACGACGTCCCAATAAAAAAAATTAGCTTTGCTAGTTCACATTTTTATTTCTCTTTTTATTTCTTCTCCTACCCATTCCTGACCTGGAAATGGCTATCCCATAGTATTGCCGATTCCGATTCCTACGGCCTATATGGGGAACAGAGCATCAGCAGTCAAAGAACTACGAGCAAGGCCAATAAATTCTGATGCCGTCGCCGGATCGGGCAGGAGGAGGCGCAGGCGAAAGCAGTGCAAGCGGGGGTTCTCATTTGCTAGGGACGTGTGTAATGCGACGTGTGCGCACGCGACGTCCCAGTCCCGCCTTTGTCGGCTAAGCGAACTGCAACGCTACCGCCGTCTGCAATGCACACGGGGAAATAGGTGCCGAGGGCGACGTGGAGCTTTAGGTACAAAGTCGGGACGCTTTCCCTTCCGTCTAGCGATGCGTCCCTTTGAGCTTCTCGGGCTTCAGCTTGTGCTCGCGAACACACGGCCATCATGCTGTCCCGACGCCTCCTCTGCTCCCTGCTCGCCCTTGCGGGACCGACCTCCGCCGACCTGACAACCACCCTCACCACCGGGCAATGGGGTGTCTGGGAGGGCTGGGGCACCTCGCTGGCCTGGTGGGCGGTAGCCTTTGGCGACCGCGACGACGTGGCTGACCTCTTCTTCTCGCGCAACACGATCAATTTCAACGGCCAGTCCGCCCCCGGACTCGGGTTGAATATTGTGCGATACAATGTCGGCGCCGCTAGCAACAAGCCCGCCAACGGGGTGTCCATGGTCACAAATCCTGCCATGATTCCTAGCCGTCTGGTCGAGGGCTACTGGCTCGACTGGAACAGCGCCGACCCAATGTCAAACAGTTGGGATTGGTTCCGTGACGCCAACCAGCGCAACATGATGTGGAAGGCGCGGGACCGTGGTGTCAAGGGTCAGTGTTACTGACCCCATAAACATATGAATGGCAATACAGGCAGCTAACTGGGTATATATTCCACCCCAATCAGTCTTCGAACTCTTCTCGAACAGGTAATTTTTACCCGCGCCGCCGTGACAGCCTTGGTAGAGGACAGGTTTACTAACAACGACACGCCTAGTCCACCGTTCTGGATGCTTACCAATAAAAACCCAGCGGGCGCTGACAACGGGAAGAACGGTAAAGATCTTATTTCCGCCTTTTTTTTGTCGACATCTTGAAGATTCTCTTGCTAAATCTTGACTTGCAGACAATCTTCAGGCCTGGAATCACAATGACTTCGCCATCTACATGGCAACGGTGTCCAAGTACGCGCGCGACAAATGGGGCATCAACTTCCAGTCGATCGAACCTTTCAATGAACCTTCCGCAGATTGGTGGAACGCCAAGTCGGGCACGCAGGAGGGCTGCCATTTCGACGTCAAGACACAGACGACCGTTATTAATATGCTGCGTGCCGAGATGGACAAGCGTGGGCTGCAGGACCAGATGATCGCGGCGTCGGACGAAAACAGCTACGACGGCGCCACGTCGACCATGCGGTCGCTCATCTCCTCGGGCGCGGCTGCCAAGATAGGGCGCGTCAACGTCCACGGCTACCAGTACGGCGGCGGCGACCGGCAGAAGCTGTACGAGACGGCCACGGGCGCGGGCAAGCGGCTGTGGCAGAGCGAGTACGGCAGGGGTGACGATTCGGGCGCCGATATGGTGTCCAACATGATCCTCGACTTCCGCTGGATGCGCCCGACCGCTTGGGTGTACTGGCAGCTGATCGACGGTGGCGGCTGGGGCACGGTCGACGGCGACAACAACGCCAAGCGCCTGGGCGCCGTCAACCAGAAGCACTACGTCCTCGCCCTCTTCACCCGCCACATCCGGCCCGGCATGATCATCCTCGACAGCGGCGAGTACAACGTGGCGGCCTACGACGCCGCCGCCCGCAAGCTCGTCATCGTCGCCGTCAACTGGCAGAACGACCAATACCTTAACTTCGACCTGTCCCGCTTCAGCCGGCCCGGCTCCGACGGGGCGCTGGTGCCGCGCTGGAGCACTATGATCGGCTCCGGCGAGCGTTACGTCCAGTACAGCGACACGCGCATGGTCGGCAGCAAGTTCTGGTCGTTTTTCCGGAAGAACCAGGTGCAGACGTTTGAGATTAGCAATGTTTCGTTGTAGATACTTTGACAATTTTACCCCCTTTCCGCACCCCGCCCTGCATGCATCCCGGTAGATCCCACCAGACCCGTGCGCTGCCCGTGCGTGGACCTTGACCCACAGCTCAGGCTGTGGCCATGCATTATATAATTAGCGCAACGAGCGTATGTCCACCCGCGGGGCAGTCGTCGAATGGAGCAAGCAAATGTCAACCAGCTAGAGATCTCCATTTTGGTACCGTATCGTGTAGGATACGTGATGCACACTATAGATTATATCCCCATTACTTGATCTAGAGAAAGGTCTTGTTTATCGTCTAGCCAAGATGGATAACGCCATTGCCGCGAATCTGCTAGGCACATTAGGGGCTGTGAGTCCGCCGAGCCCTGAAAACGCCACATCAAGTGAGCAGCCGGGCTGTTGCTCGCCCTACTAACGATTCGACTCGCATAACCTCACAGGTCTGCTGGTCTATTCAAGTATGGCCTCTGTCATCTCCTAGCCGACGTAGCTTTGTCTCTTTTTCTTTGTTGTAGGCATACTGACATTCGTACCCGTATCTAGCTTATTCCCCAGATCGTGCTAAACTACCGACGCCACAACACCATCGGCCTTCAGCCGTCGATGATGATGCTTTGGGCATGGGCTGGAATCCCCCTCGGAGTATACAATATCACCGAAAACTTTAATATCGCGCTGCAGATACAGCCACAGCTCTTGACGCTGCTGTCTTTGCTCACATGGGCGCAGTGTTGTTATTACGACTGGAAGGTAAAGCCCCCAGCCTTTCCATACCATGTTGTGCCTTCCTGACGCCATTGCGCACGATCCAGCACTGGCCCATCTCTCGCTGCCTAGCAGTGACAATCCCGATAGCAGGCCTAATGGCCGGCATCCAAATCGGACTCGTCTTCGCCCTGCGCGCCGCAAAGCAAAGCCCCGGTGCCCACCTCACCTGGCCCAGCACGCTGATGGCGGTCCTGTCGGCTGTGCTGCTGGCCGCGGGCGTCCTGCGGCACTACTGGGACATATACAGGCACCGGTCCGTGCGCGGCATCTCGTTCCTCTTCGTGGGCATCGACGCCGCCGGCGACGTCTTCTCTCTTGCCTCCGTCTTCTTTCAGCCGAAGCTCGACGTCCTGGGAATGGTCATCTACGGAACCGAGCTCGTGCTTTGGCTAGGCGTGTTTACGGCCGGCGGCTACTTCAATTTTCTGCCCTGGGTCAGGGCGCGGCTACGGTCGGCGTCGTCGGAGGCTAGGCCTGAGTCTGGGTGTTCGGCTGGCCCGGGCGTGGGCGCCACTAGCGGGGTCATGCTCCAGCACGTGCCGTCTTCGACTTCGGTGTTTAGGACAGCTTCGCTCGATCTCGCGGATGGTGGGGCTCGTTCGAGGCCTAGATTTGTGATAGGCAACCGAGGCCCGGCGCCTTGAGAAATGACTTAGAGACTCTTATTGTCTTCCATTGAGATATTGAATACGAACAATAGGCGCATGCATGCCCACAAACTCTAGCCAGCCGGCGGGTGCGTAATCTCAATCTGATCATTGCCTGTGTGACTGTTCATCGATCCCCAACATCGAATTGTTATTCACGCTATTCAGCTCGCATCGCTCTGGCAGTGCTCCACCTGGCTGAATGGAAGGCCTGAAAGCTAGCATTGTTCGGCCTGCGCTAACCATTTTAGGCCAAGGTTAAAGTGGTCGCGTCGCGGTCCGCGCTGACAAGGGTGGGTGCCACCACCAAGGTTCTCAGAGTTGACGGCTTGCTCCCTCACAAACGTCGACAGCGCACAACTTTTGCCAATATTTCATCTACCACTTCTAGTACAACCTTCAATCTCCAACTTTCTTCCTGCTGTCGGTAACAAAAGGCTGCTCAGCATTTCGCTCCTACTGCGCACTGAAGAAATGCCTACCTACGATTCGGGCGCGTCCTCGGACGCGGTCGATCGCCAGTATTGGGTGAGCGGCGGGTATTCGGCGGGCGGTCCGGATGAGTCCAGCAGCCACGAACAGGAGTCCAGTTCCCAGACTGAGGAGGCCCCTTCCGAGGCTGAGGAGTCCAGTTCCGAGGCTGGTGGCGACCTCGGTGGCCTGCTGGACATCGAGGCCTCCGAGGCGGACAGCGAGTCGGAAAGCGACGACGCGGAGGAGTCGGACGAGCAGTCACTCCTCGACGGCACTGCGCCCGTCAGCTTCTGGGACGGTATCGACTTCCCGCAGTTCTCGCTCCTGCCGCCCGAGCTCCGCGCACTCATCTGGGAGTGCTACCTCGACTCGGTCCTTCAGGGCCCCCGCGTCCTGGAGTTCCAGGTCACCTTCGCAGACAGCAACTACTGGACTCCGATAACCACCCCCGGGCTCGACGCGCAGATGCTCCCTGTCATGCGGGCCACGCGCGTGAACCATGAGAGCCGAGCTATCGTTCGCAAGAAGTTCCCCGATCAACTGCTGTACGGTGGAGAAATGGCCGAATACTCGGTGCCGTTTGACGCAAAGACGGATCTCGTCGCCATCAGCTTCGTCAACCTCTGGCGTGACTGTCGGCATGAGTTCCTGCACCCCGACCGCGACCAGCCGATGTATAAGATCGACTTCGCCATCCCAGGGTTCACAGACAGGATCAAGAAGCTGGTCATTTCGGCCGACGACATTATTGGAACCACGGCCCTGGCCTCCACCGATTGGACCGGTCCCTGGGCCGTTTTGGGGTCGTTTCCGAACCTCGAGGTCATCTACGAGATGCATAGCTCTTCGGGTGGCTTTCGCAAGCTTGACTACAGCTTGCCACTTCGAACCTACGACACGGGTATCACGGAGCTCGACGAGGCTGGCTTCCCGCACCATTACCACAGGTATCTAGCTTGGCCTGATCTGGATTGCCCCGGCATGGAGGACTCTATGGAGGTCAAGGATACAAGCGACCTGCTGCTGGATTTCGAAGCAATGAATGGCGACATGTGGGACCTGGTCCCAGAATGCAGTCGCGGCATCAAAATTTTGCCGATGGTGGAGTTCGCAGGCGCTTTCGGACTTGAGAGGATGGTGGAGGCCGGATTGGCCGACTTTGACCATCCCTCCGCCCGCCCGTCGAGCTGGGGAGACTCCGTCTCAGACTCGGACGAAGATCGGAGTGGAGATTCGGGCCACGACGATGACGAGTATGACAGCGAGATGGACGACTTCATTGACGACAGCCCCGTCGTCGACTTTGAAGGGACGAGCGACCTCCTGGACTCCGAGGCGGTGGCGGCCGATGGCGACGACGACCTTGACGACCTTGACGACAACCCTGACAACGCCGGCCTCTCCCATGGACCTGCCGACGATTTTGTCGGATTTTCGCCTGTCGACCTTACGGGGGACAGCGAAGTTGGCGACGACGACCAAGATGATCAGGATTTGCGTCCGGCTAAGAGACGGAGAGCTAGGCAGATCATTTCGGAAGACGAGGATGACGACCTCGTCCTCCCACACGACCACGCCGACAATTTTGGCGGGTTCTCGCCCATTGACCCCGGCAGTGGCAGCGAAGTTGGCGACGGCGACGACGGCAAGGGTCAGAGTCCGCGTCCGTCCAAGAGACGGAAAGCTAGGCAGATCATCTCCGAGGACGACGATGACGACGCTGAGGACGCGCGCCCGGCCAAGAAAGTCAAGACTCGACAGGTAGTGGTATCTGACAGCGAGGACGACACCTCTACCGATTCTGAAGAGGATGCGCCGAGGCTCCAACGCGGACGTCCTCGAGTGCCGGACTCTGAGAGCGAGGATGAGGATTCCGATGCAGCGATTGTCAACTCACGCAAGAGGAAGAGAGCGGTCCACACCATCACGGTTTCCGACTCGGAGGACGACGCTGCGGACGCAGCCCCCGTCAACCCACCCAAGAGGAAAAAGGCAGTCCCCGCTGTGGTGGTGTCGGATTCGGAAGATGACGACTCAAGCGAGGAGATTCAGGATAGTGATACCAGCCAAGAGGATGAAGATGACGAGGAGGACGACAGCAGGCCCTTGACCCTGGCTGAGAAGCTCGGCATGCACAGTCGGGCGAACCCCATTGACCTCACGTCTGACAATGAGGAGTCGTCCGTTGACATTGCCCCGGCGCGCCGTGGTTACGGTCACAGCTACGAGGACGAGGATGACGAGGATGAGGACGATGATGAGGATCAGGACAATGGCAATGGCCGCTGTGATGGCTACCCAGATTCTGGATCCGAGGAGGAGGATGAGGAGGAGGATGAGTACTAGATGCACTGCACACGAGGCTGTGCTTAAGCGCGTATAACCACGAGCAAGATGTGATTGGGGAGGATGATGGTAATGATGGCTGCAACGTCTAGCCCGATTCTAGCCGGAGGGGTCTGTCCCGGGGATGATGCGTATTAGGGACGCAGTATGGCAACTGCGTTTGATGTGCCTGGACGGATGTGATCTTTGTGGTAGTGCAGCAGTTAGCCTTCGCAGTCACAAAAACAGGGTAGTCTCAATTGCCTGAAATAGCTTGCGAAGGCCCACGAAAACGATGTGAACTGTGCCCGTCTAGCCGATTTGTATGTTTGCCGTTGGAGGCAAAAAATAGGAGTAGTTAGCTCAGCTAAGGTGGAGGCTGAAATAATTCCCCAATTTGGCCAAACGGCCCATTGTTTCCCCGCTTCTCCTAAAGTGTTTCTGTACTCTCTTATGCAACGCATACGCAATAATGTTACAACCAACAACCACGGCCCAGGAAGGACCAGCCAGCTGAGGGGTCACCCCACCTCCCTGGTCACGTGACTTCAGGGTGATGCGTATGGTACGGGACCGTATCATACGCATCATCACGAGCACCGGTGATACGGTTGCAAGGCACACGTATTAACAACAGTCCGCAGGACCACAAAGTAGTATAAGAAGGAAGAGTTTCTTACTGTCCTAAATAGCTCTTAATAAATGCACTGGCATTAGTTAATTTAAGTTAGCTTTTAAGCATCCCTTAAAGCAAGCATTTAAACCGCATTTAAAATACTTTGTAAATCCCTTTAATTTGTTAAATTACGTGTTACTGTTTCGTATTCCTTAAGTGCTTTACCTTAAAAGCAAAGGCTTAACCGTAACAAATAAAATAAATAAAATAAATAAAATAAATAAAATAAATAAAATAAATAAAATAAATAAAATAAATAAAATAAATAAAATAAATAAAATAAATAAAATAAATAAAATAAATAAAATAAATAAAATAAATAAAATAAATAAAATAAATAAAATAAATAAAATAAATAAAATAAATAAAATAAATAAAATAAATAAAATAAATAAAATAAATAAAATAAATAAAATAAATAAAATAAATAATAAATAGTCGGAT